ATGAAGTGATGCTCTTTTTATTTGAGGGTCTCATTTCAGAGGGAAGATTTCAACCACTGCCCTGTAACTCAGTTCCAAGGGGCAAGGAGTCACACGAAAACAAGGGACAGGGAGAAAAATAAGAAATGGGATTGGTCCTTAATGGTTTGTATGGGTTTTTTTTTCTGCAGGGTTGTTTGTTTATGATTCTTCTGATTGTGTCCGTCCATCCTGTTGGCTGGTCGTCCTCTTCCTCTTTTGCCTTCAACTGTTCCAAGCATAACTGTCTTCTCCAGTGTATTCCTTGGTTTTTGGGGGGTCCCATGTTGGTTGGCTACCCCAGTGTTGACTAACTGCTAACTTACTTACCATAGCGGTGTCGATGCTTCAGTGGCACCAAAATGTTTGGTTCAACATTTTTCTTCTGGAAATGCTCTTTTCTGGTTTGGTGATCTGCTCTTCCTCACATTAACTGAGATCTTACACATACTAGGTTTGAGAAATGAGTAACAATTCACTCTTTCCACCAGTCTCTTGTGAAATTGGGAAGTTTTCTTGAGCATAGTTACAGCTGCTATGCTATGAAGGATCAACAGCGTGAACTAGTTTGCTACAGCGCCACCCTGAGGCAGACCAGTGCGGCACAGATAGTTAAGAATATTAAAGACATTATATTATATTATATTATAATATTAAAGATTGTGAAGTAGGATAAACAATGAACTTTCCCTGAATTTGTATTTGAGTGTCTATTTTTCCCTAATGAACAGCAGAACTTCATAATAAGTTCATTTTCAGATTTTCAATATATATAAACGATCTGCCTTTAGTATTAAACAGAGCCAGGCTGCAGATGTACGCAAAACGACACTACTCTGTATGCAGCAGCCGAGACAGTAAAGGATCTTTCGAAAATGCTGGATGAAGAATTAAAGATAGTGGTAAACTGGATTGAAGGCAATCAACTTATACTGAATGTACAGAAAACAAAAGGTATAATAATAATCAGGTCCAAATCATCACTGAAAGGAGAACCAAAGTTAACATTAAATATAGTTCAAGAGGTACAACTCTTAGGTGTTACAACTGACAACAGATTATCATGGTCAAAGAATCAGTGTGCTTGTCTTCTAATTGAAATATTGTCTTTCTGCTGGTTAAGGTAGGCTCTGAGTTGAGACTTTCTCTAGCTTAGACTCTGCTAGTTACAAGGCTGTCTTGTAGAACCTAGTGCTTAATTGTAACTACTAGCTTCAGGTGTAGTTTCGGGTTAGCCAAAGGTGTGAATTGTAGGAGCCGGACTATCAGTCACAAGGCTGATCAATTGAGGAGGTGTTCCGCTATAGACAAGCTTGTCTGTAGCGGTCTGTAGCAGCTCCCACCCATCATCAACAGAGACGTGACTGCTTAACTTTGGCTAAGTATCACTGTTATTCTTCACTACCTCTATGTCCTAATTACTCTCGTGTTGTGTCCATCATGTGCTTTACAATACCTGTTTACTCATCCCACAGATCGCCTAGAACCATTCATTGTCACAGGACCTGTAATTCCATTAACCTCACCTTTCCCCCACGGTCGTCAGAATCTCAGACCAGGGTGGCAGGTGGGCTTTGGAATTGCCAATTCACTGTGCAGAAGGCATCCTTCCGTTCACTGCACTTTCTGGCGTTGATGGAGACCTGGATCACTCCCATGAATTCGGCGACTCCAGCAGCCCTGTCCTCTGCCTTTCACTTCTCCCATTCTCCGAGACAGTCTGGCAGGGGTGGTGGCACAGGTTTGCTTTTGTCCAGAAAGTGGCGTTTCACTCCACTTGCTTTTTCTCATCTTTCAATGTCCTCCTTTGAGTACCATGCTGACACTCTTCTGAGTCTCTTCCCCATCGATGGAACCGTGCTTATACTCTTGGGTGACTTCAACCTGCCATCGGACAAACTGCAGTCATCCTGCCTGTTACCACTGCTGTCATCCTTCGGCCTCTCCCTCAACCAGACTCCTCCGACGCACAGCGCAGGCAACGCTTTGGACCTGATATTGACCAGACCTACCTCCGCACTGGATGTCACAGTAACTCCCCTTCACCGCTCTGATCACCACCTCCTATCTTTCTCACTCTTCCTACCTGCTGCTCCTGTCCATTCTACCCCTTCACGCTCCTCCTCTTGACACAACCTGCACTCCACTCCTTCCTCCTCTCACGTCTCAACTATCCTGACCACTCTTTCCCATCCTGATTCATTTTCTTCTCTCTCACTGGACACAGCTACAGATGCTTTCCTTTCTTCACTCTCATCTGCAATTAATTTTCTGTGTCCTCTCTCCTCCAGGCCAGCAAGATCTTCCCCACCTGCCCCCTGGCTGACAGGTGTCCTGCGCAGCAACTAGCAAGAACTAAGGAAGGCTGAGAGAAGGTGGCGGAAATCCCAGCTCGTCTCGGATCTTCACTCCTACCAATCTTTCCTTCCCAAGTTCTCACTCGAAGTTACTGCTGCAAAGTCATCTTTCTACAGAGGGAAACTGAAAGCATCAGCATCTGATCCACACAAGCTCTTCAGCATTTTCTCCTCTCTCCTCAACCCTCCTCCTCCCCCTCCACCCTCTTCTCTCACTCCTGAGGATTTTGTCACCTTCTTTGAGGAGAAGGTTGATAGAATCCGCCAGTCTTTTCCTTCTGTCCCCACTCCCTTCACTAGACCTCCTTCTCTCATTCTCAATCCCTTAAACTGTTTTTCTTCTCTTTCCACAGATGCTGTCCTTCAACTTATCAAATCCAGTAACCCAACAGAAACTGCTCTTATAGCAGTGACAGAGAAGCTCCAGGCAGCAAGATCAACCAGTCTGTCATCTGTTCTGATTCTTCTTGACCTCTCAGCAGCTTTTGACATGGTCAAATACACAATTCTTCTGGATGTCCTCACTAACCTTGGAATCACTGGCTCTGCGTGGAAGTGGTTCAAGTCCTATCTAGAGGATCACTCTTATCAGGTAACATGGAGAGGGTCCACATCCTCTCCATGCAGGCTCTCACTCAACTAATGCTTTCTTTCTCACCCTCTGACACACAGGTTTCCAGCCGGATCTTGGCATGTCTGTCTGACATCTCTTCATGGATGGCAGCTCACCACCTGAAGCTCAATCCTAATAAGACTGAGCCGCTATTCATCCCTGCAACTACAGGTCCTCATCATGATCTTGCCATCTCATTCGAGAACTCTCTGATTGTCCCGTCTGTAGAGGCAAGAAGTCTTGGTGTGGTTCTGGGTGGCCAGTTATTGTTCTCGACTCACATTGCGAACCTAACTCGTTTATGCAGATTTCTCCTGTACAACATCCGGAGGATCCGACACTTTCTCACTCGAGAGGCCACCCAGGTTCTAGTGCAGTCTCTTGTCATCTCAAGGCTTGACTACTGTAACTTGCTCTTGGCTGGTCTTCCAATGCAGGCAATCAGGATGCAAAACATCCAGAATGCAGCAGCACGACTCGTCTTCAATCTCCCAAAGTTCAGCCACGTCACCCCACTGCTGCGCTCCCTTCACTGGCTTCCTGTAGCTGCACGCATCAGATTTAAAACCCTAATGCTTGCCTACAAAGCCAAAAATGGACCAGCCTCTCCCTACTTGATGGCAATGGTGAAATCTCGAACTGTACCACGAGCCCTTCGAGTACAGCTCAGCTTGACCCACCATCCTTCAAGGCGCGCGGAAGGCAAGCATCAAGACTGTTCTCTGTGCTGGCACCCAGGTGGTGTAACGAACTCCCACTGGCTGTCCGTACAGCAGAGTCTCTCACTGTCTACAAATGCAGACTGAAGACCGTCTCTTTATACAGCACTTAAATGAGCACTGAGTTAAGTATTGATTGTAATGTATTGTACAGCACTTATGTATTGTATTGTATTGCACTGCTCTGTGTTTAACTTTTTCTCTAGGTGGGATAAGAGCGTCTGCTAAATGATGTAAATGTAAATGTAAATGTCTAAACATATTGAGAACATAATTAAAAAAATGAAATACTTATGATCAAAAATATCCAGCAGATCTTTTTAATCAACTGGAGCAAGTAAAAGGTAGAGAAACTGATATAAAAAGATATACGACAAAAAATGATTTCAAATTACCCAGAGCAGGAACGAACTACGTGTGTCGAACAGTGATTTATAGAGCTATAAAGGAGTGGAATTCCCTACCGGTCTCGCTTAAAATTGAGGGTATAATAATGTTTAAAAAACTGATAATAAAACACTATTCAACAAATTTAGAGATCAGTTAAGTAGATTTTTGTAGGTCCTCGACAGCTGGAAGAACACTGTGGTGGATTGGGCAGGAATGTAGATATTTACCAGAATATAGTCACTACAATTTTTGTAAATATACACATGATATTTTCTTCAGTGTGATTTTTCAGTTTTCAGTAGTCTTTCTTATGTTATGTTATGGTTACATTGTCTACTTTGGTTTTTTTTTTTTTTTTTCTTCTCTCAGCTTCTTGATTTTTCACTCTTGTGTTTTGTATGACTTGTACTGTTAATTGTTACCGCACTGTTTTTGTTATGTATGATACGTCTACTGGACCCCAGGAAGAATAGCGGCTATCACAATAGCAGCAAATGGGGATCCTAAAAATAAAGAAAAATAAAAATTAAAAATAAACCCCCCAAAATTCTGATGTCCACAAGATTAATTAGGAGGTCCTGGACCCCCCCCAGGACCTCCTGTGTTTGTACTTTGGTCTTCTCAAATTACCTGGTTCTTCTCAGAATATGTCTAAAATAAGCACTTCAGTTTGGTTGTCTGGGCTTTGAGTGAGAAATGAGGCTTGATTCTCATACTTGATCTCTTCACCTGGTGCTTTATCATATGACAAAGTGGATCTTTTGTAACTTATCCTTTAGACCAGTCCTTATAATGTGATGGTAAGTTATGACATTTGCATTGTCACTGGGAAGAGCTTATGTGCTGTTCAGCCTTATTCTGTGCAGTTTACTGTGGGCATTTTATAGATTTCCACTCAGTGAGTTTGTGGTATGCATAGTTTTATTCAGAGTATGTGCAATTTCAGTACTCAGAAGATGCACAAGAGTCAAAGCAAAGGTAAAAATCGTAATGTAGTATCAGAGCCACTTTAAAAGCAAAACACTAGAGGGCACCAGCAAGTGAGTCCTCAATGAATGGGGGTGAATAGAGCTAAACAGCTTAAATGTATTCCATTAAAAAAATCAAAGAAAATTTACCAGTAACTTTTTGTTTTTTTGCAGCAAACAGGTTTTGGCCAGTAGAACATTAGCATTAGTGCTACTTAGTGCTGATTGGTTAGTATTACTGCAACTGAGTGCGTATTGGTTAGCATTGTTGCTAGTGAGTGCTGATTGGTTGGCATTATTGCTATTGCGTGCTGATTGGTTGGTGAGCTGATCACCTTATTGACTGAGTGAAGCAGTTTGCGCTCACCTACATCATGAATGTACAGGAGGCACTTTTAGAAACTGGAGTTCAAATGACAACATTAAAATATTTTCTGCAATTTTTTTGTTTAGAAAAAGAATTATTTTTTTCTGTCTAACGATGATTAAGCTTTTACAAACGACTAATTTATACAAATGGAATCTATTAAATTTGGACTCACTCAAGGGCGCCCTCTAGTGTCTGATAAACCCAAAGGACATTTCAGAGAAGCAATTCTCCTCATTAGACATTCTCTGTGGCATTTCTATCATATAAGTGAAAGTCCCTTTACCCAAAATGACAAAGCAGGTTAAATGATTTCACAGCTGGTTAATCAGCACTGAATATTGATAACTGATTCAGTAGTTAATCAAAACAGTAAAAGCCACAGTAAGACAAGCCTCCTAGTAATTTTATCACTTGGCCTTTCCATCTTTCACATGGGGAAGAGGAGGAAGCCGCTAAAACTAGTGCGGAAGTACGAATCATCCCAGACCACGTAGTTTGCTGGCAGGCGGGTGTACACCTGATCTTCCGCTGCCAAAACCAGAGTGACTCCACTCGAGACATGCTTAGCATAGCCGTCAATGCTGTTTTCACCCAAATGCAGCAGATGCTGCCCGTTTTTGTACAGATTCAGTCCTATATTTTTCTTGTTGTTGTCATACACACCAGCTGTGAAGCGAATATAGTAGACCCCTCTGAATGGAGCTGTAAAGATCCCTGCAGCAAGAGAGACACACAGGTTAAGGCAGCATGACTGGAACCATAATACAGGTGTTTCCCGATAATTATCAAGGTCTGAAATGATCTGATCAGGGGATTTTAGAGCAGAGGAAATGATAACAGTGGAATAAAAACCAAAACCTTCAGTTTGGTTGCATGTGATGTGAGCCATGTTCTTTTTTCATTAGGCATAAGACATGTTGCCAATTATAACTCACAGCCAGAAAACTGTGTGGCGGTGCAGTGGGTAGCACTGTCGCCTCACAGCAAGAAGGGTCTGGGTTCGATTCCCCAGCCGGGCAACCAAGGTCCTCTCTGTTTGCATGTTCTCCCAGTGGGTTTCCTCCCCCAGTCTAAAGACATACCAACTCACCATATAGTGTGTACAGAACTGGCTTAGTATGCTCTGTCCTTACTGTTCATGGTTTGCATATGCTCGCACCAAACTGTGTAGATACTAGCTGGGCCAGTTTTGAAAGCAGGTTTTTCCAACTCTTCAGCAGTTAAACTGTACGAGGCCTTCATTGTTCTATTTAGTACATCATAATGAGCCACACGTTTTCAGTGGGGGAAGTTCTGGACTGCACAAAGGCCCTCTCTGATTACGCAGCCATGCTGTTGTAACATGTGCAGAACATTTTTGCCTTGTTGTCCCCGTCATGTTGAAATAAACATGGACGTCCCTGAATGGGACACTGTCTACAAGGTAGCATATGTTGCTCTAAATCAACTGTATATCTTCTAGCATTGTTTTTGCTCTCACAGATGAGCAAATTACCCACTTTATGCTGGTAACAATCTGGATGATCCTTTTCTTCTTTGGTCTGGACAACATGACGTCCATTATTTTCATGAACCTTCTGACTCATCAGACCCCAATAGACATTTCCACTGTGCATCAGACCATTTCTTTTAGATTGTTTATGGTAATAATGGACATCCTGTTCTCTGGGCCAAAGAAGAACAGGACCATCCAGATTGTCATACGGTCCCAGCTATTTTGCAACTAAGGTTTGTAGAATCACAGCTATCAACACGGTTACTATGATAGTTATTACATCATTGGTATTCACTGTATCATATTGTGTTTTGACCTATTAGATACATTAAATTAATCAGTGTGCATTTTGATTACTCCCTTTTATTGTTTGCGTTCATTTTGTAACTGTACCTGTAGATGGGTTGTAGGCATTCCCAATGTTTGTTAGGACATTTTTGTAGACCAGAGAAGTCTCAGCATCAATTGGGCCTCTCAGTCCTGCAGGCAGGCCTAAAGCAGCTGAGAAAGCCACCTTCCCTATAATATAAGAATACAAAGAGTTAAAACCACCAAGTGTCTAAACCAGTGTAATTCATTGCTTTAGAAACTGGAATCATCTATGGATCAAGCAGAGTGCTTACAAAAGGGAAAATGATATGCAAAAGTCTGGGCACCCTTATCAACATGTGATATTTTGTTGATTTGAAGTGAAAAGAAGTAAAGACAACCTCTGCAGCAAAAAAAAAGAACACAATAAGCAAAAATCCAAAGCTGAAGCAGAAAAGAGGCTGGCTTCTGCATTCTGGACAATGATCCAAAACATACCTCAAAATCCACTATGAATTACTTCAAAATACACAGGCTTTTGGGCTGGCTCCCCTGACCTCAACATCATTGAAAATCTGTGGGTAGATCTTAAATATGCCGTGCCTGTGTTCTGTAAAGAAGGGTGGGTGAAATTTCCTCTAAAACAAGATCAGAAAGACCCCTAACTGGCTACAAAAAGCTGTGATATCTTCCAAAAGAGGTGTAACTGAGGACTGAATTAGTGGGGTGTCCTAACCACATGCCACAATTACAATTTTATTTTATTTCTTTAACTTTAACAAATAAAACCTGTAACTTTTGCACACAACTGTATGTGGAAACTACTTTGAGAACAGCTCTTGCTTGGTTCACGTTTGGACACAATCGATATTAGCTGAGGAAGCATGAATTTGCATTTACCTGCACTCTTGGTCTTCAGTGTGTGCAGATCAGTCTTCATGGCCGAGACCGCGCTCGCTTGTGCTTGGAACAAACAAAAGCAAAGCCTTTTAAGATCTTCAACATCTCTAGATGCTAAAACAGAGTCTGGCTGCATGTTGTCCTCAGAAAGTAATCAGCCCAAGATACAGCGGCCCTGCTTTCCGTAATGATGCTATTTTCCATCTCTTAATCAAACAGCCACAACCACAGCAGACATGAGAGCCTCTTTAGCACGAAAGCAATGCAGGCAGAGGATTTAACTTCACGAGGATCTACTGTCTACATCACAAGCTATAAGATGCAGGCCAGGATAAGGAGTATTGGGAAATAGCCTTATCCTTCCTAACAAGCTAGTAGGCTGCTTGGAGCATCGCACAGGAGAATATGCTGTAAATGGTTCTAAATAGCACCAATAAGGGTTTTTCTACTGCTATAAGCTTGACATTGAACCCTGTAATCATGCAAAGTGTTCTTTGAGTGTTCATGATTCTATATAGAACCATTTTCTTTACTAAAGAACCCTTGAAGAACCAGCATTTTTAAGAATGTAGGAGATTCAGGTCCACACTGCTTTCAAAACAGCTCTTCGCAACGTCTTTGTGTTTCAGCACAAGTGATATTAACTGAGCATGAATTTACCTGCACTCGCGTTCTTCAGTTGTTCCAGTTCCCTCTTCGTGGCTGAGAGCTCAACTGCTTGTTCTTAGAAAAAAAAAAACAAAGCCTTTAAGATCCTCAATATCTGAGTGAGTGACACTTTGAGATTTTATTGATGGGTTCTCACAAGATCTCAGCAACTTCTAGTGTGCCACATCATGTTTTTACAGTTTTATAGTACAGTACTTATGCTTCTGGATGTAACTGCTGCATTTGATACTATAGGCCATAGAATACTTCTAAATCAGCTTGAAAACTTGGTTGGTCTAAATGGAACTGTGTTAAACTGGTTCTCTACATATTTAACTGGAAGACAGTATTTTGTAAACATGATGAACAAATGTCAGATAAGCATGATATTTGCTGTGGTGTACCACAAGGCTCTGTACTAGGTCCACTTCGGTTTTCTTTGTATACGCTGCCACTGTGTCAGATTATTAGGAAGCATGGCATCAATTTTCATAGTTATGCAGATAATACACTATACTGCTATATATATGTTTATTTATATAATTATATAAACATAAATATGTTTATTTTATATAATGTTAGTTCAGTAGATAAGCTTGCTATATGTCTGTCCAGCATAGTTAGCTGGATGAATAGCAATTCTCTAAAGCTTAATGAAGAAAAGACAGAAATATTTATGATTGGTAGTGAAGCAAAGAGGAAAAAGGTGTATGAAAGACTGGCTCTACAAATAAAAACTGAAGTTAGGAATGTTGGTGTAACTCTAGACTCTAGATTTAACTTTTAAAGCACATACTAATAATATTACCAAAAGCTGTTTTTTTTTTTCATCATTTAAGGAATATAGCACGAGTTCGACCTTATCTCTGTCTGCAACATGCTAAGAAATTGATCCATGCTTTTGTGTTTTCTCGACTTGACTACTGTAATGCTTTGTTCATAGGACTTCCTGCGAGTACAACCAACAAATTACAACTTGTGCAAAATGCAGCAGCAAGAATATTAACACAGACTAGAAAACAGGATCATATTAGACCGGTTTTAGCATCGCTGCACTGGCTGCCTGTCTCTTTTAGAATTGACTGTAAAATTTTACTACTAGTTTTTAAATCTCTTAATGGTTTCAGCACCTTCATACATTTCCAAGTGCTGATAGATGATGTTCCTAATTGAGCTATAAGATCATCCAGTGCTGCTGCTCCATATTCCACATATGAAACTTATGAGCGGAGAGGCAGCGTTTTGTTTTTATACACCAAAGATCTGGAACACATTACCAGTAAATATTCGTCCGACTCCTTCTTTCAATGTTTTTAAAAAACAGTGAAAAACTTATTTCTTTATTTTAGCATTTAGTTTTTTATTGTTTCCTTTTATGTTCTTGTTAGTTGCATTTTGTTATTGTTTTTCTTTCTTTTTATTTACACTTTTATCCTGTGCTTTTTAATTGCATTTATTAATAGATCCATTTTTTTCTGCTATGTATTGTTTGTTTCTTATATCTTTTTTATTCTTGATTATCTTTTCTTCCTCTGTTGTTTTTACTTTGTACTGTGAAGCACTCTGAGCTGCATTTTTAAAGTATGAAAAGTGCTATATAAATAAACATTATTATTATTATTATTATTATTATTATTATTATTCTTCATCACATGATGTAAGTTCTTGAAGTTCTTTCTTAAAGGGATAGTTCAACAAAAAATTACATTTCCAGTTTTCCATTTCCAATTCAGATGTGGTCGTTCAACCAAGACACAGTGTACAAATTGTGCTTCTTTAGTTTCGCACTGAAGCTAGGATGCTAATGTTGCGAAAAAACACTAGAGATCAATAGTCACCCAAATGTTTTCTGTAAATACATCCCCAAAACTTCTCTCAACCTGCTCAAATCACTTTCAGGTCTTCATTAAGGTAACGCAGTTCTGTTGATGTGATTTAGGACCCAGTTTGAAGTGATTTCAAATTAAAACCATGTGTTTTTTTTGTTTGTTTTGCTGAACTACTCCTTTAAGAACATGTAGAGCAGCCAATGTTTTTGACCAGAAAGCTGTTAATAACTTGTAAGTTATGTGGAAGATCTCTTACCTTCATTCTCTTTCGTCAAACTCTCCATCTGTCTCCTCAAACCTGTTTTGATTAAAATAGCCAAAATATAAGTGATTACAATTTCACTTTAAAATTGTTGTAATGTTATTTTTTATTTACCCCAGTTGACTCCAAGTCTGTTCATCCCATTGTGTCCCTGCTATCACAAAATAGCTACTAATGAAGATAAAGAGCCCCAACAGTGTCTTTACTGTATCAAGCCTTCTATAGAATGCAGCACAAATCACCAGCTCACCAGATCTTTAAGCTGCTTCAGTTCAGCAGAGTGACCCAGTGAGTTCCCTGAAACTTCGGTGTCCTGCAGGCTGTTTTGCAACAGCATCATCAGAGCAAAAACAACAACAGCGGTTCTCTCCATCAGCATGGTTACTCACTTTCTTCTCTCTCAATGTCTGACTGTATCTTACTGATACAGGACTGATATACATACAGCAACAGAGCAGCTGTATAAGGAGATGATGGAGGGGCGGGGTGAGGGGTGGGGCCACGGGGCACTGGCTCCAGTGAGTTCTGATTGGGCTCTTTAAAATAAAAAAAAAATCCCACCCAATTCCATCTTGGTTTGAAGTGACCCCTAACCCAACCCTAACCCAACCCTAACCCAACCCTAACTCAACCCTAACCCAACCCTAACCCTTGCTCAGTCTGAACTATGAGAGGGTGCAGCTATGTGGATGGGCCGTCCAAAAGGGGAGGGGGGCTTTCAGGGCTGCTGCCAATAGGGGGCCCCAAGAAGCTGAGCATTGATTTCATGATATATACACAGTGTAGTATACTGTACATTGAAGTATACAGTGAATTGAACACAGTTAGGTTTCATTATACAACTCCAATTCCAAAAAACCCAGGACGCTGTGTAAAATGTAAATAAAAACAGAATGCAATGACTTGCATCTCATAGACCCATATTTTGTTCACAATAGAACATAGAACACATTTCAGATGTGAGACATTTTACCATTTAATGAAAAATATTAACTCATTCAGAACTTGATGGCAGCCACGCTTCTCAAAAAAGTTGAGACAGGGGCATGACAGTGTCCTAATTGTGTTTCTTTAGTTTCACACTGAAGCTAGGATGCTAATGTTGCTAAAAAAAAAAAGAAAAAAACACTAGATGCCAATTGTCACCCAAATCTTCTCTGTAATTACATCCCCCAAAACTTCTCCAAACCTGCTCAAATCATTTTCAGGTCTTCATTAAGTTTGCGCAGTTCCAAAAAAGTTGGCACAGGGCCATGTCTACCATTGTGTAGCATCCCCTCTTCTTTTAACAACAGTCTGTAAACGTCCGGGAAGTGAGGAGACCAGTTGCTGGAGGTTTGGGACAGGAATGTTGTCCCATTTTGGTCTTAACTTGCATTTGTGGATTGCACGGCAAACTGTGTTCACAGACAGTGATTTCTGGAAGTGTTCCTGAGCCCATGCAGTGATTTCCAGTGGAGAATCACGCCTGTTTTCAATACAGTGCTGCCTGAGGACCCGAAGGTCATGAGCATCCGATATTGACAGACGGCCTTGTCCCTTGCGTACAGGGACTTCTCCAGATTCTCTGAATCTTTTGATGATATTATGTACTGTAGATGGTGGGATATCCAAAGTCTTCGCAATTTTACGATGAAGAAACTGTTTCACAATTTTAAGACAATTTTTTTGTTGTCCCAAGTTTTTTGAGATACATTGCTGGGGTTGTATATATATGCATGATCTCATAAATGTTTTCTATAGTCTATGTAACACAGTCCACTATATTCACAAAAATGATGACCACAGATGGAAAAAACAGCCACTAAGTGCTGAGTCTAATCAGGTGAAACAAAAACTCACTTGGTAGGGATGTTAATAGACACCAGTCTGCACAACTATTCGGTTGTAGAGTCCACCTCTATTTGTGAACTCCGCAGTTTGCTGGGAATGACTGACATTCAAAAACACTCTTACACTCATTTCAGCAAGAAGCTAAGAAATACCTTCTATAGAAACACAAGATCTGATTGTAAATTAATGCATAAGGCTCAGTTTATTTAATATTAAAATGCAGCCATACAGCATACATTTTCATTTACTTTTATATAGATTACACTGTTGTTTCTTTTATTTATTTATTTATTTTTATTTATTATTTATTTTATGTCTTCTAAGAAAGTCTGAAGCCAGTCCCTTCATTAAAGGACACCATTACAAAAAATAAAACTACAAAAATAACACAAATAAATGTTGATATGTTAATTCTGTATAGAAAATGTATTTTATTGTGATGTATCATTAATCATTACTCCTACTATATAGATATATATATATATATATATACACTCTTCTGCATATTTTAATGCACAACTACTGATTATTTGATTATTTGCTGAATTTAACATATTGGAAAAAATGTGACCTGTGTGAAATTATAACACATTTTGTATTTTGTGTTTTTTTTAACTCATGGGCATGAAAGTGTTCAGAAAATGTGATACTTAAGTGCACAAAAACACAACTACATAACTAGCGCAAAATCCTTGTTCTTATTTATTTTAGCTATTTACTTTCAAGATCCACTCAGACCGTCTCGGGTGGGTACTAGGAACACGAAGTAGAAAGTACATGGAGCTGAAACAGACACTATTCTCAAAGCATTCACACCTGCATTCTCCTGCTGCATCTTCACCAATTCCGTCTTCAGCTCCTCTAATGTGGTTCCTTGCTGATTAACCAGGTCTTTCAGACTCTTCAGTTCGGCAGAGATGTCTCGTTGGATAAATAGGCTGGACAAACTTTCAGTCTCCTGTGGCTGAGTGTCCCCAAAACTGTCCTGCAAGAGCCACAAGAGCAGCAGAGAAACGACAGCTCGAGTCATTTTTGTCGAAAATCAAACGGTCCTTCAGGCTGAGTGTCTCTCTCTGTGCAGTGCTTATTATTTGCCGTAGCAAAGTTCAGTGTTGATGGACTTTTGTTTTTTTGCACCTGGTTTGTTTGCTAAAGTCTGCACCAAAGTTAGATTTTTTGTGACATTGTACGTTTTTCATTTGGTTTGTTTGGTTTTATGTTGCAACAACTAAAGTGAAATAAATACATAAATACATAAAATTGGTCATAAGTGTGGTTGGGAGATAATCGCTCAGTTATTTTCATGTTTGCCTTTATTATTATCTTTATCATTATCTTTTAACTTTCAAAACCCAGATCAATCCCTTATATACACATTCTTGATGTACACCGATCAGGCATACATTTTGACCGCCTCCTTGTTTCTACGCTCATTGTCCATTTTATCAGCTCCACTTACTATATAGGTGCACTTTGTAGTTCTACAGTTACAGACTGTAGTCCATCTGTTTCTCTGCGTACTTTGTTAGCCCCCTTTTACCCTGTTCTTCAGTGGTCAGGACCCCCATGGACCCTCACAGAGCAGGTACTATTTAGGTGGTGGATTATTCTCAGCACTGCAGTAACACTGAGGTGGTGGTGGTGTGTTAGTGTGTGTTGCGCTGGTACGAGTGGATCAGACACAGCAGTGCTGCTGGAGTTTTTAAACACCTTAGTGTCACTGCTGAACTGAGAATAGTCCACCAACCAAAAATATACAGCCAACAGCGGCCTGTGGGCAGCGTCCTGTGACCACTGATGAAGGACTAGAGGATGACCGACACAAACTGTGCAGCAGCAGATGAGCTATCGTCTCTGACTGTACATCTACAAGGTGGACTGACAAGGTAGGAGTGTCTAATAGAGTGGACAGTGAGTGGACACAGTGTTTAAAAACTCCAGCAGCACTGCTGTGTCTGATCCACTCAGACCAGCACAACACACACTAACACACCACCACCATGTCAGTGTTACTGCAGTGCTGAGAATGACCCACTCTGGTGCATGTATTCAGACCCCTTGCTTTGACGCTTGAAATTTAGCTCCGGGGGCCTCCCAATTCTCTTGATCTTGATCTTTGAGATGTTTCTACACCTTGATTGGAGTCCCTCTGTGGTCAATTCAGTTGATTGGACATGATTTGGAAAGACACACCTGTCTATATAAGGTCTCACAGCTGACAATGCATATCAGAGCAAAAGCCTTAAGGAGGAAAGAAATGCCTGTAGAGCTCAGAGACAGGTTGTGTGGAGGCACAGATCTGGAGAAAGCTATAAAATGAATTCTTCTGCACTGAATGATCCCAAGAGCACAGTGGCCTCCATAATTCTTAAACAGAAGAAGTTTGGAACAACCAGCACTCTTCCTAGAGATGGCCACCCTACCAAGCTAAGTAATCAGGGGAAAAGAGCCTTGGTAAGAGAGGTGAGCAAAAACCTGATGGTCACTCTGGCTGAGCTCCAAAGAACCTGTGTGCAAATGGGAGAAACTTCCAGAAGGTCAACCATCACTGCAGCACTCCACCAGTCTGGGCTTTATGGCAGAGTGGCCAGACAGAAGCATCACGACCCTATTCTCTTTAGCACCTACTCACTAAATTTCCCCATCTTGTTCTCTAGGTTCCTACCTTAGAAATGGCACAGGGCCAAACTCCACTGTCCCTACATGAAGCAAAGAACATGAGATTGTAACCTAAGCCAATGCATGCATTTAACCTAAGATACTGGCCAGAAAACTCACCTGAGGAGACCCAAACATTTTGCTTTTTCTCTGTACCACGACCTTGAAGCAGCATCCTTTCAACGGTTCTCAGCCAGCCTCAACGCTTGGTTGGTCATCATGTGCACATGCTCTGCTTCCAGAAAACAACTATATAGTGTTCCATAGCCAGCATCTCACTATGGTTCAGACCTGAAATATCAGTCATTGTCCCTACACTTGAGCCAATGACCACCAGATGTAAAGAGAAATTAAAAGAAGGAAGCGTGACTTTACATGCAAAGGTGGTGTCGCTTTGATTTAGCACTGTCACATTATCCAGGTACTTTATACACTGATTTTTCATAATAATGATGATGAGTGTAAGCTTGGAGAGCCTGAGACCAGCTTTGGCATCACCACATCATTGACCCATTCATCTGTTTACTTAACACCTTTTAAATACTTCCTTACAAAAACAACACGAAATGGAAAATAGATTTTGACTTATCGATTTAGTGTTGTCTGTAGTTTTATTTAGACTGTGTCATTTTGGACATGCAAGAAACACAAATTCTTCAACTGAAAAAAGAAAGAACTTGTTCAATTGTCTGATAAAGCAAGTCCCCTGTGTTTACATTAAGGTTCTTACTTCTTTCTTTATACTAAAGTCCCAATATCTGTCATTTTACTCACATTTTGAAATGTCTACAACTGCACTGACATTTATTTACATAAGCATAACATATTAAAAGTCTGCAATTGATGGTTTTTCAGCACTGTAGTGAAATAAACATTCATCTTCAGTCAAGTAAATAATGAAGTTCCTGTATTAGAAGTGGTTCTACAGTAGAGGAGTACTTCTGTTTTGTTACTCTCTAACCAAGGAATTTTCAGTGAGTAGTGATAGTTTTAAAAATTGTAATTTTACATTTGAGACCCACTTGGAGATTTACTACAAACTAAAATACAATCTAGTTGGTTGTTAGGTATTTACAACAAACCATTAGTTGTGATTGAGCTTACAACCTTGTGGCATGCACCCATCCCCCGGGCCCTGATGACGACTCAAGAGCTGGCAGGAAGCCGAACTCCGAGTGAGGATGAAGCCCCGCGAGGACAGCGCAGAGAAGAGAACCGCAAGCGTGCGGGGGGGTGGCACGTGAGTCCCGAGCCCCGCCTCCTGGGTGGTGCCTCCGGTTCTGCAGCAGGGCCACATTAATTTCCCTGTTCGACCGGGCGGCCGAGCTGCGGAGTGGAGAAGGTGACAGGTAGGCGGAGCAACAAGCTCTCGTTCCTTCTCTTGGCCGTCATCATCATCATCATTCCCTCTCTGGTGGACGACATCCTCCTCCCGCCGTCACTGTGTCCCTCACCAGTGTTCGGGATTCTGGCCCCACCTTCCCGCCGGCTCTTGCGGCTGTCATCGGAGCCTGGGGGATGGGTGCACCGTACAAACCCATTATAAGAATTGTATGATTTGATTCTGCAGTGTTATTAATTGTAACCGGATTAGTAAGCTAAGTCACTGACATAAGGACTTTGGGGAATTTCAAGCTCTTTCTTGAGTAAAAGAGTCAGATTTTCATCGCAAAGAACATCAAACCTCCCAGTCATTTTAGCACTTGTCCCTTTTGACTTTTACAAGAGGAAGATGAGGAAGCCACTGAAAGTAGTGCGGAGGTCTGTGCCACCCCAGACCACGTAGTTTGCTGGGAGGCGGGTGTACACCACATCTCCTGCCGCCAGCTCCAGAGTGATTCCACTCGACACATGCTTAGCTATGCCATCGACTCCATTTTCACCCAAATGCAGCAGATACTGCCCATTTTTGTACAGATTCAGTCCCATGTTGTTGCTGGTGCTGCCATAGGAGCTGGCTGTAAATCGAATATAGTAGACCCCCGTGATTGGAGCTGTGAAGGCACCTGCAGCAAGACAGGAATTACAGGTTAACACAAGTTCAGCGAGTCAGTTAATCACTGAACTTTTGCCTGTCCTCTTACGTTGATGGTGATGATGAACTTTACCTGTATATGGGTTATAGGCACCTCCAATGTTTGTTAGGACTTTACTGTAGATCAGGTTAGTGTCAGCACTGAATGGGCCTTTCTGTTCAGCAGGTGGGCCTAAACCAGCAGAGAAAGCCACTTTTGGTCTATCTGAAATGCCAGAAGAGCCCTTTAGTTTTGTTACCCATCGGATTTTACTGTAGAAGCATGAATTTGCATTTACCTGCACTTTCGTTCTTTAGTTTGTCCACCTCTTTCTTCAAGGCTGACAGCTCACTTGCTTGTGCTTGGAACGAAAAAATAAAGTTCTAAAAAATCTATTAAATAGTGTTGAAATTGTGCGAAATCGTGCTAAATTATCTTTTTTTATGTATAAATACTCCCAATACAACACTGGGCCCCAAACGTAAGCCACTGAGGACATGATCACTGCCAACAAAGATCCAATCCCACCTTCACCACTTTACCACTCACCATCATCAATGATATGTTAGTAACACTTTCCATCAAGGGTTGCAAAACAAATTGAATTATGTTACTAAGTCACTGATTACCAATAACTGTTCATTAAGCATTAGTTATTATGTAATAACAGATTAAGTACTTAGTAATTAGTAATTGAGTATAATCTTAAACGATAGTTTGTCATTAGTTCATAAAATACTGTTACTAAGTCACTGATTACAGTTAACTGTTTATTAAGCATTAGCTATTACGTAGTAACTGATTAAGTTCTAAGTAATTATTAATTGAGTATAATGTTAACTGATATATTGTCATTAGTTCATAAATTACTCTGTTACTAAGTCGCTGATCAGTTAACTGTTCATTAAGCATGTTAATACATAGCAGCTGATTAAGTACTTAGTAATTCATGACTTTACCATGGTAACTGATAGTTTGTCATTAGTTCATAATTACTCAGTTACTAAGTCACTGATTAATTAACTGATTATTAAGCATTAGTTATTACATAGTAACTGATTAAGTACTTGGTAATTAGTAACTGAGTACATTAGTTCATACCTTACTCATTCACTGATAAGTGAACTTACATATACTTACTGTATACCAATACTTGTGCATTAGTCTCATTAATGATCTATTTACTAATCAACTGATTTATTCATCTTTATGAATCTACTGATCTACTTTACTTGAGGGGTCAGAAAAAATAGATAGCAATCAAAATTTCAGTACCTTTTTATGTCTCAAGGTTGCCTTCATAGCACTGCTAGTAGTGAAAATCATCACTTTGTTTAGTGAAACACAGATTAGTAATTAACAATAAAGTAACGGAACATGAGGAGTAATTAATGATCAAAACATAAAGGCAGGCTTGAGCTGAATATGTGGAGATTAATGAAAGTGTTCATGATAAATCAGTAGATTAAGTAACAGGTCATTATCAGGATTAAGTATTAGTAAGTTCTCATATTACTTTCTCAGTAGATCATTGTTTGTGTAATAAGTAACAGTTATACACAGTTATTGAGTAAGATATGAACTAATAGACTAAGTCAGTTAATAGCACACTCAATTACTAACTGCTAAGTTAACAATTCATCATAACTACAGCAGACAGTCTTTCAAAGCAGTCACAGACCTGCATTCTCTTTCCTCAGCTCTTCTATCACAGCTGCTTGCTGATTAACCAGGTCTTTCAGACTCTTCAGTTCTCCAGAGATGTCCAGTTGGATAAATGAACTGGACAAATCATCGGTCTCCCCGATACTGTCCTCTAAAAGACACACAAGCAGCAGCAGAGAAAAAACAGCAGATCTCATCATTTTTACCAAATGGTCCTTCAGGCAGGCTGTCTTCCATTGGTACTCATGCCAAAGCTCAGTGTGCTGGACTTTGGTCAGTTTTTTAGTCTAAGGGCTCAATGATTCAGCTAACAGGACCATTGAGAAACATAGTAACGTAACCTGTTTGCTTTGAGCCTGAAGGTTGTGGACATATAGATTTGTGCTGGCAAACATTCTATTGCAATCTACACCAACAGACTCAGTGAGGTAGAAAGAACAACTCAGGCCAAAGGTTAAGAGTATATGTCCGTCTAGTTTGACCGCATCTTCACTGCAGTGTTTGAGGAGAAACGTCAGCATGTTGTGACAAAAATAGAAATGAGGCACTCTTCAAAACAGTGCTCTGCCTCCAACGTCTGGTGTGGACAGTTCTGTTGATCACAACAGGAGTATTTTGTCATTGTTGCTCATTCACATTGCTAATTGTTGGGAAAAGATGATATTCAATATGCAATGTGCATAAAAATCCTCCTGCCTCAATCATTATTGATCATCCACATGTTAATGTCAGTAGTGAAATCCCCAAAAGCTATCACTGTCTCTCAGTAAAGCCAAGGCTATCAGCATTCCTCCTCACAGTCTGGGAGATTGTACTATGGATCTCCTTGCAGGCTCTGCCTAGTACAATTTATTCTCTTTCTGATATGGAAGCTGGAGTTATTGAGAATATATATGGGCAGCACTACAGCAAGGATTTATTTGTTTTTGCTCTTCTCCTACTTTGAATCATTTTTCCATAAAATATTGGTGGGGGGAGGGGGGGTGGTGTGGGGGTGTCTGTGTCCCTGTACAAGGTACAGAGGATGACATGCAGTTACTATAATATATATTTCCTCCCAACCATCTTGCTTCTACTCCCACTGAGACATACTTGGATAAATGGGCTTCTGTAGCTCTTATAATCTCGTATGGTCCAGAGCTGGAGATGAGTGGAAAACGTTCTTCAGTACTGCCAGTGGACACTACGAATACTTAGTGATGGGACTTAACGCTCCTTTCATCTTTTATGCTTTTGTGAATGAGACGCTATTTGATATGCTAAATCACTTTCTAGTTTGCTTATGTAGATGACATTCTCAGCTCCATCTAATTTTCAGGATGTACCCGTTTTTATGGTTCATCCAAATTTCAATAGCCCCTCATGCCCCTCTCGTCAAAGGTGGAGCTAGAAAATTATTATAAATGTTCTCTGGTGCTTTCCACACACTCATTGAGATTTTGTACCTGCTTGGCAATGTTAGGTTGTTGTGGATGCTTCTGAAGTAAGTGTTGGGGCAATTCTGTCTCAATAGTACAGTAAATAACCAAAGTTTCCTTGTGCATATTTCTCTAGGAAGCTGGCCGAGTGGAATCATGACATTGACAACAGCGATATGTGGTTGAAACTGGCAATGAAGGAGTGGTTGCTTGTCATTGTAACTGAACAACTTCCAAGACAGGAAAGGTGGTGCCTTTATACCTGTGTTTATATTTTGAACTTATTTTGTTTTCATGTCATCACTTTGGGAAACAATGATCTTTCCCAAAGTGATGATCTTAATCGAGACCAGCTTTGGTGGCATCGCAGACTTCTCTGGATGTATTTGGGATTTGAAAACCTCTCTGGTGGAAATGTGCAATTGCAATCAAGAGTAGTATATTTAGTAACATGCGTTGTGCTTTAGACCCCTGCCCTGAGCAGACAAACCTGATGTTTGAAAGAGAATTCAAAGAGAACTCAGTCAAAACTTGGTGAAGGATGCGTCTTCTGAGGATGTGAGTGAATTATCTACTGTTGTCATCGTATCCTCATCAGTATAATATTGATTTTGGACGTGAGACCTGAACACAGTCATAATATATGTACACTAACAAATTTAGAGTCAACAATTTAGTTATGTGATCTTTATAATTTCAGACATCCAGTATCCGAGAATGGGATGTGCAGGCCCAATTTACCACAATTCTCACTGTAACATTTAAGAATCTAAACAAAAGGGTAATTCGTTAAATATTAGAAAAAGTCAATGATTGGCTCACTCTGGCAATGTATTGAAAATGTTTAACCTCTTCAAAAGAGTAAATAAACTACCAGTATTGAAGAATGATATGTCAGTACGGTAGACAGGGGTCATTTTACAGATTTGGCCTGCCTCATTAATATCCAGGAATGTATCAACTGTCCATCAAGCAGGTCAAATGATTGGAAAGCTAGATTCATAGATTAGTACACAGTGTAGCTAATGTAATTATTGGGGTACAATTCCAAAGATCTTGCTCACAGGAGTCAATTTTCAGTGGAAGCAAGATCAAGCCTCTCAGCAATTTTATCTCTAGAACTTTGTTTCCATCACATGGGGAAGATGAGGAAGCCACTAAAACTAGTACGGAGCCCTGAATCATCCCAGACCACGTAGTTTGCTGGGAGGCGGGTGTACACCACATCTCCCGCCGCCAGCTCCAGAGTGACTCCACTCGAGACATGCTTAGTTACGCCATCTGTGCCAACTTCACCCAGATGCAGCAGATGCTGCTCGTTTTTGTACAGATTCAGTCCTATATTGTTGCTCTTGTTCCCATATATGCCTGATGTGAAGCGAATATAGTAGACCCCTCTGACGGGAGCTGTGAAGATGCCTGCAGTGAGAGATACACAGAAATGACAGGTTAGTGCCTCATGTTCACTTACCATCCACAAAGGAGACCTTAGACTAAAGCAAGTTTGAGAACTGCTGCCTTACATTGTTTGTATGAGTAGCTTTACCTGTGTATGGGTTGTAGGCACCTCCAACGTTTGTAAGGACTTGTTTGTAGATCAGAGTAGTATCAACATTAAATGGTCCTCTCTGTGCTGCGGGCAGGCCCAAACCAGCTGAGAAAGCCACCTTTTGCTTCCCTGTAAAGCCAGAAGAGAAGTGTAAACCTTAAAAATGCTACATACAATTCTTTCTAGCCTATTAACTCGGTAGACAAAAGCAAGTCTGATATTTAGAAACTCCAGTCCCAAAAGGCTGAATTCCTGCACAGTTTGCTGAGTCCTCTGCTCAAACACACTCAGCACCTAAATGATAAAGTTTATTAGATGTTTTAGGGAAATCAGCAGACTCTGCTGGACTCCAGCCCATTAGTTCCCCAGCCCTGCTGCAGCACAGGAACTACCCATGGGTCTGCAAAAGAAGAATGTTTCCAGACTGTCTTCATAACCTCCTATATGGTTTGACCCATTGGTTTTTAAGCTGGCAGTACGTTTCAAACGTTTCAAAGCAAAATTAATTGGTTTGTTCAAAACCGAGGCCTCCCCTGACTGTGACTGGACCACTGTATGAAGTGGGCTTCCAGCAGTGCTGAGACATACGCAGAGTTCTTTTTAAAGCTGAACTATGTAAGATTTGGGCATTTGGAGACCTCCCTGGTGGAAATGTGTAATTACACTCAATGTGCGGAAGAACAACATTTTGTAACATGGGTTGTGCTAGCCTTGGACACATCTCCTGAAGATGTGACTGAATTATCTACTATTGTCATCATATCTTCATCAGTGTAATGTTGATTTTCAGATAATTTGAGGCCTAAACATCGAGCTGGACCTTCTTTTCAATCCTGTTCATGTTGCATGAACCTGTGTATGATATTAATATGTAAAGACACGCACTATGGTGTGAACAGTCCCGAGCCGACGCCTCTGACTTTCAGTCTGTTTTTATCTGTTTTTCTCACTCAGTAATGCTACGTCTTCCAGTTTTACATGAAGTGTATACATGAATTTACATTTACCTGCACTCTTGTTCTTCAGATTCTCCAGCTCACTCTTCACAGCCGATAGTTGCTTGGAAAAAGATAATAATAAATAATAAATAAAAAGAAAAAATAAACAATAATAAATGACAAACAAATGCTTATTTTTAGCATCTATAGACGTGAATATACTGCAGTATTTTCTGGTATTTTGTTATGTCTCCAATTCCACCCGCTAGTTAGGACTCCCCCAATCACACGATGCTATCAACGCTAGGAGGGTGAAGGCTAGCACAGGCTTCCTCCGAGACCTGTGAAGCACCACCGCTTCTTTTCGAGCTGCCGCTCACGCAACGTCATTGGACAGCCGAACGCGCTCGGAGGAAAGCGCCAACCGCCAGATCTGTTACGTCAGCAAACAGACGCCTGCGCTGACTAGCATCGCGCTGAGTGATGGGGGGAGAAGGAGGGGCCATCCTACCCACCCAGAGAGAGCGAGGCCAATTGTGCTCTCTCGGACTCCCGGCTACGGATGGCTGTAGCATCACCAGGGATCGAACTCGCGATCTCCTGATGATAGGGCCAACGCTTAGACGGTTGCGCCACTCGGGAGCCAAGGATGGTATTTCTGTGTTGGTTTGAGTCACTCACATGCTTTCTGGCAAACTCCTAGCCCAATTTTGTATCATTTTCAGGATTATGCATCAACACATCTTGCACTATACTGTACTAAACTGAGAGCACTACATGCAGCAAATGATCACATTCCTTTAATTCTTACTAAAGCTTTGCATATAAATACAGAATAACCAACTGTTTTAAGTTGTTTTGCTTTTTTCCTTTAAATCACTGCATTTACTGCATAGCAGTAAGATGCAATTCCAGTACAGAATAAATTAAAATTCTTTGTTAAAGACTAAAGATTCGAATCACAGCCAGGAGACTCGAGACTTGCCTTGGATTCACATGAATCACATGTTGGCCAACATTTTTTTTGTACAGTGATTATACAAGCAAATTGTACTTAATTCAACTTAATCAAATGCAGTTTTTGGAATTCAGCCATTCAGATTCAACTGAATTTAATTGATGGAGAGGAGACCAAGACCATGCACTTCTAGTGAGTTCGGCTGGTCTCAGATCTCAAAACTAGTAGCAGAACTAGAACAGAAAGGCTCTACAAGCCATTCACATACCTGCATTCTCGTTCTGCATCTTCACCAACTCTGTCTTCATCTCTGCTAACGTTGTTGCTTGCTGATTAACCAGGTCTGTCAGACTCTTCAGTTCAGCAGAGATGTCCCGTTGGATAAATGAGCTGGACAAATCTTTGGTCTCCTGTGCCTGAGTGTCCCTGATACAGTCCGGTAAGACACACAAGAGCAGAAGCAAGGAAACAATGGCAGCTCTTGTCATTTTTACAGAACAGTTCTTCTGGCAGTGTCTTTCTCAGTGTGAAATGCTTGTATGTGGGTCTTGCCAAAGTTCGGTGTTGCTGGACTTTGGTGAGTTTTTAGTGATCGTTCAGCCAGCAGCACAAGGGAGGAACACAGCTATGCACCTAGTTTGCTTTGAGTCTAAAGGTTGTGGAAGGACAGATTTGTGCTCGCAAACATTGAAATGCAGTCTACATCAACAGAGTGCGACTGCAAGGATTGCAGGAACCAGACGCTGCTTTACACTGGCAAAAATGTCATCCTAGGCATGCGCGGGTAGACCCGGTGGTGGGTCTGTCCTCAGACAGAACAAATGTCCAGTTGGTTGGCGTGCATTACAATATGGCCATTCTTTAAGATCTATTTTGCCAGGAAAGGCTCAGTCTTGCCTTCACAGATATATATGAGGGCTAAAGGCAGAGATATAATATAACGGTAGAGAGTGAATTTTGGAGCTGGATCTCTGGCTGATGGAGGTCACAGATGGATGAAATCACTCTGTTTTCTGAGGGAAGAGCCTGATGAGTGATCTGATGTGTAAATCATGTTGCTGTTTTAACCCTTTTTTGGAATATGAAGGCCAAACAGCAGAGCAAAAATATCAGGATTTTGTCGCTGATTATGACAGGCCGGTTCTGCTGAGTGTTCTGATATGTGTTTTGCTAGAAAGCAGCTATGCACGTTGCCCGCAAAACTCAAGAACTTAAATATGTTAATATTGTTGCAAATTTTGTGAATTCAAACATTTCTGGCAAACCACTTTGTGTTATGCGAAGTATTGTTTCTCATAAGCTCATTTAACCATCTCAGGAACACCATCACCATTGTGTAGAGAGAAGCTAGTAAGTCAGAGAAAGTAGGGTGGCTGATAATGTGTTTAAATTATAGTCGACTTTTGCAACATCGACAGAATACATTCATATTCAGAGATAAATGTACATCTTTTACTAAAAAAAGTCAAGAAATGGGAACACAGATGCGGGAATACGGAATTCTCCCAGGAAAAACAGGACATCCAATGGATGATTGAATACTGTAGAATCTGGAAACAACCATGAGCTAAACTAAAATCACTAATTGATAAAATCATATACAGATATGGTTTAGCTTTACATTAAATGGACATTCTCTCATATATTTCCACTCATTCTTTATAACACCTTTTTGAGGCTTCAAATTGGAAATTGTTACTTCAGTTTCCAAAAATAACTGGAACTGTGAAATGAGTGAAATGCTAATAAGAACAGGAAGCAGCAATTAGTAAATTCTGTTTGACCTGCATTACATTGCAAACAGTATGAAAACACAATTTTTTTGTGTCTTACCTTATGAACATCATTGTTTTTGTAAATATGCACTCATTCTAAATTTGATACCTGCAGTATGTTCCAAAAAGGTTGAGACAGGAGAATGTTTACCACTGTGTTACATCATCTTTCCTTTTAACAGCACTTAATAATTGTTTGGGGACTGAAAACACAAATTGATCCAGTATTGAAACTGTTTTTTCCCTATTCTTTAGTGACAAAGGCAGGGCATTTGTTGTCTTATCAACAAATGCCCTGCAAAATATGATGTTTTCAATGGGACACATTTCTGGATGGGAGGCAGGCCTGATTAGGCAACCATGCTGTTTATGTGTGCAGAATTTTTCTTGGTGTTATGTCAAAATTAGCAAGGATGTCCCTGAAAAAGACGGTGTCTAAAAGGCAGCGTATGTGTTCAGTATTTATTATGCCTTTACAGATGTGCAGGTTGCCCACCAACATGCCCACTGACAGATGCAGACTTTTGAACTTTACACTGGTAACAATCTGGATGGCCCTTTTCTATTTTGGCCTGAAGAACATCCGAGACATCTGTTATTTTTATAAACAATCTGATAAGTTGAGCTCCCTAATGTGCCGCAAACTGTCTAAGCTTTGGCCCTATCATCAAGAGATCACAAGCTCGACCCCTAGTGATGCTACAGCCATCTGTGACCGAGAGTCCAAAACAGCACAAATGGTCTTGCTCTATCTGGGTAGGTAGGATGGGTCCCCCCGCCCCCCGCCCAGAAGTGAACCATGATTTATGCTCTCTGTTTTTATTTGAATTTTCCCTACTGACCCAACTTATTTAGAATAGGGTCCCAAGTTACAACTGGAAATTCATACTTCAGTTTCCAAAAGCAAACATTAACCTTAGTCTTATTCCATATAGTGTGTGTCAAAATAGATTTCCACTCAACAAGTTTTTGCTATGTGTAGTTTTATTTAATGTGTAATTTCAATCATGGCAAAAGAGACACAAACTTTAGTAAAATAGAAATAATTACATGCAGTTTTAGTAGGTAAGGTATATGATCTAAAATTTAAAAGCAGGCTAAATGTTTTGACAGCTTGAATCAGCAGTGTTGCACATTTTAAGTTGATTAGGTTGCTAATATGATCACTTGAGGGAACAAAGAATACAGTTTAGTGAGCAAAGAGGACCCAAGCAGAAAGGTTATCACTGGGCCTTTGCATCTTTCACATGGGGAAGAGGAGGAAGCCACTAAAACTAGTGCGGAAGTACGTATCATCCCAGAGCACATAGTTTGTTGGAAGGCGGGTGTGCACCTGATCTCCCGCCGCCAGCTCCAGAGTGATTCCACTCGAGACATGCTTAGCTATGCCGTCAATGCTGTTTTCACCCAAATGGATCAGATGTTGCCCGTTTTTGTACAGATTCACTCCTATATTCCATTTCTTGTCATCATATCCAGCACCCGTAAATCGAAAATAGTAGACCCCTTTGACCGGAGCTGTGAAAATACCTGCAATAAGAGACACATGAGATACAATGTCAGCTGCTTGCTGTCACTCAATCAAAATGTATTTCAATTATAAAAGTATAAGATAATAGTTTACAGTTTATTTAATTAATAATCTTATTCCAACACCAAAATGAGTTCAGATATTCATATATTCAAATAACCACACTTACTAGTTACTATGCAGTGTACTTTCTTAATAATTCATTTTTGCTGGACCGCCAGTGAGCCAGCTCACAAGAGTTGCCATGTCTTACTGGCTATGTTTACATGCAAAAAATTTCTGCAATCCAATTGAATACATCATAATTACAGATTATAGATTAAGTCTATGCTCACTCTACTCAACAATCTGACAGAAAGCCTCCATTAACATGTGCCAAAAAGAGAAACGCTTAGTGTAGCCATTACCATGACAACCAGCATCACGTGAGTCCAGTCAGAGTGAGATGAGCAGCAGTGAGCAGCGCTTGTGTTTTTTAATCACTTAAAAATGATGTCAGACTCAGGAAAACGTCCTTCACATGTCCTTATTAAAGAAGGCCGAGAGGAAGACGTCGTGTTCTGAGACACATAAGCTGGACGTCCGTCCCACCGCCGTCTTTTAAAGATCAGAGCATAAACTTCGTCTCCTCTGCAGACCAGTTTCTGCTCCACCATGTTGAACGGTATAAACTTTCACTATGACGCAACGAACATGATCAGAACGGACTTAAACTTTCAGATAGGGAATGTAATCAGATACCCACCTCGATCAATCAGATAGAAACTGTATTCCAAATGGCCTCAATCAGACTAGTTCATTCTGATTGAGGTGTTTACATCGATGTATTCTGTTTGAATTGAGCTACTAGTCGGATTATTATCAGATTATATGGCTGCATGTAAATGTGGCTACTGACTGACTGGCTGACTGACCAATCAAAACAACATCGTCATCCAGTTTAAAATATAAATAATGAAATAATAACGGTTGCAGTAATACAGTGTTTGAGTATTGAGTACTGAGTGTTTCGTTGAGCTCTGTGCGCGATTTCAGTCAGAAATGCTCACTTTGCAGTATAAGCAGTGCTAATGTTCAATGTTTCACTCTTTCAGCTGAGTATGAAGTCATCAAGCAGCAGTATGTCACCACTAAATGCGTCCAAACTTCATTTTGTCAATTGCTGTTTTTGTTTAGAATCATCGATTTGTAAAGAGCTTGCCAAGGTAATGTTAGCTAGTTCAGAAGGGATAATGCTAGCATTGTTAGCACGTATGTTAGCAGCACGAGAAACTGGCTCTTGGGAAACTGTGCACATCATTTTGGGTAACTAGATATTTGTGTGAATAGAAATCATCTAAGAGTCTGATATAGTCTGTTATGATGCTAATAACAGCCTAAAAAATCAGGCCTTTTGTGAATTTAGAGCTCGCTAAACCAATCATGACACAGCAGTAGATACAAAAGCACCCCAATTATGAAAATTAAATTATCAAATTAATCGTCATGAAGGGTTTATTTGTCTTAATTTGGACAACACAGGATGCCAAACGTACAGAGGATACCCCTCTCCAGACAGGAAAGCCACTGCTGTCACAATAAAAGTCTCCCATAAACCTGCTGTTTAAATGGAAGATGAATTGATTGACTTGAAATATTTACAAGACATCCAACTCTAACTTTAAAGGAGAAGGGAAAAAAAAAAACATTCTTAACTTGTGATTGAAGATTTTTTTTCCCCAAGTAATTTTGGACTGTTTGTGGTTTATCGGTCTGTTCATTGTAAGATTTGGCAAAAATAATTAAATAAATAAATAAATAAATAAATACAATTCTGTACTTTGCATGACAAATGCTATGGTGGTCCAGCTTACCTGGTGTTGTTTTACCTCATAAACGAGTGCACTGAACAAATCAATAGGTAACCATTAACGTTTGCAGTAATAACTTCACCTGTGCCTGAGTTGTAGGCATTTCCAATGTTTGTGATGACATTTTTGTAGACCAGATTAGTCTCAGAATTGAATGGTCCCCTCCGTCCTGCAGGTGGGCCTATAGCAGCTGAGAAAGCCACCTTTTGGCTCCCTGTATTTCCAGAAGAGAAGCATAAAACACAAAATGCCATGATGCCATTTCTTTCTCTACACTCTCAGAAATAAAGGTAGTAAACTGTCACCCCTCAAGGGTTCATCTCAGTACCTTTAGTCAGGGAACATAACTGAACCATAATCCACTGAAATGATATGTTCTAAGCTGTACTGACTCCACACACCCCGTCTCGTCTCCAGGCTTTTATTTTACTGATCTGTTTTAAAACATTTGCTTATGAAAAGGTACAAATACAAACTTTTTACCTGGAAAAACGTATTTAAGGTTCACAATCAGACCTTAAAACCCCTGTTGTACCTTTGAGGGAACATTTACATTGTCTGTACCTTGAGGAATGAAAAACGTACCTGCACAGAACCTTTATTACTAACAGTGTACTGTCTTCGCAGACACAATTTAAGAAAACACAGGCAGGATTTAAGGCCTTATTAATTGAAATGAGGTTTGTGCCAGCAGGTATTTTAGCTGTAATTCATTGCTGACGACACTGAAGCATCGATGGATCAAGAAGGGCGTCCACAGATGAAGAATGTTGAAGAAACTGCCTTGAAAAATACCTTGTTTTAGGTGCATGAATTTGTATTTACCTGAACACTCTTTCCTCAGATTTTCCAGCTCGTTCCTCAAGGCCGAAAGCCCACTTGCTTGTTCTTGGAAAAAATGAAAGCAAAGCCTTTTAAGATCCTCGACATCTCACATTTCAATAAAAGCACTGATTACAAATCTTCTTTCTGTTGGTCAGTATGAGAAAAATCTCATTGATGAGGTCCTAAAAAAATCTCCGCATCTTCTTCACAGAATTGTTCCCCTGATTTGGCATCAATTACACACTTAAAAAAGATCGTTCTTTGAGGGTTCTTTAGTAAAGAAAATGGTTCTATATAGAACCATGAACACTCAAAAAACCCTTTGCATGATTAAAGGGTTCATTGCATGGTGAAAGGGCTCTTCAGATTGATAGAGAATGTGTTGTAGATAGTTTTTAAAAAAGGGTTCTTTATAGCAGCAAAAAGGGTTCTTCTATTGTAGCAAGCTTGACATCGTAACAGTAGAAGAACCCTTCTTGGTGCTCTATAGAAGCCTTTTCACAAAGGTTCTATATAGAATCATAGTCTGTTAGTCTTGAGTCCCCAAAATTTCCATACGAAATATTGCCGCATGCAAATTCACACATACGAAACGACAACAACGGAGCAACAGCAGTGAAAAAGGCAGACTACGAGTAGAAATGCGTTCCAGGCTGTGAAGGGATGTCGGCTCTTTTTACACCCCTCCCAAGGAACCGAACTGTCAACAGGCATCGCTGATGTTCATCTTGAAACAAGGCTGAAGTTGGCTTCCTAATCGAATGTTCCGTTCCACCTTAAATGCTACAGTTTGTACAGGCATCAGACTGCACAGCACCATTTAAGTACCATTTAAGGTGGAGCGGAGAATTTGCAAAACAGTCTGGTGAATAGGAAGCCAGTTTCAGCTCCCACATCTCTAACAGGATCCCCGACAGCTTTAATCCAAAGTTGTTAGTTCGCTCTGCACATTTCACTCCGGACAGTTTCTCAAACCTTGGACAACATCGAGCAGCTTTGCTTAGCGTTTGACCCCTGAAGAGACGGAGGGGCAGTTCCACCTTTATTAGCATCACAGCCCCAACAGCAGCCTGTGAGCAGCCCTGCTGTGAGATTTTATTTACTTTGACAGTTGACGCAGATCATCTTAAACTGAGAGCTTCACAGTGAGCTAACAGCTTTAATTTACTTTCGTGTTGCTGTCAAGATCAAAAGCAGGTAGCTAGTACAGGTAGCATTAGCTACTAGCCAGCTCCAAGTAACTAGCATAGCTAACTAAACGGAGGTTCATATTCATTTTCCTGTGTATATTCCAACATGTTGCTTCTGTGTGAGCCATCGCGGTACCTCTCTGTAAACCAGCCAATCAGAGCACAGCTCATCAGATTATTCATGAGTCCCCCAAAAAAGGACAGGTCATTTAATTCTAAGGCCAAATCACAGGGCTGTAAATGGGCGTGTAAAACCGAATCTGGGCATTTTTCAACCTGACCAAGTCACATACCTTCTATGTAGACATCAGAGAACGATTCACAGTACAGAATAAATGCATTCTATGGCACCTTTAAGTCCAGTAATGAGGTCCAGTGAGGTGTTTCTAATAAACTGTACAGTTTATGTATCCACCAAATCCAATACATAGCAAGAGAGATTAATTTATCCATAATACAGCATATTACATTATCTCCATTACATATTATATACATTATTTTTGCACCATTTTTCTTGTTTTGTGAAGAAGGTATGATTCATTCATCATTCATTCTAGCATTTCTTCTGCTCTCCAGCAGCAGTAATGCTAAAAAATTTGGATTCTCCTCTGAATGAAATCACTTTGATTCCAGAACATTAAAATGGGCTGTTTTACCTGCATCTTTATTCTTCAGGTTCTTCACGTCATTCTCAACAGCTGTTAGTCTGGACTGCACGTTCTGCAGTTCGGCCGTCTGAGCTGTAAACGGACAGCAGTGTGGAGCCGGTCACTACAAGGCTGTTCAAATGCTTTTAAAACCATAAGTAAAACATTTAAGAGAGGAATGGATCAATTGTTGATTAAAAGTAATACCTGCATTCTCCTTCTTCAGCTTCTGCACCTCTTGCTGATTGGCTGAAAGACTGGTTTTCAAACTGGAGATCGCCACTGCATTTGCTATGATGGGGTCATGGAAATATACCAGAGTGAATTATGACTCAATAATGTGTTTTATTTTTATTTTAAAGCATTTGGCTTAGAAACACTTCTTGGTTTAGAAAAATCAAAGTTGTGTAAAAAAGATTTGACCTCCTTTAATCTTTCGTGTAACATGGAAACAAGTGGATTTGAGTGTAAATGATGGATCGTCTTCAGTGCGTGAAATCAAGTGCCAGCCGACCAGCACCTCATTTACATACCGTTTACCTAAGGCACACCCTATCTCAAGCAGATTTTTCAATAGGGCCAATAAAATGACAGCACTCAGTAGCCTGTTAGCCAATGGCTGTGTTTGTAGGTGGAGTCTGAGGTCAAGAAAGTCTTCATCAAGTCTTTGACAATGTATTAAAGAGATGAATGAGACATTAATTATTTGTTAAATAATAAGAATTTGTTTTTTCTCATTTCATTTATAAGATGCAGAAATTGTACTCATGTTGTATATTTACCGTTCTACAGAATTATTTCAAAATGTGGTCCCATAATAATAAATAAATAAATAAATAAATAAATAAAAATGAAGTATTCAGACCTAAGATATTTACAAGGATTATGTTCTGATCTATTAAAACCCAAGGCATTAATAGAGATAATAATAAGTTAAATATGTACAAAATCATCATTTACAGCGAGATGTCTGTCCCAAAGCCTAATCCCTAAATTTAGACCTAAAAATACCTAAATTATTAAATTTAAATTTAAATTTTTTAATGCTGTTTTTCAAAAGATGGTTTTTGTTGTCTTTTAAAGTTGAAAGATTTAGATTTATCATTTTTAATTTGTGAAAAAAAATCCTGTCCCACGTTTACATGTGACTACCTGAACACAGAGTTTCAGTCTGTATGCAGAGCCTTATTTTAGCCACGCCCCTGCATTTTAGAGCAGGAAGTGAGGCTGCATCCCTGTCCCTCATGGCCACATGGTGAGCAGTTAGAGCCCATTGTTTTGAACTAAATGTGCCCCAAAGTCTGAAAATCAGTTTCCAGAACAGTCACTACTGAAACATTTGGCAAAGTTTTGGTAGTGTCTGTTTTAGTAGTGACAAGATGGAATGTTCGAACATTAGTTTTAAGAAAATAAACAAAATTAAGGTACATGGCCACTCAAAGCAAAAGGATTTGGTCTAAAGTCTTTTAAAAGCACGAAATGTGTTTTCAACTCTGACTTTGAACCGAATCTTTAGAATGATCCATAAATTTGGTTTTTACATACAAAATGTCGACTGCCCAATGTTTGAGTGACTAGCCATGGGACTAGTGCTACCTTACAATACCCTCAGCATCACTGTAGCGCTAACAAACCTCATACATCACCTGGTTTATCATCATATTCAAGTTTATCAAGTCCTGCATTAACAGTAACACTCAGCATTTTGGAGATAAGCATGGGAGGACTGTGGAGAAAAAATATTTACCTGTAAATTTTACAAATTACCGTTAAATTTTGTAACTCTTACATCCTGTTTATGCTTTAAAAACCATGTTAAAATGTTATATTGTAGTACTTATTAAGATGAACACTTTTGAGAAGTATTATAATGGACTTCCCAGGGTGACAAGATCTTAAACTGTGCTTCCTGCTAATTTGTAGTACCAGTGCTACCTGCTCAAAAAGTTGGAAAGATGACCAAGACTGTTGCCAGGAGGGCAGACCAAGATTTTGCCTGTGAACAGAATCAAACCACATCATTCACGCACCTGCATTCTCATTCTTGACCTTGACAAAGTCTCTCCTCAGTTCTGCTAACACGGTTCCTTGCTGATAAACGAGGGCCCTCAGACTCTGCAGTTGACCACAGCAGCGCTTTCGGCTGGACCGATCTTCAGGCTTCGGTTTCGTAGAGTGCCCGGCACTGTCCTGTAAGAGACAGAAGAGCAACAGCAGAGAAACTACAGCAGCTCGCATCATGTTTGCTGAATGGTCTGGCTTCTGGCAGAGTGTCTCTCATTTTATAATGCTTGCCTCGGCCCCCCGCCAAAATGAATCATTTATAGACTTTGCTAAGGTTTAAGTGTAGTTTTGATCTTTAGTAATATCACAATATGGATGAACATAACACCACACCTTGTTTGCTTTGCGATTTAAAGCTCTGGAGGTACATATTTGTCCTCATAAACAACCTACTGGAGGTCTGCTACCCGACCCAACCCGACAGGCAACAACAGCTCTTTTCCTCTTCTTTGAATCCATGGTGGTTTTAAATAATAATGAAAATGCATGGTTTTATACTGAATTGTTAATAAAGAAGATTTGGAGGGAAGATTTTTGATTGGATGTAGTTTACACTGGGGGGGGACCAATTTAAAATCATATAGAGCCTGTAGATATGGACAGTAGTTGGCTTAGTTTAAATTATATTGAGCCTTGCAGCTAAAGTCTGCAGGAAGAGAGATGTCCAGGAGCAGGGGTGGTGACCACTGCCATAATGACTTAAAAAAAGCATCAGGGTTAGATTGAACGTAATGTTAGCTGGATAAGCAAAAAATACTAGAAGATAATCTGTAATTAAAAATAACCTATTATTACCCCAAATGAGCATCCAGTTATCAGGAATACATAAATTAGCCACTTTATATATATGACATGACAGGTAGTGCACTGTATATGAAAAGAATTTTAGAAATACTACTGAATTTATTAAAAAAATTGATTAAAAAGAAAATTCAAACAGAGAGAGCTGTGTTTCATTCGCTTAACTACTATGAAGAAAACGGTCAGTTCGCCAGGTAAATTTCATCAGTAAGGCTGGGGTTTAAGTGCTGAGCTGAGTGCAAATTGATAATGTTGAGGCTTTGCGTGTTTCCAGCTTCTGGAGGCGAACTTGAGCTCTGAACGCTTCACTTGTCTTCCGAAATAAACCAAGTATAAACACAGTAACAGACATCGGACGGCGCTGCTGTTTATTCGGCAGGAAATGAATCCATTCACATGAAAAATAACCCGCCTGCAGTCAGACTCTCCATGTTTCTTCCACTTTGAGTCTCGAGTCTTTCTGAGTCATGAGGTTCAAGTCTAAGTCAGAGTCCGAGTCACTGGTGTTGAAGTCAAAGTCGAGTCCCGATTTTCTCGAGTCGAGTCTAAAGTCATCAAACTCGTGACTTGAATTGGGCTCGAGTCCAAGTCATATGACTGGAGTCCACACCTCTGGCTGTCACAATATACAATACATGCAACACCTATAACAAAAGAACAGCCTAACAAAATGCTGCATGTTATTGTCCAAAATATAAGGAGCGTTTTTCAGTTTAACTGTTTCTGGTAGCAAAGTTGTGTTTCACACAGAAACAGTTAGGAATCACATTCCGGCCATATCTTTCATATCCGTGCACATTTGGAAGATCCTGTGATTAATACTTATTATTATAGGTCGAGCACTGACCCACTTAGCTTACCTACCCTGGTAGGTCCACTGCTGTGGAACTCCTAGTAGTTGGAGGCCTCTGGAACAGTCAGTTAGCTATAAACTTTATTACCACTCTTCAGACCATCCCTTCACTTCTGTAGAAAGCTTAAAAACCCAGAGCACACATTTGTGTTTGTTAGGTCACACAGGACATATTATGACCTACAAATATAATATTAATAATGTGCAGTTGTAAATTCATTCAGCTGGAACTATTTAACTTCTACAGAACGTTTGATCAACTTAGAGAACACACACACAGACACACACACACACAGATACACACACACACACACACACACACACACATCAGGACATGTTTACAATCTGCAAATGTTTACAATCTGCAAATATAAACCCCATAAACCTGTTCATTATCAGTTGTTTTGAATGTAATCATCTACATGAACTTAGGCTACATTTTACAAGTTTGTTCAGCATATGGTTCTAGTGGTAGAAGAAACTAGCCAAATGTGGGATGGGACAGAACTTGACTAACAGAGGTAGGACTGAGGAGCAGGAAGAAGATGCAATAATATCTGTCTGCAGAGCCGCAGAGCCACAGTTTCACTCCAGCAGGTTCAGGCCAGTGGTATTCAGCACATACGCCAACACTGGTTTTGGTATTTCTTAGCGATTCTTAGGCAAATTAACATTTCAGTCGTTTTATGTGGGTTTCCAATAAATATGTGATTACTTTGCACTGGGCTAGTGTTATATCTTAAGCTTAAGGCTAAAACAAACTTTGGTTTGAATGCATATAGAGATTCACAGGGTAAATATTACACAAGCTACAGCTGATGTGTCTCTGGGTAAACTAATGTGTATGTAGACATACAGCTCAATAACTCACCCTTAATAGGGGGATGTGTGTGTACACTTACATTACATGTGCAGGAATAAAACTACCTTAGGCAGTTTAAACTGAGCATAATATTAAACCTTAGGCTGAAACAAACTTTAGTTTATAAATGTATTCCTGCTGAAAAAATCCATAGAAACCATAAAGTGTTTCTTTTGGTTTCTGATGGTTTTGTAATGTGTTTTGTTTTATGGTTTAACTGGTTACCAATGGCTGATTCGTGTATTGGTAACATTGGTTCGTATATTGGTTCTCCCTTCCTGAACGGTAATGTTCATGGCGACACATACAACCAGCACAAACAGTCTCTGTTTACATCAGAGACGTTATAAATGAGGAAACAGGCCACTGCTTGAAATATTAAAGAGACGCTCTCAACGCTCAACTGTCCTACAAGGACTTTGTTTACATGGCGCAATAGCGCTGTCCTACTGCGCATGACTTCCACTGGCCTGAAACCGGCGGAGTGAATCCGCTGGTGTAAATCTGTGGCTCTGTGGTCAGACTCTTCTCAGAAGATGGGCTAGTGGTGGGTTGCAAAATGGAAGATAGAAATAGGAAGTTAGATTGGAAGAAGAGAGAACTTTAGGCCTGGTTCTCCTCACAAACTTCAGTTATTTCACAGCTTTACAGAATAACTCTTTTTTTTAATTCACGTCATGATGATGGATACGCTTTGATTCTGCTTTGACCCCTTAAACTCTCAGGTGTATTACATACTAAGGTTTATTATTCAGTAACTACATGGACTTCAGTGTAAACTGGCTGAGCTATTCTAAGGTTATAGAAGTGTGTAATAAAAATTGCCCGGCCATGTAAGGGGTTACGCTCCACAGTGACTCCACCAGGTCCTCAGTCACACACCATTTCAAGTCATATGGCTTCATAGATATCATCTTTGCAAAGAACACTACGACCTTACAGTAACACCAGTCCTGGTCTTTCCCACTTACCCTCAACGTTTCTCCTATCCCTCCTTCTACAACAGTGACCTCAGGAGGAACGTTAAAACACCCCACCCCCCCCCCTATATTTTCTCTCGCTCTCATCTTCACCATTTTTAGAACTGGATCTGGGCACTGCTGCTCCTCTGCTCAGGCCTCTCAACTTTGAGATTAACTTGGGTTTATCACCTCCAAACCTGTCTAGATTAGGGGTGTCGAACTGGGTTCCTTCCAGACCACAGCTCTGCAGAGATCAGCGTTTTCCCTCTTCTAACATTCTGAATTCAGCTCATGAAGGCCTTGCTACTTCGCCGATAGGTTTAGTGTGTTAAATGAGGCAGAGCGCTGAACTTCGCAGAGCTTTGGCTCACAAGGAACCCAGTTTGGCACCTGTCCTCCAGATCCTCATCTTGTGTTATGCAGAACTGAGAAATTTCTCATGTTAGATCTGATAGAACAAATGTTACGCAGAACTGAGAAATTTCTCATGTTCAACCAAAGCAATGCACATTCAAAGGACATATGGAAAGTGTATCCAGACTAAAAAACATTTGGGATGTAGTTCAAAAGCAGAGCATAATGGGAATTTAAACTTAATTCTCCACAGTTAAATGTTCTATTATATAATAATAATATAATATTTTTTATTAAATTGACCTATAAACTAAAAACAAGGTTTTATTCTGCATTTTGGAACAGATTTTTTGTTTTTGGGCCTGGTTTGGGCTCAAAACTTTGTGTGGTTCGGGTCAGGTCAGGTTCGGACAATTTTCTTTTCTGGCTCAGGTCCGGTTTAAACTAAAAACTTGATGTGTTTCGAGTTGGACTCGGACAGGAAGCTCCTGATTTGTATTCGGATTCGGGCCAAAACTTTCAGGCCCCAGTGAAAACCTGTGTGGCATAGTATTAAATGATACTACAACTACAACTGATGATACTATTGTACTATCCTTATAAAAAGAAGTTGGAGGCCTCTGGAACTGTTAGCTGTAAACAAAGCTGACTTTATTACCATTTATTAGACCATTTTATTACCATTTATTAGACCATCACTTCACTTCTACAGAACTTTTGTGGGACATTTTATTTGTCAGCTTAGTAGGACACTTTACAATCTACACACATAATAACAATGTCTACCAGTTATATTGTACCTCTGTCATAGCTTTGCTGTTACAAATATTGATCTCAAAGGGTTATAAGTTTGCTTTGAGTTTAATCATTGACATTTATAAAAAAATCGAGATGATTAGATCATTTGTCTTCTTTGTCCTACTGAACAGGTTTCTAGGCCTGGTGTTGGAGGATTTCCTGCATATCAAAGTCAATGCAACGTGTAGTTTCTGCACAGAGCTCATTCCAGCCTGAAAATATGTGCAGTTAAATAAAATAAATGTCAAAAGAAAAAGCAAAGACGCCACAATCAACATTCAAAAATAGTACTTAAGTACAGTTAGAGGTACTTCTGCTTCTTTAGGTCATTCTCCATTTGGAGGGGAAACCATGTCACAAAGGTTTCAGGGCTTAAAAAGATGTTGAGAATATCAGGTTCAGCTCCAAAAGTCAGGATGTACGTTTACCCAGTTGACCTAAAATAAAAAAATACTTTTACCTTCTGATTTCTCAGATTTTTTTCTTTATCCTGTTTCATAGTCGCTCTACATCTGTAAAACAGCTCGTCACTAAACCAACTTTCAACATTTGAGAAACAAATTTTAGTATAAAACCGTTTAGAGGTTTAACTTAGGAATTTGCATAAAACAGATTCATGTTTACTTTTTGTATCATTAACGTTTTACTACGTTTAAAAAATATGTATTTTATTTTTTTTAAAATTCATTTGTCACAGAGTTTTTGGTCACTGGTGTTATCAGGACTCTTATTCTACCTTTTAACACAGTGTTTTCAGCTCTATTAAACTGCTTCTTTGGGTCGAGTCTCATCAGAAAGGAAGCATCTCAAGGCATGAGAAGGCGAGTCACACTCGCTCACTATATTTCATTCATTTATTAATAATTTTGTTTATCAGGCAGCTCATAACATCTATGTGTCACCGGTGTTATGAGCTTTAATGGCTGGGCTAGTAATATTTTGTAAAAAATAATGTCATAAATCATTTTATTACTGATTTCAAATAGTTGCACAAGGTCACCTGATCAGTCAATGAGTCAACCAGTTTACAAAATCCTCAGTTTTAACCAGAATGTCACTGGAGTCTCACCATATTAATACAACACCAGTGACTAACATATATTTGAATTAAGCTCCTTTCTGCATATATGATAATAGGAGATGTTAATGGACATATTAAGATTATTTAGATTTGAGATGAAAGAAATTGATTTTTAAAAAAAATGTATCCACCTGAATTTACATTCCACTTGGGTCATAATGGAGAACTAATCACTTCTTAAAAAAATGACAGGAATTTTTTTCCAACACCGGCGGTGTTGCATATAACTGTACAGTATTGCTAGCACCCCACAGTACGTTCAGTGTTTAGTTTCCTGAGCGAAAGTCTTGCTTACCAGAGCAGATTTTAAGCTGTAATTTCCCAACTAGGCTGTTACACGGGAAAGATGAGGAAGCCACTAAAACTATTGCGGACAAGGGAATCATCATAAAGCATGTAGTCTGCGGGAAGACGAGCGTAAAGCACATCTCCTGCCTCCAGCTCCAGAGCCAGACCACCTGAAACATGCCTAGCTTTGCCGTCGCTGTTGTATTCGCCCAGATGCATCAGATGGTGATCGTTTTTGTACAGATTCAGTCCCATATTGTTGCTGTTGCTGTTGTACGCGGCTGCAGTGAATCTGATATAGTAGACCCCTCTGACCGGAGCTGTGAAGGTGCCTGCAGAAAGAGAGAGACATGAATTACAGGTTAAGGCAGCACATTTCAGTGCTTCTCAGTTCCAGTACCTATTTAAACTACTGGTTCAAGTCAAGTAAGTAATGATCAAGGCCTTCATGATGCAAGTCCGGTGTTTAAGAGTGGGGCAAATGCTTAAATGTTCAGTGGAATAGAATGGGACACACAGTAAAACATGAAAGCACATAATATAACTTTCTTTGATATTGTTATTAATCAGAATTAAAAATATTCTGTGCATCTTCTTCACATACTGCATTGCACATAAGTCAGTGGGGAGCCCTCAGGGCAGGCTGGGTCTTTAGAGGTTTCTGGGAACTAAAAACACTTGTCTGTAATTTCTAGTTCATTTTTATTTTATAGAATCAATTGAAATATTTTTAAGTAATATTTAAAACTTATTCCAGTGTTAAGTTTTGGTTAGAACTGGCCGAAAACAATGTCACTCTAGGCCTTCTGGAACTGAGTGTGAATATGAGTAGTCTAACTAGGTTTCAGGTAGTTGTTAGGATTGGAAAACAGCGGCGGCAGAACTCTTTAATGAAAGACTCACTGAAAACTGATACATTCAAACTCAAATATATGCTAATGTCCATCACAAGCTTCAAATAAAACACACGGAATGTCTTTTATAAGCTTCAAATCTAGACTAGAACAGTAAAAGATGTACACAGGCACCAGCCTAGTGCTAACATTCTATTAGAAACCCCATAGGGATGCTAGCAGGAATTAGCACTATCACTGTTCGCCATTGACATATGTTGAGTAAATCATTCAATACACCTTTTAGTTGTCCTCTTACATTGATTGTCTTAATAACATTACCTGTATACGGGTTATAAGCACTTCCAATATTTGTCAAGACTTTATTATAGATCAGAGTGGTCTCAGCGCTGACCGGGCCTTTCTGTCCAGCAGGTAAACCAGCAGAGAACGCCACCTTTGGTCTTCCTGTAATTCCAGGACAGAAGTATGAAAACAAAAAAGATGCCCATATACACCATCCAGGCCCGATCCCTCTTCACCCCTCGTCCCTGCAACTTAGCCCTACCCCTCGGTTTTGCGTGTTCACGTCTAGGGGTAGGGTGTCCAGATTGTTGTTGAGATAGAGGGGTAGGGTGAAGTGTTAGGGGCTACATGACCCTCCAAACGGAGGTTTTTCAGACTCCAAACAGAGAGTTATGAGGAAAAAAGAAAAACTGGCAAGATGGCTGCACAAGCGACCAAAGAAACCCTCAAATGTGAGAATTTTCTCCGTTAAAAATTACGATAACTATTGTATTATCTTAGTTTAATGTCGTTTGTATTATAGTCCTTTTTTTCATAACAAGAATTAAAAAAAAATTCACTAGTAGTAGCTGATGTCTCAGTAGATAGCTAGATAAATTTCCTGTTCCACCTTTAATGGTGCAGCATTTACGCTGCCCAAGAACAATGAAGCTCTTGGAACCATAGCTGATCCACAAGCTCTGTTCTTTGGGCGAGACTGAGTCGAGTCTCGCTGGAACAGGTCATGAAGAACGGCCACATGCAGCCATGTGCAAAAGTGTGAAAACCTCCAGCCAAATTATGTTTTGTAAAAATATGTCAACACATTCTCTACAGAGATTTTAGTGCAGTTTCTTCTAATTTGCTGAATTTAACACATCAGAGAAAGAAAGTAGAAAACATGCCGTGAAGCAGATAAAGCAGAGCGTCCACAACAGGAGAATGTTGGAGAAAAAGTCCAAATTGCCTTTCAGCCGTTTTTACTGTGTATTTACCTGCAATCTCATTCTTCAGCTTCTCCAGATCACTCTTCACGGCTGAGAGGGCACCAAAAAAAACAAAGCAAAGCCTTTTAAATTCTTCAACAGTGACATCCTATAAAACAGCATCAATGCTTTAATCCCCATTTTGGTTTGTGCATCTGAATTTACATGACCAAATCGTAAGGCAAATTATTCAGTAACTGCATGAAATAAATGTAAATTTTTATTTTATTTATTTTTTGTAAAAGCTCCCCTCAAATTAACAGAACGTGTTTTATGATCACACATAATACTATATGCTTACAATTTACTGCTGAAAGCCAAAAATCTTAGACGCTCTTTGTGTTATTTTATAAAAATAATGTTTACAGAGCAGATCACTGAAGAGACGCCATCTGTTTATAGTTCATAGCCCAGATTTGTGGAAAAATGGGTCGACTTTCAGTAGAAAAAAATTGTGAGCTCAGCTTCTTTTATTATAAGGGTTTAAAATTACATCACCCATCTATTTGACTGGAAAGAAGACTGTTATAGCTCTCATACGACCCCCACCTTTAGAATGTAGCTTATGAAATATGAAAGTTATGAAGAATATGACGAAGTGCGTTTTGAAACCGCCGGTGGTCGCAAGGAGTTAAAAACGTTAAATCTGTATTATCAGAAGACCAGCTCTTTCAGAAAAATCAAATCTATAGTTTTTCAGTATTTAATTAGAGTCGGATGGTTTATTGATGAGGTTCCATAACATCTCAGCATCTTCTATTGTTCCACAACATCTCACAGCTCACTTGCTTGTGCTTGGAATAAAGAAAACTAAGATCTTCAACACCTGTTCTGTCAAAGTGGCACTCCAGCTATCATAAAAGCTGTGACCATCGCTTACACTTGCTGTAAACATGCCCACTCACCTTCTGCCGCGGTGCTGCAGTGGTCTCAAAGAGTGAGATTTTCCATTTTAAAGACTAAAAACCCTTCAGATGATGCATGTTGAAGGTCAAGGAAGTTTTGAAAAACTACAAATGCTACAGGGCAGAAACCAGAGGCCAAATATCTTTTCCTACTAGCTGGCTAATAGGAAAGAAAGCTAGTCAGCTAATGTTACTGCTAGGAAACTGAATATCACATCTAGTCAGAAATTCATTATCGTCTTGGCAGGAGTGCCAATGATTGTGTGACGTGTTTTATAATGCATGCTGGGTATTGTAGTGAAAGAACACTGATTTACAAAAACACAAAAATCATGAAAGCTGTCAAACCGATGAGGCAGAGGGATGCAGTACTGTGCTATACAGGGTGACTGAAAAAGATTCATCTGATTTCAAAGCACCATAATTTTACAACCGAGAGGTGCCGAAGGAACCAATCACAATCCAATTGAAAGAGGGGGTCATAGAGTTTCTGACTGCCAGTGGAAGATGGTTCCCTTCAGTCTGAGAGGAGATGAGACCCCTGAGCAGAAAACGTTCTGCGTTCTCCACTTCAATAAGAGTGAATCAGTCATAACTGTGCAGCGTGATTTTCGTGGGCAGTGAAGCTCCAACAGCTCAGAGCGTTCATCGTTGGTTCCACAACACTGGATGATCTCCGAAATCGCCCTGAAAGAGCCGTGAGTGCAGCGACACCCGGCATGCTCAATCCAGTATGGGATGAATTTGACTATGGTGTTGATGTCTGTACAGCTGGAGGAGGTTCATACTGAGACCTTGTACAATTACATAAACTTTATGCTCATTTAAACCATTTTCAGTTTACTGCACTGTCCTGTAATGATTTACAAGTGAAATAAATCATTTTGAAATCAGATTAATCTTTTTGAATCATCCTGTACAATACTGCATGACATACCAGATAACATGTTCAAATATTTATGTTGTAAAAATTCTGATTGCATTTCATCCATAAACAGTCATGTCAGTCATTAAAAAAGTGATTTTTGGTTTTTCTTAATGAGATTGTGGAAGAATTTGAGATCATCTGGTGTTCCAGGTTTCTTCCCCCAGTTTATTTACTAGATCTCTTACCTTCGTTCTCTTTCTTCAGGTTCTCCATCTCTTTCTCACGGCCTGCGAGTCTGGCCTCCAGAGCTGTTGTGGACAAAATCCTCAAAATATTAATGGGTTCCTTAACGCTCATCTGGGCAAGTTAAATCATCGAAAAAATATGTAAATATATGGTTTACACACAGCAACCTTGGTAAAGACTTTTTTCACGTATAGCAGAGGTCGCAAGCCAAATTATAAGAAGAGCTATCTTGTCCCATTTCAACAAAAGTCAAACCACTTTGGGAGCCACAACATTTTCTCTTCATATTATTGGTTTAACATTTTGGCAGTAAATATGTCTCAGCATGGGCTAATATCCTAGAACAGGCTAAAAAATATAATATATTAGTATAACATAAAACAAGCCCCATTTCCAAAAAAGTTGGGATGCTGTGCAGAGTGTAAATAAAAATAGAATTAATTATATGCAAATCATGTAAAGCATATTTTTAAAGGAAAATGCTAGACAACAAATCAAATCAAACATTGAAACTGAGAAATTTTATTGTTTTTAAAAAATATGGCCATTTTTTGATGCCAACAATACGCTCCAAAAAGTTGGGACGGGGGCTGTTTACCACTGTGTTTCATCACCTCTTCTTTTAACAACACTCTGTAAGTGTTTGGGAACTGAGGAGACACTGCTGTAGTTTTGAAAGTGAAATATTTTCCCATTTTTACTTAACATAGGATTTCAGCTGCTCAGCAGTTCGGGGTGTCCTTTTTCGTATTTTTCATTTCATAATGTACCAGATGTTATCAGTGGTAACAGATCTGGACTTCAGGCAGGTCAGTTTAGCACCTGGACTCTTTTAATACAAAGCAGCGCTGCTGTAATACGTGCAGAATGTGGTTTGACATTGTCTTGCTGAAATAATCAAGGTCTTCCCTGAAAAAGGACATCATCTGGATGGCAGCATTTGTTGCCAAAAAATATTTATATCGTTCAGCATTAGTGGCGCCTTCACAGATGTTCACATCATCCATACCAGGTGAACTAATGCTCCCCTATACCATCATGATTACTGTGAACTGATAACAAGCTGAGTCGTCTTTAGCCTGGAGGACACAGTGTCCATGATTTCCAAAAAGAATTTCAAATGTTGATTCCGCGGACCACAGGACACTTTTTCACTTCCCCTCAGTCCATTTGAAATGAGCTCAGGCCCAGAGAAGGTGGCAGCATTTCTGAATCCTGTTTATGTACCGTTTCTTCTTTGTGTTTTATAGTTTTAACTTGCATTTGTGGACGCAGCAACGAACTGGGTTTACAGACAGAGGTTTTCAGAAGTGTTTCTGAGTCCATGCAGTGATTTCCACTACAGAATCATGTCTGTTTTTAATGCAGTGTCGCCTGAGAGACCAAAGATCACGGCCAGCGTATACTGGTTTTGGCCTTGTCCCTTCCATACAGAGATTTCTCCAGATTCTCTGAGTCTGATATTATGTACCGTAGATGATGAAAAACAAAAGATCTTTGCTGTTTTACGTTGAGAAATGTTATTCTTGAATTGTTGCACTATTTGATTGTGCAGTCTTTCACAGAGTGGTCAACCCCTCCTCATCTTTACTTCTGAAAGACTCAGCCTCTCTGAGAGGCTCTTTATACCCAATCATGTTACTGACCTGTTACTAATCGACCTCCAGGTGTAGGATTACACAACTTTACTAGGCTTTTGTTGCCCCTGTCCCATTTTTTTTGGAATGTGTTGTTGGCATCAAATTCAAAATGGGCAGATATTTCTCAAAAAGCAAAATTTCTCAGTTTCAACATTTGATATTTTGTCTTTGTACTATTTTCAATTAAATATAGGGTGTAAATGATTTGCACATGATTGCAATTTGTTTTTATTTACATTTTGCACAGCTTCCCAACTTTTTTGGAAACGGGGTTGTAATTGTAAACAAATTGTAGACTTACTTTGCTCTGCTTTAAGCTTTAGCTGAACTGCACCCGCTTTTATTGCATGTCCACTGGGATACTTTTACGCAAAAGTAGAATAGTTCCTTGTGAAATGTTCATCTTTCTTTCTCAATGTTCATCTTGAATGCTTCCTTTCTTTGCTATTTTGTTTGCTGCTAGTTGTGTGCGACTGCTGTCTGCACACCAGACTTCAGGGTTTGGGTTGGTGAATTAGCAGTTCTACATTAACTCCAGCATTAAAGACCAATTATTGTTAAACTGTGTTGAACGATCAGCAGAGCTTTATTTTACTGTAAAGGAGGATTATTTTATTTTTACCTACAAATCTGATTCTGCTGTGGAGCCACAAGGGGGCAGTAAATGGAGATGCATGTTGCCGACCCCTGGCCTACAGGAAGGAAAGGCGAAATGCTCAAAAACTGGTTGTGCAAAAGTTTGTACACCCCTTTTATGACAACCTGATACAAGTTCACTGGGAACTACCTTGCAACCCCCTGGGATACCCTAGCAACCACCACAGATACCATAGCGACCACCTACCAATCACTCTAGCAAACCCCTAGAAACAACCTCAAACACTACAGACACTTTAGCAACCGCCTAGCAAACCCATAGCAACCGCCTAGCCACACTCTAGAACCACCTAAAATACCACAGTAACAACCTGGTGACTACGTAACAACCACTTGGCAAAACTCTACATGGGAATTATGTAGGTCTTGTTAACAAATTTCAGATGAGCCTTCACAGCACACTGTGAATGAAAATGAACCACAAAAACAACCTGTTTGAAAGAGATTTCATAACACCAGAAATGGATGAAATTTTAATGGAGTTTTCTTCGATCTCCAAAGACGGCATCAGTGTGCGGTGTTTGAAAACTCTGAAGCAGCAGCTCACCTGTGCTCTCTTTCTCCATGTAGCTCATCTTCACCTTCAGCTCAGCCAAAGCAGTCGCCTGTTGATAGACCAGATCTTTGAGCTGCTTCAGTTCATCAGGGCAGTCCTGAGACTTCGCTGAAACCTCAGGATCCTGCAGGCTGTTCTGCAGCAGCAGCATTAGAGCAACAGCGACAGCAGCAGTTCTCTCCATCTGCACTGTTTCTGCTCTCTCAGAGAAAGACTAAATCCAGACGTTCTTTCAGCTAAAGAAGTCTCTACATGTGACCGAAGTTCAGGTTAATGAGTAAACCCAAAACAAACTAATGAGTGAGGTTAATATTTGGCCGACTGAGAGTCCCACTAACCTAACAAATGCATCTTTATTTGTAGCCTACTCTTTCTAAATTTCTACATAATTCAGTGTTTGAGAGGTAAACAGAGTCATTCAGTGTGGTTTCACAGCGTGTAGCGCATGAAGATTACCTATCCTCTGTTGCAGCCCTCACTACAGTGCAAACTACCTCTGGAAGCAACATCAGATCAAGAACTGTGCGTCAGGAGCTTCAAGAAATGGGTTTCCATGGCCAAACAGCTGCACACTAAGATCCTAAGCCTAAGATCAACATGCGCAATGCCAAGCGTCGGCTGGAGTCGTGTAAAGCACTGCCACTGGACTTGGGAGCCGTGGAAAAGTTCCCTAGCGTGATGAATCACACTTCACTGTCTTGTAGTCTGATGGATAAATCTGGGTTTGGCGAAGGAAACGCCACCTACTGGAATGAACAGTGCCAACAGTAAAGTTTGGTGGAGGAGGGATGATGGGCTGGGGCTGTTTTTCAGACCCCTTAGTTCCGGTGAAGGGTGATGTTAATGTTACAGCACACAAAGACATTTTCCACAATTATCTGCTTCCAGCTTTGTGTCAGCAGTTTGAGGAAGAGCCTTTCCTGTCCCAGCATGACTGAGCCCCTGTGCACAAAGCAGCTCCATAAAGACATGGTTTGACCAGTTTGGTGTGGAGGAACTCCAGTGGCCTGCAGAGCCCTGACTTCAACCCCGCTGAACACCTCAACCACTGAATTATGCAGAAAATCTAAAAATCTGTGGACTTTCCCTTTAATGTAATAAAATATTCTTTTAGTAACTTCTGTGCTTTTTTAATGAAATTGTTGCAAATACCTGCATTGTTCTGTTCCAGATGTTTCATCTCAGCTTATAGCTCTGCTAACGTCCACTATATGGACAAAAGTATTGGGACACACCTCTTAATCATTGAATTCAGGTGTTTCATTGAGTCTCATTGCCACAGGTGTATAAAATCAAGCAGCCAGCCATGCAGCCTGCCTTTACACACATCAGTGAAAGAATGGGTCTAAAGAGCTCACTGAATTCGAGTGCGGTGCTGTAATAGGATTCCACTGTTGCAACAAGTCAGTTCATGAAATTTTCTCCCTCCTAGATTTTCAATGATCAACTGTGAGTGGTGTTATTAAAAAGTGGAAGCGTTTAGGAACCACAGCAACTCAGACATGAAGAGTCAGACCACGTAAAGTTACAGAGCAGGTCGCCGAGCGCTGAGGAGCATAGAGCATAAAAGTGTCCAACACTCTGCTGATCATTAACTACAGAGTTCAAACCTCCTCTGGAAGCAACATCAGCACAAAAACTGCGCCGGGAAATTCATGGCAGGGTTTCCATGGCCGAACAGCTGCATGTAACGTCACCAAGCACAGTGACAAGCATCAGATGGAGTGGAGTAAAGTGCCGCCACTGGACTCTGGAGCAGTGAAATGTATTCTGTGGAGTGATGAATCAGCTTCACTATCTGTCAGTCTGATGGACGAGTCTGGGTTTGGCAAATGCCAGGAGAACGTTACCTGCCTGACTGCACTGTGCCAGCTGTGAAGTTTGGTGGAGGAGGGATGATGCTATGGGGTCGTTTTTCAGGGGTTGGCTACTGAAATCTAAGCTTAAGAGCCAAATACTCCTCTTAACATGCCCTTAGAAGCAGGTCAGAGTTCAAGGTCCTGGTTTATATAGCTGTCTGAGTTACAGTGAAGGACACTGTATTTAAATTTTACCATATCGTCACTGTCCAAAGAAAAACAAGCATCTCCAAAATAGTAACTTTACAGGAGAGAGCAAAAACATTCTTATCTTTCAATATAAGTTAATGTAAAGAGATTTTACTCCAAGTGGTTTTAGAGCATTTCTATTCTCTCTTCACACAATGTAAAGAACAGCTGATGTGCTGAAATGATATAGAAAAATAAAAAAAAATCGACAAAAATGGAGATACATGGTTTTCTTTTTTTGGACAGCGACGATATGTTTGATGTGACGAGGCTATTTAAACAAACCAGACAATGTTGGTTCAGTTACAGAAGCCCAGAGTGATGTAAGGATAAACACTGAAAAATGTACATATGATCCAAGTAGGGCTGAATTATTCACCTTTTTTAAATTGAACTTGATCAAAAATTTGAGTGCAATTTTCACAAATCACAAGAGCTGCTACCTCGTAACGTGAAACTTGTGAACAGTCTGGAACTGCACATTCGGAAAGAAATGAACACATTGGTCCTTTCAGCCAAAAATAAGGCCTGGAGCTTAATTTCTAGAAGAGAATCACTATTAAATCACAACTGCAATGTTATCAGACTACAATATTCCCCAAATCGTTCAGCTCTCACACTTAAAGGTGGTACTTCAAGGGTTCTTTAGTAAATTATGTAGATCCTTCAACACTCAAAGAACACTTGGCATGATTAAATTGTTCTTTGCATTGTGAAAGTTCTGTAGATTGATTGAGAATGTGCTGTAGATGGTGCTTTATAGAAGCTCTCTGAAAAGGGTTCCATATAGCACCAAAAAAAGGTTCTTCTATTGTTACAAGCTTGACATCATAACAATAGAAGAACCCTTTTTTGGTGCTATACAGAACTATATACAGCACATTCTCCCTCAATCTGAAGACCCCTTTCATGATGCAAATAAAATTTAACCATGCCAAGCGTTCTTTGAATGTTCACGGTTCTACGTAGAACCATTTTCTTTACTAAAGAACCCATGAAGAACTGTCATCTTTTGTAACAATAACCCCAAGAACATTCACATAACTTTAGATGTTGCTTATCTGGATTGTGAGAAGCAGAAAATGAGACTGAGACTGAACTTCACAGAGAAAGTGGGGCTCCTAACAACCACCTGGAAGAGCTGCTAGACACCAAAACTGTCCCCATCAGATAAACAGCACTTAAAGCTTTCATCTCTGAAAGAGAGGAGAAAATCAAGCTGCTTCAGATCTGAAAACATCCACAGGTGTTTCTGTCCATCCTTCCACTGTGAGAAGACGACTCAGCGCTGTGGGTCTGAAAGGATGTGTAGCTGTCAAGAAGAACCTCACTGAGAAAAGGAGACGGACACATCAAACAAAGAAGCTGAACGATGGACTGACCACCCCAGAGTCCAGACCTCAACATCGCTGAATGTGTTTGAGATCATTTGGATGGTGCAGTAAATGAGACCAACTGAAACTAAAACTGAACTTCAGAAAGTGTGGAAAAATGTCTATATAAACTAAATGAAGGGTGGTCTCCTGTGGTTCTTTTGCACGGTAACGTAATTACTCTGCTGGTAATTTGCCCCGTTATGACCAACAAACCAAACTTCAAACTCACTTTCAATAAATTGATTTTAAATCTAGGCAATTTTAACAACTGTTACTATTCGCAAGGAATAACAGGAGCCTGAACTTCATTAAAATGAATCATTTAATAGATTCAATATATTATTATACATGTACAAAAGAACAAGTATAGAAAAGTGTAATGGTTTCGTTTTGACAGACGTGTGGAAACCCTTATTCTGCTTTAATTAAACAGCGGGGTGGTTTAGTGCTGCCATTTACAAAAGCTTAGTGTTGCATGTTCAAGAGCATCAGCACTGCACGTCTCGCACCTCAGCTTAAATCCGCAGTTCAGATGCCGGAAGTGCAGCAGGGATAATAATGAACATAGCCCGGGTTAAACCTAGCGCAGGAGGCTGGACACGCCTCCCGAAGTAGCTTTTATTCTCTTAACTATTGACGCCGCGCAGGTTATACAACGCTAGTAAGCAACTCTTATTAGCAAATATGAGAATATTCATATAGGATGTACCTGTAATACTGAATAAACATCGACAATCTATAAAAAAGGAAAAGGGCGTTAAAATACTGCAGGTCAGCACTGCCAGGCTCCACATGCCCAACCGGGAGGCGATTCCGAATGCTGACGATGGACGAGTCTCTTACTTCAATCGGAAGCGAAAATCCTTAAGCTACTTAGCTTCAAAGACGTTCATCCAGCCGCCACGAACGAGGATCACCGCACACATTCTACGGCATGTTTGTGTACAGTTTGACGTATTGCTTCATCCGTTAAAATGTCCGGTCAGCAGACAGATGGACATACAGCACTGTAGCGGAAAACTCTCAGAGTAAAAGCTGCTAGAATTAAAGTTAGCGGAGCACAGTTAGCATGACATGCTAACGACGCCCACTCTCAAGGCCCTTACACACCGAGCACGATTCGTCTTGGAACACGTGCGTTGTGTGCAAAAGTTTGTGCACCCCTGGTGACGTGAAATAAAATGTAGCCACATAAAACGCGGCCTGTGCAAAAATATGGCACATTTTACATTTTATTTCTCATTTATTTCCAATATGTTGCATTAAGAAAAAAAAAAAAGAGACAGTAACTGTGCATTAACTTATGTTCGCTTAGAAAATCGACACAACATTGTAATTTGACTGGGGGTGCTCAAACTTTTGCATAGAACTGTAACTGATATCATCACACTGTGACATTATTGTTCGATTCTTGCTAACTTCTGCAGGCAACATGAACTCACTCCGCCAGTCACTGTTGTCTCTGGTGTTGACATGGCAACAACCAAGCTGACCGATCAGCTGCGTCCCAGCAAAGAGAACTTTTTGACCAACATCAAAATGATTGGTTTGTCTTCAGGTTCGTCCTGTTTGGAGGTCCATCTCCAAAATCTGTTCCATCTGGGCCACGGACGTCTGAGCGACTTGTAAAAGTGCTCAAAGTTTCAGCTCCCGAAAATTTCAGTTCCGTTTACGTGTCCAAAAGGGAAAGTAGCCTTCTCTACGTCGCTGTTTACCCGTTTGGAGAAGAAAACTAAACCTTTGTTATTTGCTGGTTTGCTTGTATTTTCTGGAAAATATTTGCGTCACATTCTGAGTTTTGGTGTGAAAAAAACTGTTTCAGAATATTTTCTATTTTCCACATTGTGGTGGCCGTGCAACGGTCTTCAGTCATTCTTAAAGGGACACTTCAGCCAGACTACGTAAAACCCTTCTAATGATGTATCCTGAAGATGGTAAGGTTTGCTGGAGGGCCATGTCAGCATGCACACGAGTGCCGCCTTTTGTGTTTATGAATTTACTTTTTTGCTATGTAAAACAAAGCCGGATAGGTAACGTTACTGCTAGGAAGCTAGAAAACACATTTCAAGCAGCCCCCCACAAGTTTTCAAAAGCTGCTCCCACCTTCAAGTTGCATCATCAGAAGAGTTTTCCTAATCTGGCTGGGGTGTCCCTTTAACACTATTATCGCGCAGGTTAATGCTAACTTTAGGTTCGTGATTAGGTGTACTTGGTATAAAAAAAAATTGGTAACATTTTATCCTGAGAGTCCACTGTAGATGCTTTGTTTTCTCTAAAGACTACATATTTTACATATTCTTTGTATTTGTATAATTATTTTTTTCCTGAAGTCTGCATCGTTTTTTTGATGCATAAAATCATTTTTCTGACCATTTTCCAACCTCGTTTTATCCCTTAGAATTAAACAGGCTGTTTTTGTTACTGTCCATTTAAGATGGATGTATGCAAATGAGCTCCATTGTGATTGCCTGCCCTGTATTGTGCCTCATTCAAAAGGAAGTCCAGGATGAAACACTCCTTATAACTTCAGGGTGAGTGGGCGGGGCTGAACTGCTGTAGGTTGAATAGGTGTATGTATGTATGTAAGTAAATGTGTTGGTTTTTGTGACATCACAAAAACAATGAAATCAAAGCAGGCTTAGTTTCCATATATGGACTTTCTGGACTACTGAGTGAAAATATTTTTGGAATTTAATCCCAAAACTGACCAGATAGTAAGTTAACAATTAAAGTGTTAGTGGATGAACTATAGAGGACTCTCAAAATAAACTGTGACCAAACAAATAAAAATAAATGAATAAAATAAAATAAAATGGACCTTAAATGTGCCACGTTGCTGGATTCTTACAATGAGAACTTCGGCATCGTCAGAGAGCTGATCTGAAAGACGCCTGAACACAATGAGAACAGTCTCTGTATCTCGCCACCATCATTAGATCTGTGTTTATATACAGTATATTAAAAAATAATAATAATTATTATCAGGTCCCAATCTTGCAACAAAAGCAGCAGTAAAAGGGGCGTCAAATTCAGTCATTTAACACAAAAAATAATCATTCAAGCTCGGTGGTCGTGTTTGATCCGAGTGCATCAGGGGTCAGCCCTCGCTTTGTCCAGTAATCTCTCAGGTCAATCCTTCATGGGTCATGGGATGTGCTTCAAAAGGTGGGGTGAAAAGGACAGTGGTTCCTGGACCCTAGTGCAATCACATGATTGGTCTTCAAGCTTCCCTGATTGGTTGCGGAACCGTAAGGTTGTGAGGGAGGGAAATAAGGCTTCCTATTGGCTAATGCTCTCAATGTTAGGTGTGACCAGGAAACAGTTGGAGAATACAGTATGGAGTTGTTGCTATAGCGACCGGCAACACACTGCATTCCCTTACAAGTCGGAGGAAGACGGCCACAAAGTCCTTCATCTGTGTGTCTGAATGTGACGGTAAGGTTTCTCTATAAATAACGGCTCATGAAGAACTATTAGAAGTGCGTGTGAAGGAGGACCATCTGATGTCAGATGAGCTAAGTCGGCGTCCGAGCATGTTAGTTGATGCTCTGCGAGGGGTCAGGGCTGTCCAGGTCTCTGTGGAGCGGACTGTCAAGTTGAGGTAGATTTGTTCTGGAATATTCTTCATACCATTCCTGTAAACAAACATGCAAAGAGGTAAAAACCTCAATTTGAAGAAGTTGATACAGTGTGTGAAATGCAAATAAAACCAGAGAGCAGTAATTAGTAAATCCTCTTTGACCTGGATAATAATGAAAAAGTATAAAACCACAATATTTGACTACCCCTTGTTTCCGAGTGTCTCCTTGCCCTTAGAATTGAGTTAGAAGAGGTAGTGGTTGAAATCTTCCTTATGTAATGAGACCCTCAAATAAAAGAGCATCACTTCATTAACAGCTACTAGCGCTGCTCTGTAGGCGACCCTGCCAGTCTGCAGTGACAGCAGAGGAGGGTAAAGTTCAGCTCCTCACTGCTGGGCTTTAGTTACATTTAGGGCATCATATGCCTTCAAAGAGGGGGGCAATTATTTATTATCACCCACCGTTAATTCTTCAGTGATATGAAGCTGAAATCAGATATTCACCAGATTCTTGTTAGAATTTTCCTGTTCCACCTTAAATGGAGCAGCAGTTCTGACGCCTGAGGTGCCAGAATGTATCTTCTGCTCAATTTAAGGTGGAACGTGAAATTTAGCGAGCTAGCTACCGAGACATCAGCAAACTACTAGTGATTTTTATTGTCGTAATTTTTTAAATGGAGAAAATACTCATATTTGTAGGTTTCTTTGGTTGCTTGCACAGCCATCTTGTTGGTTTTTCTGTTTTTTCTCAAGTGTCCCTCTAAAAAAAAAAAAATGGAGGGCCATGTAGCCCTAACACTTCATCCTATCCCTCTATCTCAACAAAAATTGGGACACCCTACCCCTAAGCGTGAACCCACAAAACAGAGGAGGAGTAGGGCTAGGTGGTAGTGATAGTTGCAATCAACTATTTTAGTCAATTGACACTATGAGTTAAAAGACAGAGATCCTTTTACACACATTACTCGCAATAACATTAAGCACTAACCTGAATCTCTTCTTCGTACATCTTCATGCTCAGATCACTTTTAGTCCGTGACCTCCGGCCCTGGAACACTAAACTAGAGTGCTGAGATCAAGAGAAAAGCAGTGTTACCCAGCATGCACCACAAACTGAACATTCCACAGAAAACTACTGATGTATTCCTTACAAAATGACGGAAAACAGCAAAGTTCATTTGTGTGTGTAATTCCCTATACATGAATGCGTGTGAAGGTGCGGTCTCACCCCGCTCCTCTCCATGGCAACACACATTTCCTGTAGAGAGCTGATGTTGGTTCCAGCGAGCGAGTGCTTGTAAAGTTCCAACGTCTGCAAAGCTTCAGCGCGAGTGACCTCCGCTTCAAACACGATACCCTTCTCATCTAAAACAGAGACAGTTTAATTGACCAATATGACCAAAAATGACCATATTTGTTTCAAATCCAGTACTGTGTAAAAGTCAGAGACAACCCATCGTTTATTTAATCTGCAGTCAAAAGCTATTAAGCACAAGTAGTTCATTCAGAGAGATTTCCAAGGAGATCAGATGTACACTACGATCATCCACTGGCAAAATGAAGCAAGTTGATTAAAAGATAAAAATTAAAAGACAAAAAGCTTAAATTAAAACCTTCAGAGAAAATGTGTCTCCTAACAACCACCTGGAAGAGCTGCTAGACACCAAAACTGCCCCCATCAGATAAACAGCACTTAAAGCTTTCATCTTTGAGACAGAGGAGAAAATCAAGCTGCTACAGATCTGAAAACATCCACAGGTGTTTCTGTCCATCCTTCCACTGTGAGAAGACGACTCAGCGCTATGGGTCTGAAAGGACGTGTAGCTGTCAAGAAGAACCTCACTGAGAAAAGGAGACGGACACATCAAACAAAGAAGCTGAACAATGGACTGACCACCCCAGAGTCCAGACCTCAACACCACTGAATGTGTTTGATTACTTCAGAAAATGATCAACCAGCTTCTAAGACTGAACTTTGGAGGTGTGTCTGCAGATTCTTTGAAAGTGAGTCTCCTGAAAAGAATGGAAGCTGGAATAAAGGGAAAGAGTGACTCCCTGAAAAAAAACTGACAGCATATTTAGTTTTTGAGGCTTCTGTGTTAATTTTTGGTTTCCTACTTTTTCTCTTGGGTACTGAAAATTAAATAACTTGTGTTTAAAGGCCATTTTGATAGAGACAGGGAGTCTCTGACTTTTGCACAGTACTGTAGCACCATTTGTATAAGCAGTGTGACATCATAACCATGAAGTGTCCCTAATCTAAACATGGAACTATTAAGGTATCGGTTTCTGTATCCGTTTTCTGCACTACCATATTGTTTGGATGGTCCTTGTTCACCCTGCTGTGGGCAGTTCCTTCAGTTGCATTTGTGTTTTTGACATAATTCTCAATTGTAGCAGAAGAAACTTGAGATTTTTTCCAAAATGAAACGACTGTTGTGAAGCGAAAATTTGACACCCCTGATAAATAAGATATATTTAAATTGTGTGCAGAACCTTCCGGGTCGTCCAGCGGTTCTCTGTTCTTCCGACTGTAGTTCATCCGGAACACAAAGGCGTCAAGGATAAAGGCCACGATAATCGTCATGACAACCTGCAACAGAACCAAATGGAAATGTGTAAATCAAACACACAAACACACACACACACACACACACACACACACACACACACAGAATTACCAGCACACTCACCATGGTGACAATGTAGAAGGTCATGAAGTACAGCCGGCTCCAATGTGTCGTCTGTGATGTCACACCTTCCTATATGAAAAAGCAAATTCTGATCAAGTTTTAGCAAAAATCATATTATTTATTAGATTCCATAGTTATCTAATTATTGATTAGGTTCAGTGTTTTATAAGCGATTACAGTTTCTAAAGGAAGGTCACACTCCACCAATTAGCATGGTGCTAACTGCTGTAGCCTGGTAGCTCCAGTGCTAAAACTAAACAAGCAAACTTCTAAAGGCAAAATGTATTGGCTGTAACATTGTAACTACAACTTTTTCTCCAGGTTTTCACTTAGTACATTCATATACACAGTTATTTTGTGAAATATTGATTAATATGTCATAATAATAATCTCAAGATTTAAGTTATTAATACAAAATCCTAAAATGTTAAAACTAATAATAAATTTTAAGAAACTCATTCTGTGAAAATAAGTAATTTCATAGTTAAAACTTAAAAAAAAAATCCATTATTTCAAGACACAGTCATTTTTTTTAGCAAAGTAGGTCAAGATTGAGAAAATAATCCATTATTTTGAGATACTAAAAGATACAAAAGTTTGACATACTGCTCTTAAAAACAATTAATGTCCAGACACACTTACCATAGTAATGTACCAGTTATTGACGACGGTCAACTCGAACAGGGTCACTGCAGAAACAAACAACAACTCAACTAATGCAAAGTTCAGAGTGTGAAAGCACTCATAACAGGTCTGCGTGTGAAAACGAACCAAAGCTACTGAGAATGTTGTTGAAGTTGTTGAGATAGTAGTACCCCTCCTCCAGGACCGTGCGGTTGCCGATGGTTATGTTGATTTGCCGATATGCATCAGCAACTGTACTTGTACTGAAAGCAGAAAAGACAATTACAGCATCAACAGCCGCCAGCATTTTAAAATTATGTACAAAAAAAAAAGAAAAACAGAGATAAGGATCTTACTTGCAGCAGTTTGGATAGATGACGTCAGCAAAAAACTCCATTCCAACGATGGCGAAAGAGTAGTAAAAGATAATGAGAGTCAAACCCAGACTGGAGAGAGGAAGAACGAAAAGAATATAAGACTAAGATCTAAAACAGAGAACAAAAAGTGAACGTAACTGAACTGTTAGTAACTGAGGTCAGACCCACCTGGCCATGCGTGGGAACAGCTCAAACATGGTGTCCAGCACATTCCGGTAACGCTGCTTGATTTTAAACAAGCTGCAAAACAAGAGAAATTATGGAAATTACAGTATGTTGACATTTTGTACTGTTAAACATGTCAGTATTCACAGGGATGGGAATCTCTAGGCAACTCACAGTTCATTAAAATTCTAAAAGGATTATTCATCCTTATTTTTGATTTCTAAAGCCTATCTTATGATTTCTTTTCATTTTTTTATATTTACAATTTTCGCAATCAGTATCAGCTCGTTTGAATCTGAATGTACTCCTACGTCTTAATGTTTCACTAACAGATTTAAACTAACAGCTACAAAAATAAACTAGATGGCGAAAGTTCAGAAACAAAGTTGCCTGCTATGACCCCCGTGGTTACTAAGGTGTTCCTATGTTATCCCAGGTGGTTGCTAAGGTCATTGCAATGAAATCCCAGATGGTTGCTAAGCTGTTGCTAGGTCATTGCTATGGTATCCAAGATGGTTGCTAAGGTGTTGCTAGGGCATTGCTATGTAATCCCAGGTGGTTGCTAAGGTGTTGCTAGGTCATTTCTACGGTATCCCAGGTGGTTGCTAAGCTGTTGCAAGGTCATTGCTATAGTATCCAAGACGGTTGCTAAAGTGTTGCTAGGCCATTGCTAAGGAATGCCAGGTAGTTGCTAAGGTGTTACTAGGCCATTGCAATGTTATCCCAGGTGGTTGCTAAGGTGTTGCTAGGCCATTGGTATGAAATCCCATGTGGTTGCTAAGGTGTTGCTAGGCCATTGCAATGTTATCCTAGATGGTTGCTAAGGTGTTGTTAAGCCATTGATATATTATCCCAGATGATTGCTAAGATGTTGCTAGGCCACTGCTATGGAATCCCAGGTGGTTGCTAAGGTGCTGCTAGGCCACTGCTATGGAATCCCAGGCGGTTGCTAAGGTGTTGCTGGGCCATTGCTATGGAATCTCAAATGGTTGCTAAGATGTTGTTAGGCCATTCCTATGTTATCTCAGGTGGTTGTTAAGGTGTTGCTAGGCCATTGCTGTGGAATCCCAGGTGGTTGCTAGGGTGTTGCTAGGCCATTGCTATGGAATCTCAAGTGGTTGCTAAGGTGTTGCTTATCCATTGCTGTTTCCTCAAGTGGTTAATATTAAGACAGTTAAGATGTTGCTTAATAAAATTAAATATTTTTTTTTAATATTTAATATTTTTTAATATTTAATATTTTTGTTCTTTACATCACACTGTATACAACAAAGTCAACAGTGCTAATTGATCATCAGAGATTTCTGACACTGTTGATCATATTTGACTGTAAACAGAAACTTTTATTCCATAGCCGATGTAAAAATCTGAATATGATGTATGACGTTTATCGATATAGACTCTGTCAAGAGAGAATCGTGAGGCATCTTAGAATCAATTGTTTTTCCCATCCTTAGTGTGAAGAGAGCTGTTTTAATAAAGAAAACGTTCACAGACACAGACCGAAGAAGCTGCAGAGGCCTCAGCACCACGATGAAGTAGAAAGGCTCCATCTGGAAGGCCAGAGCAATCAATCCCAGAAAGGCAAAGACGGTCACAGAGAAATCAAACCTTGGAGAGAAAACATGAGGACAGCACATGAATGAAAGCCCGGTTGTCCGAGAGGGACGGGTCATGGTCTGTCAGTGCGTTTGTGCTCTTACAGGTTCCAGCCGGAGCTGAAGTAAGCGACTGGGCCGAGACCAGTGATCTTTAACAGAACCTCCACGCCATAAACTACAAAACAAGACAAGAACAGAACAGAATGATTGTAGGAAATTAGAAAACAATCGCTTACATATGAAATCTGACTGAAATCATCTCATCATCATTATAGTCAACTCATATTATATTTGCCCCGTTTTTAAGATCAATGGGCCTCATTCACCAATATCTTCCTTTTTTTCTTAAATGTGTTCCTGAGAAAGATTCTAAGAAAAAGTCTACGTCAGATTCATGACGTGTTCTTAAAGCGCAGAATTTGTTCTCTTGAGTGTGTGCATATTCCATTCTTATGTAAGAACAAATATAAAAACACTGGTCAATGTTAGAACCTTCATAAAAACTGCATGAATGGATTTTAAGAAGAAATTTCTTCTTATGAACAGTTGATGAATGAGGTCCAATGATTGTTAACATCTTTTTAAGATCCCAACAAATAAAACAATAAAGTTTCCATTGCACAACAACAAACAAATTCAACCCGAATAGCTGAAAATCAATTTGAGGTTTGAGAACACAATCTTTTCAGTGTGTTTGATGCTGTAATCAATTCTGCTGTCCTGTAGCCCTTCATCATTGGTCAGTTTAATATAGTTAAACATACATAGTGGCCCTTTCCAACCCAGGCTTTAGGCACGTTCTGAGAATTTAGGAACCCCATTAGTAAAGAATAACATATTTAATAAAATGTTAAACATCTGTTTAAGACTTGCGTCTTTTTACTGGTCATTGTTTACCTGTAATCTTTTGAAATACATTAAAAATGAATAATTGCCTAGTTATTAAAATATATTATACTGTAATACAGTATTAACAATAATTGAATTGAGTAATAATGACCAAAAAATTCAAATATAGAATTACACTGTAATACAGTAATATAGAATTATACTGATACTTTACCTAAGCAATAATAATAAAATAATAATTCAAAAAGTATTATACTTTATTTTAATGCAATGAGGATAACAGATTAAATAAAAAAAGACAATTACCAGCAAATTAAAATATAGAATTATAGAACTATACTGAGTATAAGAGTAATTAAACTTTAAAGTTATAATTACAGAGAGTCAGGCTTACTTGTAAGGAAGACGATGTAGTTCCACGGTACTTGTTGAGACCAGGAAAAGTCACCTGAGCAAAAAACACAGTATTGTACACACAGTGACACACACTGTTCCTGGTGAGAAACGGAAGCTGGAAAATTCTTGAATCCTTACTGTTTAACATGTTGGTCTCCACCAGAATCCAGACTCCATTGACCGCTACAACAATATCTGCACAAGGAAGAAACATCATTTCCTTAAAGAGACTAAAGAGCTGTGCAGGAATCAATCTACAGCCAGAGAAGAGCTGTAGTTCACTGCACAGGATGTTACAGTGAAAATGACCAGCTAAATGGATGGTGAGTCCAGCAGACTACTGGAAATGCTAGAGTTAGCTTAGGTTAACTTTAGATTAGAGCATATTTAGATATGGCATTTTAATATATCGTCACTTTCCAAAGAAAAACATGCATCTTTTTTTTTTATCATTACTTTTCTACATCATTTGAGCCCGACAGCTGCTCCTTACACTGTGTGACAATTTCATGATGAGTGGATCAACAGAAGTGCTTTAAAATTGCTTGGAATAAAATCACTTTACAATAACTTACATTGAAAGTAAAGAACATTTTTGGCCTCTCCTGCAAACTTTAAACTGCAGGTTTTTTTTTGGACAGCGAAGATATACAAAGTAGTAACTTGGGAGTTTTGCTAACATACAACATTTATCAGTGCTCCTATTGGTCCATGCATTCACTCAATATGAAGGACGGCTGGTGTTTAGAAATGGTGTAAAATCAAAATGAAAAACTGAAATGTTTCGAGGTTTTGATCTGACAACCATGATAAATAAACCAATTCTTGTGACCATGAACTTCAGATAAGACGGCACTAGCAAACTGCAAATACTGATGCTTGGCATGCAGGATTGCACACAGAATTTAAGTACAAAAACCCAAAAAACCCAAAATACTTACAAATCGCGTACTGAAAAGCTTTGGACTTGACCACAAGATTGATCCCTGTGGAGAAAAAGGTAAAGCTGTCAATTCATACATACTCCTGTATTCTATTCCTTACAAACAATAAATGAAATCTGGCCAAGTGTAGCTCAAAACAGTGAAAATCCAAATACAGTTCATGTGAAAATGATAAACCATGTATAGAAAAGTCTGGTCAAATGTAATAGAATCGAATGACACCTTTGAAGATGAGGAAGGCAGTGTGAGGAAGATCATCAAACCAGTGTTCCCCACTACGCCGCGCCTAGCATACATATAAAAACAAATGCATGATTTAATCAAATCATTTAAACTGAAGGAAACTGAATTTAAATCCAAGTAATCTACAGTACTGTGTAAAAGTCAGAGAACCTTTACAGCTTTCAGTTAAAACAGCCATTAAGCAAGTATTATTAATTTTTCAGGAGATGTTTCTTGAGGTGGTTGGATTTAAGATAATGCATTTGTATAAGGAAGGAGAACGTTATGGAGTTTCCAAAACTGGAGTTCAAAAAATTGATTAAAAGCTCCAGAGAAAATGTGTCTCCTAACAACCACCTGGAAGACCTGGTAGACCCCAAAACTGCCCCAATCAGATAAACAGCGCTTAAAGCTTTCATCTCTGAGAGAGAGGAGAAAATCAAGCTGCTTCAGATCTGAAAACATCCACAGGTGTTTCTGTCCATCCTCTGAGAAGAAAAGGAAATAGACAAAAAACATTTGCACTACAGCATCAAAACCGCACACCTGAGGTTTTATAGACTTGCAAGCAGCAGAAGGCAGGATGTACGTCGCCGAAACAAACAAAACAACCATCAGTCAAGCATGAAGGAGGATTAGTGCAACTTTGAGGATGTGTAGAAGCATCTAGAACTGGTGATTTGTTTTTGATTGAAATTTTAAGTACCCACTGGAAAACGCTGGACTACAAAGAAATTAATTTTAGAGCAAAATAATGACCCCAAGCACACTGCTGAGATGACCAACACATATTTATCAAACAAAGAAGCTGATGGTGCTTTCAGAACAATGGACTGACCACCCCAGAGTCCAGACCTCAACACCACTGAATGTGTTTGATTACTTCAGAAAATGATCAACCAGCTTCTAAGACTGAACTTCGGAGGTGTGTCTGCAGATTCTTTGAGGAACTGAAAGTGAGTCTCCTGAAAAGAATGGAGGCTGGAATGAAGGTGAAGAGTGGACTGAAAAATGAATAACTTCAGTTACTTAATAGCTGTTTGGATTGTAAATTAATTAATTAAATAAATAAATAAATAAATAATGGTTGGTCTCTGACTATTGCACAGGACAGTATAGAACAAATCTGCATCTTCGGTACAGAAGTGTCTCTGAAATATTTGTGATGTGTGCCACATAAGATTTACCTTCCATTTCAGGCCCATCACTTCATAGATCTTATAAAAGTCCTGGAGGCTGAAATCCAAAAAGAGTAAATGATGCAAAATACATGACTTTCAGTTTCAGTAAATAAAGTCAAATTAAACAAATGAGAAAATATTAGACTTTGTCACTTATTTATTGAGGAAAATGATCCGATATTATAGACCTATGGTGGCAAAAGTATGTGAACCTTAGAATCAGCAGATAATTTGAAGGTGAAATTAGAGTGAGGTGTTTTCAATCAATGGGGTGGCAATCAGGGGCAAGTGACCACCCTGCTTTATTTAAAGAGCAGGGATCTATCACAGTCTGACCTTCACAACAGGTGTACAAACGGATCAAATGCAAGACTATCGTTACGCCCCACTGCATTCCAACATTAAAAACCTTATCCCATCTGTGAAACATGGTGGTGGTAGTATCATGGTTTGGGCCTGGTTTGCTGCATCTGGGCCAGGAAGGCTTGCCATCATTGATGGAACAATGAACTCTGAATTATGCCAGCAAATTCTACAGGAAAATGTCAGACATGTGTCCATGAGCTGAAACTCAGAGAATGTGGGTCATGCAGCAAGACAACGACCCTAAGCACACAAGTCATTCTACAAAAGATGGCTAAAGAAGAATAAAGTTAATGTTGGAATGGCCAAGTCAAAGTCCTGACCTTAATCCTATAGAGATGCTGTGGAAGGACCTGAAGCAGCAGTTCATGGGAGGAAATCCACCAACATAACAGAGGTGAAGCTGTTTTGCATGGAGGGGCTAAAACCCCCCCCCCGAGCCGATGTTCAGGACTAATCAACAGTTACCAGAAACGTTTAGTTGCAGTTAATGCTGCACAAGAGGGTCACACCAGATACTGAAAGCAAAGGTTCACATACTTTTGCCACTCACAGATATGAAATAATGGATAATTCTCCTCAATAAATAAATGACCAAGTCTAATATTTTTGTCTCATTTGTTTAATTTGGTTCTCTTTATCTAATATTAGGAAATCTGATGACGTTTTAGGTCGAATTTATGCAGACATTTAGAAAATTCTAAAGGGTTTACAAACTTTCAAGCACCACTGTATATGTCTGTGCACACCTGAGCATGGTGGTTCCTGACTGGTTCAGGGCTTTAAAGGTGAGGAAACGATCACGTGCGCTCATTCGCGGTCGATAAAAACGTAGCAAACCATCAAACTGTTTTAGCGAGACTCCATCAGGCCTCTAAAACACAAACACAGAACATAAAGTCAAACATATTTATGTAACTGAGGAACTTAAGACTCTGAACAGAGCAGCAGCCAGTGCTTTCTGAGCTTACCTGACGGCTAACCAGCAGCTGGAAGGCGTGTTCAATGGCAGAACGTTTGTGCAAAAGAAGGGATTTGAACTTCACCTTCTCCACTCCGTTAAAGGTGTCAAAGACCACAGCCAGAAGCTGCACAGAGGAAAAGAAACAGACCAAAAAAAAAAAAATTCAGATATCTACAAAACTGGACAAAAACCCAAAACAGACATCATTTTTAGCTAAATAACCTAAACTACAGGTAATACCTAATATAAAAATGTATTTCATTAATTCCTTTTTTATTTATTCTATATTTTATTACGCAATTTATATTTTTTTTAACTTAAATAAACATTATAAACTAGCTAATTTCCAGTCAAAACAGACATTAAGTACAAGTAACTTTTAAGTATCAAGGGGAAAAAAGAACACATTTATTTAACATAAAACTACACAGAAGCCTTAACAACTAAATATAATTAGATGTTTCAGTGTTTACTGCACGTGTGTCAGGCTCCAGTCCTCATGGACCAAAACACTGCAGACTTCAGCAGACAGCCTCATTAAACACACCTGATTCAGCTCATCAGCTAATTTGCAAGACCTTCATGAACTGAATTCAGAGCGACAGATGAGGGTAAACACTGATCTTCACAGCACTTTGGCCCGAAAGGTCCCCAGCTTGACATGCCTGGTTTAGTGTGTCACTCTTTGCCTTCATTCCAGCTTCCATTCTTTTCAGGAGACTCACTTTCAGTTCCTCAAAGAATCTGCAGACACACCTCCAAAGTTCAGTCTTAGAAGTTGGTTTAGTATTTTCTGAAGTAATCAAACACATTCAGTGATGTTGAGGACTGGACACTGGATGGTCAATCCATCGTTCAGCTTCTTTGTTTGATGTGTCCGTCTCCTTTTCTCAGTGAGGTTCTTCTTGACAGCTACACATCCTTTCAGACCCACAGCGCTGAGTCGTCTTCTCACAGTGGAAGGATGGACAGAAACACCTGTGGATGTTTTCAGATCTGAAGCAGCTTGATTTTCTCCTCTGTCTCAAAGATGAAAGCTTTAAGTGCTGTTTATCTGATGGGGGCAGTTTTGGTGTCTAGCAGCTCTTCCAGGTGGTTGTTAGGAGACACATTTTCTCTGAAGGTTTTAATTTAAGCTTTTTGTCTTTTAATTTTTATCTTTTAATCAACTTGCTTCATTTTGCCAGTGGATGATCATAGTGTACATCTGATCTCCTTGGAAATCTCTCTGAATGAACTACTTGTGCTTAATAGCTTTTGACTGCAGATTAAATAAACGATGGGTTGTCTCTGACTTTTACACAGTACTGGATTTGAAACAAATATGGTCATTTTTGGTCATATTGGTCAATTAAACTGTCTCTGTTTTAGATGAGAAGGGTATCGTGTTTGAAGCGGAGGTCACTCGCGCTGAAGCTTTGCAGACGTTGGAACTTTACAAGCACTCGCTCGCTGGAACCAACATCAGCTCTCTACAGGAAATGTGTGTTGCCATGGAGAGGAGCGGGGTGAGACCGCACCTTCACACGCATTCATGTATAGGGAATTACACACACAAATGAACTTTTCTGTTTTCCGTCATTTTGTAAGGAATACATCAGTAGTTTTCTGTGGAATGTTCAGTTTGTGGTGCATGCTGGGTAACACTGCTTTTCTCTTGATCTCAGCACTCTAGTTTAGTGTTCCAGGGCCGGAGGTCACGGACTAAAAGTGATCTGAGCATGAAGATGTACGAAGAAGAGATTCAGGTTAGTGCTTAATGTTATTGCGAGTAATGTGTGTAAAAGGATCTATGTCTTTTAACTCATAGTGTCAATTGACTAAAATAGTTGATTGCAACTATCACTACCACCTAGCCCTACTCCTCCTCTGTTTTGTGGGTTCACGCTTAGGGGTAGGGTGTCCCAATTTTTGTTGAGATAGAGGGATAGGATGAAGTGTTAGGGCTACATGGCCCTCCATAGAGGGACACTTGAGAAAAAACAGAAAAACCAACAAGATGGCTGTGCAAGCAACCAAAGAAACCTACAAATATGAGTATTTTCTCCATTTAAAAAATTACGACAATAAAAATCACTAGTAGTTTGCTGATGTCTCGGTAGCTAGCTCGCTAAATTTCACGTTCCACCTTAAATTGAGCAGAAGATACATTCTGGCACCTCAGGCGTCAGAACTGCTGCTCCATTTAAGGTGGAACAGGAAAATTCTAACAAGAATCTGGTGAATATCTGATTTCAGCTTCATATCACTGAAGAATTAACGGTGGGTGATAATAAATAATTGCCCCCCTCTTTGAAGGCATATGATGCCCTAAATGTAACTAAAGCCCAGCAGTGAGGAGCTGAACTTTACCCTCCTCTGCTGTCACTGCAGACTGGCAGGGTCGCCTACAGAGCAGCGCTAGTAGCTGTTAATGAAGTGATGCTCTTTTATTTGAGGGTCTCATTACATAAGGAAGATTTCAACCACTACCTCTTCTAACTCAATTCTAAGGGCAAGGAGACACTCGGAAACAAGGGGTAGTCAAATATTGTGGTTTTATACTTTTTCATTATTATCCAGGTCAAAGAGGATTTACTAATTACTGCTCTCTGGTTTTATTTGCATTTCACACACTGTATCAACTTCTTCAAATTGAGGTTTTTACCTCTTTGCATGTTTGTTTACAGGAATGGTATGAAGAATATTCCAGAACAAATCTACCTCAACTTGACAGTCCGCTCCACAGAGACCTGGACAGCCCTGACCCCTCGCAGAGCATCAACTAACATGCTCGGACGCCGACTTAACTCATCTGACATCAGATGGTCCTCCTTCACACGCACTTCTAATAGTTCTTCATGAGCCGTTATTTATAGAGAAACCTTACCGTCACGTTCAGACACACAGATGAAGGACTTTGTGGCCGTCTTCCTCCGACTTGTAAGGGAATGCAGTGTGTTGCCGGTTGCTATAGCAACAACTCCATACTGTATTCTCCAACTGTTTCCTGGTCACACCTAACATTGAGAGCATTAGCCAATAGGAAGCCTTATTTCCCTCCCTCACAACCTTACGGTTCCGCAACCAATCAGGGAAGCTTGAAGACCAATCATGTGATTGCACTAGGGTCCAGGAACCACTGTCCTTTTCACCCCACCTTTTGAAGCACATCCCATGACCCATGAAGGATTGACCTGAGAGATTACTGGACAAAGCGAGGGCTGACCCCTGATGCACTCGGATCAAACACGACCACCGAGCTTGAATGATTATTTTTTGTGTTAAATGACTGAATTTGACGCCCCTTTTACTGCTGCTTTTGTTGCAAGATTGGGACCTGATAATAATTATTATTATTTTTTAATATACTGTATATAAACACAGATCTAATGATGGTGGCGAGATACAGAGACTGTTCTCATTGTGTTCAGGCGTCTTTCAGATCAGCTCTCTGACGATGCCGAAGTTCTCATTGTAAGAATCCAGCAACGTGGCACATTTAAGGTCCATTTTATTTTATTTTATTCATTTATTTTTATTTGTTTGGTCACAGTTTATTTTGAGAGTCCTCTATAGTTCATCCACTAACACTTTAATTGTTAACTTACTATCTGGTCAGTTTTGGGATTAAATTCCAAAAATATTTTCACTCAGTAGTCCAGAAAGTCCATATATGGAAACTAAGCCCGCTTTGATTTCATTGTTTTTGTGATGTCACAAAAACCAACACATTTACTTACATACATACATACACCTATTCAACCTACAGCAGTTCAGCCCCGCCCACTCACCCTGAAGTTATAAGGAGTGTTTCATCCTGGACTTCCTTTTGAATGAGGCACAATACAGGGCAGGCAATCACAATGGAGCTCATTTGCATACATCCATCTTAAATGGACAGTAACAAAAACAGCCTGTTTAATTCTAAGGGATAAAACGAGGTTGGAAAATGGTCATAAAAATGATTTTATGCATCAAAAAAAACGATGCAGACTTCAGGAAAAAAATAATTATACAAATACAAAGAATATGTAAAATATGTAGTCTTTAGAGAAAACAAAGCATCTACAGTGGACTCTCAGGATAAAATGTTACCAATTTTTTTTTTATACCAAGTACACCTAATCACGAACCTAAAGTTAGCATTAACCTGCGCGATAATAGTGTTAAAGGGACACCCCAGCCAGATTAGGAAAACTCTTCTGATGATGCAACTTGAAGGTGGGAGCAGCTTTTGAAAACTTGTGGGGGGCTGCTTGAAATGTGTTTTCTAGCTTCCTAGCAGTAACGTTACCTATCCGGCTTTGTTTTACATAGCAAAAAAGTAAATTCATAAACACAAAAGGCGGCACTCGTGTGCATGCTGACATGGCCCTCCAGCAAACCTTACCATCTTCAGGATACATCATTAGAAGGGTTTTTCGTAGTCTGGCTGAAGTGTCCCTTTAAGAATGACTGAAGACCGTTGCACGGCCACCACAATGCGGAAAATAGAAAATATTCTGAAACAGTTTTTTTCACACCAAAACTCAGAATGTGACGCAAATATTTTCCAGAAAAAACAAGCAAACCAGCAAATAACAAAGGTTTAGTTTTCTTCTCCAAACGGGTAACCAGCGATGTTGAGAAGGCTACTTTCCCTTTTGGACACGTAAACGGAACTGAAATTTTCGGGAGCTGAAACTTTGAGCACTTTTACAAGTCGCTCAGACGTCCGTGGCCCAGATGGAACAGATTTTGGAGATGGACCTCCAAACAGGACGAACCTGAAGACAAACCAATCATTTTGATGTTGGTCAAAAAGTTCTCTTTGCTGGGACGCAGCTGATCGGTCAGCTTGGTTGTTGCCATGTCAACACCAGAGACAACAGTGACTGGCGGAGTGAGTTCATGTTGCCTGCAGAAGTTAGTAAGAATCGAACAATAATGTCACAAAAAAAAAAAACGTGTGATGATATCAGTTACAGTTCTATGCAAAAGTTTGAGCACCCCCAGTCAAATTACAATGTTGTGTCGATTTTCTAAGCGAACATAAGTTAATGCACAGTTACTGTCTCTTTTTTTTTTTTCTTAATGCAACATATTGGAAATAAATGAGAAATAAAATGTAAAATGTGCCATATTTTTGCACAGGCCGCGTTTTATGTGGCTACATTTTATTTCACGTCACCAGGGGTGCACAAACTTTTGCACACAACGCACGTGTTCCAAGACGAATCGTGCTCGGTGTGTAAGGGCCTTGAGAGTGGGCGTCGTTAGCATGTCATGCTAACTGTGCTCCGCTAACTTTAATTCTAGCAGCTTTTACTCTGAGAGTTTTCCGCTACAGTGCTGTATGTCCATCTGTCTGCTGACCGGACATTTTAACGGATGAAGCAATACGTCAAACTGTACACAAACATGCCGTAGAATGTGTGCGGTGATCCTCGTTCGTGGCGGCTGGATGAACGTCTTTGAAGCTAAGTAGCTTAAGGATTTTCGCTTCCGATTGAAGTAAGAGACTCGTCCATCGTCAGCATTCGGAATCGCCTCCCGGTTGGGCATGTGGAGCCTGGCAGTGCTGACCTGCAGTATTTTAACGCCCTTTTCCTTTTCTTTTACTTTGACTTTCTCCTTCCTTACGGATTCTCTTATATCTAATCTGATTAGAAATATCTATCTTGTACTTAATGGCCGTTTCTAAAGAAATTAAATACATAATAATAAAATACAGTATAACATACTCTGTAATATATTAGTAAATAAAAGGTATAAATAAAAGACAGCAATAAATAAATAAATAAATAAACAGATGAAAACAGACCAGGTTCATGATGAAGTAGAGTTCGATGGAGAGATAAACGATGAAGAACACACATGACCAGCGATTCCGCGAGTACGCCGGCATCATGACGTCAGGAAAACTGCCAGAAACACAAACAGGAAGTGATTCACAACCGGCAAATGTTAAACTCTTAAAACGTACATTTTTATTATGACGGGATGATATTTCTATATGCTGTATTTTATGGTCCTTTTAATTTCTTAAAATGCCAGAAAGTTACAAAACAAAGTTAAACAGAAACGTCTACATTTACAGATATGAATGTGCACTTACTTTGCCGTAGTCAGCAGCACAAACAAACTTACAATGCTGTTTTCAAGCGTGTTAAAATACTGTAGAGAGAAAAAGAGACAACATGACACTCAGTATGCATTTGTTTTTTTGAGAGAAAACAAAAACAAAACTCACAAGATTTTCAGAGAGAGAATATGTTTGAATGTTTGTGTGCGTCAGACTCACATGGTCAGCTGGATTGGTTGAAAACAGGCAGAAGCCGAGAATGGCGAAGATGACCATGAAGAACAGCAGAAGAAGAAGAATATCTATGAAAGGAGGGAGTGACTGGAAGATCTGGCGCAGGTTTCTGAAAACACAACTGTGTTTAACCTCTTAAACTCCTTGAGACCACTGGTGGTTCCAAAACACACTTTGTCATATTCTTCGTAACTTTCATATTTCATAAGCTACATTCTAAAGCTGGGGGTCGTATGAGAGCTGTAACTGTCTTCTGTCCAGTCAAATAGATGGGTGATGTAATTTTAAACCCTTATAATAAAAGAAGCTGAACTGTTTTTTTTTTCTACTGAAAGTCGACCAATTTTCCACAAATCTGGGCTATAAACTATAAACAGATGGTGTCTCTTCAGTGATCTGCTCTGTAAAAATTATTTTTATAAAATAATACAAAGAGCGTCTAAGATTTTTGGCTTTCAGCAGTAAATTGTAAGCAAATAGCAATATGTTTATGATCATAAAACACGTTCTGTTCATTTGAGGGGAGCTTTTACAAAAAATTAATAAATATAATAATTTACATTTATTTCATGCAGTTACTGAATAATTTGCCTTATGATTTGGTCATGTAAATTCAGATGAAAAAACCAAAATACACCCTGGAAAATAAGAGGTTAACTGTTTTTCATGTCATACAGTATCTACATTTTGTACAGTGAGACAAAGATTTTTATACGCATACAGCGCTGCACAGTGCTTGTCTCTCCAAAGCAATAACTTCTGTTTACGTTGAAATTTTCAAGCAACGTAAAGGGCAACGTTCAAATCCTATTAAAATTAAATAAATAAATAAAAATGACAGGATAAACATCTAACACTTTTGGTGAATATTCACCTTCACTGCTAGAAAATGAATAAATAAATAAATAAAAATTAATTAATTCAAAATGTATTCCTTTATGTTATACACTATGTATCCCGCAAGGCTGGCATCCTTAAAAACAATTACATTTCATAATTCACCGTAATTTAAAACGTTTTTTCATTTTTGATTTGTTTTTAATTAAAAATGTTCTGGTATAAACACATTTATACTTTCCTTTCTACAAACGGTGTCCCAAAGATGTCACGAGATGCTCTAATGTTGTGTCCAGTAAGCAGACGGACCAGTTTGACTGGATTTCTGCTTACCCAGACAGCAGCAATCATACAGTATCTTTTTAAATCTTTGGTGATGTGTTTACACAGTCAGTTTAGCTGAGTGGAGCCAAGTTCATATTCCACTGCTAACTTAGTGTCTACCCAAGGTCATGTCTTCTAGTAATCAGCCCGCTATGTCGCTCAGCATCTTCACCAAAATGTCCTGCACAGTCAAAACTACAACCATTTCTCTAGGTTTAAATGTTGCTTTCCGTTTTAATATTAATAATAATAATAAAAACTTGTCTTTCTTCAGCCTTTCAAAGAAAAAGGAGGACACAGTGGAATCGTAAGGAGAGCACGGCTGTGTTCAGCCTTCAGCCAAGACTACCTGGGGACGACAACTTATTATGGCCTAATACAGGGGTCGGCAACATGCAGCTCTTTTACAGTCCTGTTGCGGCTCCACAGCAGAATTAGATTTTTAGCTAAATATAAAATAATCTTCCTTTGCGGTAAAATAAAACTCTGCTGATCGTTCTAACACTATTTTAACGAACGCAGGAGTTAATGTAGAACTGCTAATTTACTAAAATTTAACCCTGAAGGTTGGTGCACAGACTGCTGTTCACCATAGCACGTAGACAACAATCTCGCCTAGCTAGTAGCTAACGAAAAGACAAAGAAAAAGATTTAAGATGAACATCGATAATTTGGAGACTAACGGACTTATTTACATTTATAATCACTCCAGCTGGTTTCCTGATATGTTTAATCTGCAACGAGAAACTGTCAAACACTAAAAAATCATGAAGCTGAAGTCGCTTCTCATTCACCAGCTTCTTGTTTGAATTTTCCTGTTCCACCTTAAATGATGCAGCAGTTATATTCTGGCACCTCAGGCACCATTTAAGGTGGAACGGGACAATTTAAACAAGAAGCTGGTGAATGAGAAGCGACTTCAGCCTCGTAACAAAACGTTGAAAGACCTTTTACAAGAAACTGTTCTACTTTTGTGGAAAAGTTTCCTGCTGGAGATGTGAGAAAAGTGGCTACAGCTGAGCTAAAGCTTGAAGCAGAGCAAAGTAAGTCTGTGTTTTTTGTTTCTTTATATTATTGTAATCTATACTTAAGCAATAGAACACGAGAGGAAGTGTGTTATCACGAAATAACATGACGAGTGCGGTAGGTCATCGCAGGCGTGATGTTATTCGCGATAACACACTCCCTCTTGTGTTCTACTGCTTTTATACAACAGTTAAATAAATAAAGTAAGAAATTAATAAACTGGGCCGTGAACGCAGCGTTTAATATGTTTTAATGTTTGCAATTCCTTCACCAAATTATAGTTCCTTAACAAGCAGCTTGTTGCTACATCAGAGTAACGAGCTCCGCCCACTCGCTGCACAGTCTGCTGTAAGCCTCGCATTATGAAGTGCGGACTGAGCCATAAAACTGCCGCAATATCAAGTTCAGCTCAGATTTGTCAGTTTTTTCCAGATCAGTATTAATGTTGTTTTGTTCCAGCCAGTCTGTAAAGCATCTTATAGCCCATTTAGTTTGGCGAATGGTGTTGGGTTCATTTCTGGCTGATTCCAGGTTGTTTAGCTGTTCTTCTGTCACAGCTGCCGACTGAAAAGCTGCTCAGTGGTGATGACAGTTTGGGAATTTAGTGTCGTCTCATCTTCAGAGTCTGACCAAATCGGCTGTCGGTCAAATGTGATCTTAAAAGTGTCCGTTTTCTGTTTGTGGCAAAGTAAGAAGTAAAACCTTCAAATGTCTTGAGCATCTCCTACAGCTGTCAAAGTCGTTGCTGAGCAACGGCGTCTCAGTGGAGTGACACAGTGTTTGTGAAAAAACGTGATGTTATGGCAAAATATCCACACGGTTAGAACGCTTCTCAACCAATCAGCTTGCATGGCCGGAACCAATTGTTGTAATAGGACATTACCACACACTGAGACATATTGACAGCCAAGATGGTGAAATGTTACTTCAGTAAAATGGACAAAGACGTTGTGGCTTTCAAGGTGGTTTGATTTGTGTTGAAAGGGTCTTCTTAACATCTGGGTTGCTGACCTCTGGGCCTAACACCATGTTCATCGTTAGGTTATTGCGATCTAATGTGATTGCCGTTTTATGAAAAATGCTTTGTTTAAATCTGAAAAAATGTCAGGAATCCACTAGAGGTAAGTGAACACCCGTATTCGAGCGTGCGCTAAGCAAACTAACCACAGTCTGGCAAAAAACATGGGTCTCAGTTCGCAGCTGGTCGGAAGGCATTCTTGTGATGGTCTACAGTAAACGAGGGAAGTCAGCATCAGAGCATGTTTTCCTGCTTCTTCTAGCACCATGTCAGCACTGGCCTGTCTACATAATCTGCCTGATTTAACATTTGATCCTTGATAGATGCGCATATAGTTAATAATGACAGAGCAATAAAATCTCAGTGCAGCAATGCATTAAACTGGTTACATTTAACTCAAAGATGCAGATTCAAGTTATGTTTAATATTATTGATTGGACTGTGATAGACATTAAGCATCTCTATTTCATGCAAAGTTAGTTTTTTGGTTCAAATTTGAACAACAGAGTGCTTGTATCCCTGCAAACTTTCTAAACAATAAACAAGCACTTTATATCTGTGGTGTGAAACCAACCAAAACAAATGAAAAAGATCCAATATCACAAAACACCAGACTCTGACGCGGAGTTCAGCCAGTGAACTAGGCATGAAAACAGCCCTAGATTACTGTTTGGGTCTACAGCATTAACAACAGACCAAGCTTCTGAACACCAAATAAGGAAGTGTATTCTAACATAATTAACAAAGTACTGAAATTACTATGCCCAGCCCAGGAATCTACGGCTTTAACACAACAAGGGTACCTGCGTACAGCTCCACAGTAGCGACAGTCTACGAGGAAAATTGGTCTTAAAGCCCGAGTCACACGCAGGTGAGACGTCTGCCGCACCAGGACCACGATCGCTTCGATGAACTGGATGAACAACACACACGTCTGACACACACACACACACACACAATGTCAGTATGGATGGGATTTGCCTGTATGTACACTATTTGACTCAGCATTATAATTAAGAAAACACAGTGAGCTGTTAAGATTCATGATTCAATTCTCTAATAAACCAAATATAGAAATCAGAACATGTTAACGTGAGGAATTAACATAAGAGATTTTCAACCACTCCTTATTTTAGCTGTATAAAAATGCATTCACCATTGTATCTGAAACTAAAGTTGTGCTTAGTCCCAATTTAACCCTTTATCCACAAGCTAATATGTTAACCACAAGCTAACAGGCTAAACACAAGCTAACATACCGGTCACAATAGAAAAACGCACTGTGATACAATTCAATTGAATATGACAGAATGCAATATGTTGAATTGTTAAATCCCAGTTTCAGGCAGTAGTGGGTGGTATGGCCAATTATTTATATCAATTATCAGCTGAACAGCTGCCCATCCTGTGGGTCTGATGCTGTTGCACATCTCCTGGACCAGTTTGACCACCATGGAGCTTCCTGCTGTATGGGAAGACCCTCCTGATGATGCTGCTGCACAGACTCGAACTATTTAATCAGAGTCTCTACTTCACCTGCTTCTCCCTTTTCTGTATTTTAATAATTTATATTTATATTAAAACCTTATTCTCTGCTCATTTTGCTCTTTTGTAATTATTTTGCTGTCTAGTGTCCACCAGAGGAGGATGGGTTCCCCTTTTAGGTCTTGGTTCCTCTCAGTGTTTCATCCACTTGCTCTTAGGGAGTTTTTCTTGCAACTGTCGCCATTGGCGACGCTATCAGGGACTCAAACCTGTATTTTTCTGTAAAGCTGCTTTGTGACAACACCTGTTGTAAAAAGTGCTGTATAAATAAACTTTGACTTGACTTAATAGCACAGTATAATTCATAATATATACATATATTTTTTAAAATATAACCATTGAAAATCATTAAGTAAACCCATTTCTAAAGCTATGATTCTGGGATTTTTTCTAAAACACATTTGAAATATATTTATCGGGCAAAATAATTTAATATTTTAATAATTTAATAAATTAGAACTGAATAATAAATAGATAAAACTATGAACTATGGCCCTGTGGGCTCGACAAAAACAGCGTTTCCCTTCAAGGCCAAAGTTGGATTATTATTTGGCAGTTCTGGTTAGAATTTTCAATTCCACCTTAAATAGAGAAGTGTTTACATTCCGTCACCTGTACAAACATCTGAATGAAACTACTTCACCATTAAAGGTGGAATAGGGAATTCGAGTAAGAGGCCAATTTCAGCTTCCTTAAATCAACGGTCTGATATGTGAAGACATCTCTGATTTAGACACTCAGCTAAACGGGCTAACGGAAGCGTGGTTTGCACTATTTATTTGTCACATTATCTGCGCTTGTATAGGCGATACTGTTATGATGGTTGTGCCAAAACTCACACTCACAATTTGTACAAAACGTCTTTTTCTAAAACATACATCTTAGTTAAGCCAGGGGTGCCCAATCCTGGTCCTGGAGATCTACCACCCTGCAGAGTTTAGCTCCAACCTTAATCTAACTCACCTGATTCAGGTAACCAAGGCCTTCGGAGGCACCTGACTATGTGAGCCTGGTGTTGGATCTGAACTCTCCAGGGTGGTAGATCTGCAGGACCAGGATTGACCCCCCTGAGTTAAGCAATACTAACCAACAATACCACATTAATCAGAAGCTCAGGATACATATACACACCTTGACCATGGTTCTCTTGTGTCGTATGAACGTGTGAAAGCCGAGCCATCGGAGTTTCATACACAGCTCAAAGGCCACCATCACCAGCGCCAGCAACTCCAGAGTGGCGTGAACCTGGAACAATCAGGATCCGACGCATTAAAACCCAGAGAGGCATAACTGTGTGATAATTACAACAGTGTATTTCCAAAATAAGGAAAAAATAGAAATCCAGATCTTTTCAGTGCCAGTTTTTTCTGCTTATGGTTTATGTTATGTATGGCTTTCTATCATCCACGTCCACTTTGGTCTACAAAACATTGCATAATGAATCATAACATAAAGCATGTTTGTTCATTTTAGATTTGTTTTTAATTAAAATATTCCAGTTTTTGATTGATGCAACTTTTATTTTACCTAGAAAGTGGCTGCATGTTTACATATTACAAAATATTTTGTCAGAGTATTAAAAGTATTTCAGCCCTCTGTGGTATACATACTGTATAAGCACCCTGCAGAAGTACTTCAGTATTCTGTAGATCTGAAGCACATTAAAAAGCATATCCTATATGTTTCTTAATCACCCCCCACACCACCACCACCACCAAGGGCCACTTATGAAGTTTGTGGTTATACTCTGTATAACTGGCTGCCCTGTATTGTAGTAAAAACACAGTCCAGACTGAAACACTCCTTATAATTGCTGCACAAATGGGCACTTTTTCCCCTTTTGTAAAGCTGGTTGTCATAACATCAGAAAAAAACAGTGAACTGAAAACAGACACAGCTTAGTTTCCATAAATGGACTGCATGAACTAAGAAGTGAATGTTATGCTTTAAAATCCTTCACTAATGTTTGCATACTACATCAATCCTTACTGTCTCAAAAAGTGACAATGTTTGTTTTCTATGATATGTACCCTTTAATATACTGTATCATAATAAAGAAAAAGTACCAAAAGTACTTTGGTACCCTGTAGGAGTGTTCTGTAGAAGTAATGAGCAGAAATATCAGAAGTACTTTACTGTGCAGTACTTTTTTTACCCTGTAAAAATACTAGAAGTACTTTAGTATACTGCATAAGTACTGAAATTAACCCTACGCCACACACTCGTTCAGACACAGGTACATACGTAGACGTCCAGTCTGAGGGAGGGCACTGCAGGGGCTTCAGAAAGAGAGAGAAGCATGAGCAGAACAGCGGTCAGCAGCTCCATCAGGTAGAACAGGTGATTATGGGCAAACAGGTAAGCGCTCAGCGCCCGCGGGCTCCGAGGGTGAGTATAAAACTTATCGTTATTCTCCCCTTCCTGAGAGGAAAACACACACACAAAACAACACACACACACACACACACAGTTTAAAATGTTTATTTCAGACCTATTATTTAGTTATTCATGTTCAAGGGCTTCCATACGTTTCAAAGTCTTTCCATTTTTTACATTTTCATAACCCTTTTTCACGACATCAATAAAGCAGATATAAACACCTCAAAAGGCATTTTTCCCATCATCTTCACTAAAAAATGTAGCTAACACTCTGCATACACGACAGAAAAAAGAAAATACTTTCAAGAATTATTAAGAAAATTAATATGCTTTAAAGCAACATATTTAAAAGCACTTATAATGCCACCAATGTGTATAAGAACTCCGACGTCTGTACAATGTTGCCTCAACACTACAAAACAATCTTACATAATCAATCAATCCATCAATCAATCAAACTAAATCTCCCACCACTGACAAAAAATATCACATTTCATAACTTATTCCAAAGATTTTACCCACTATAGTCCATGACATTTCACAGCCTGAAAAATAAGACTTAGAATCTCACTGTTATTTCAGAACTATGGAAACGTTACTGTTCACTGACTACTATGAATTACCTACTAACTACTACAAATGATTCAGTATCTACTTTAAATAATTCAGTAATTTTCATGACTTATTCATTCGTAACTATGAATTGAGTTACTACTATGAATTAGTAGTAAGTTCAGTAGATACAACAAATTATTCAGTAACTACTACGGCAATAATAAATAATAAATAGCTATAAAAATAAAAAAGAACTGAAGTTTTGGTTCCATATGAGACCTCAGAGTTTAAAATTGCACAGAAAACACAGAAAATATGGCTATATTAAAACTGTGTTATACATAAGTTTCTTTGTTATTTCAAGTAGTTACATACTAGGGCTGAATGATTTGGGGAAAAATTGTGATTTTTCTGACCAAAAATGTGACTGCAAGTTAAACTGCAGTTACTTTCTGCAGGTTCCAGATTGTCCAGAATGTCCACTTTTCTGGTTTGAGATTTGAACACTGGACATTGTGCACCAGACTGCCAGATAGTTCTGGTTATGATGTTATGTCTACAGCACATATGTGGTCGCTTGCATCTGACAGCTTGTCGGTTCACAAGCTCTGTGTTATCAGGTTAAATTTCCCCATTTGAGATTTACGACAGTGGCTTAAAATTAAAGCTGCAGTTCTTGTGATTAGAAAATTGCACTTCTTCAATGATCAAATATGAAAATTATTAATCTTTCAGCTCTGCTTAACACACACTCGTTAATATTCACCTGAAATTAACACCTGCATCCAGAACACGTTCCCAAAGTAAACCCTGAGAACTCATCAGCTGATTATGAAGCCTTTCATGAGATCAATCCGTTGTGTTGGAGCAGGAACAGGACAATATTCCCAAAAGCTTGTATATGTTCAAAAATTTACCTGCAGATATATCGCTGCTTCCTGGTAGTTCATTTCCCAGCTCTGCCGCAAGGAATTCTGGGATCTAGAGTCTGGGGGTCCAGGAATGCTAACGTTGTTCGCAATATCGTAGTTCCCCACTCCATCTGGGTAAAACACGAACAAACACACATTAAACAACAGAAGTCTTTCACAAAAACATTTTTTCTTCACTGTGTAACTGTAGGATGAACTGTGGATCACAGCACAGCATTTAGAAAACAGACCCGGTGCAGATTTTTTCTGTGTGCGTCACGCAGCAAAATACACTGAAATAAGCCATGAAAATCAATGACAATTGAACAGAAAACATACAAACTTAAAAACGCTATTTTTTTAATTCATGACGAAATACTAGTTAAACATTCCGGGCTGCAGACAGATTTCCATGTTGGTCTACCAGGCTTGAAATTTGTGCCTAATCACAAGCCAGAATGCTGTCGAGGATAAACAAACATGCCGTGTACTTTTATGAATAAATGTTTTACTGAGCAGAGTGTCGGACATCTGTATAACTTTCTCGCTGCTCCGCTCCACGGCACATACGAGGCCAGCATGTTTTAGCTGTTGCACTCACGTGGCCGTATGACTCATGTCATGCAGAGGTCGTGTGTGTGAATTAGGCCTAAGAACTGTTTTTGACTAATGTAGGATAGATACTACAGGGAGATTCACTCGAAAGAGGCCCCGAATATTCTGTAATAACTCTTGCTAGGACGAAGCAATCTGACCGAAACCAGTATATGGAGCTACAAACAAGCTGGGACGCCCCTGCTTCGGAGCGACGAGGTAGACGCCGGACAGCCGTCGAGACATTAACCTCTCTAATGCTTGCTGATACGTTCAGGAACATGGAACACCGCGTCGAAATGTGTCTGGCAGAAAATGGAGATCACTTCCAGCATCGCATGTAACGCAATCGCTTACACATACATCAAGGTATGTAGCAGATTTTTTTCAGATTGCTTCATCCTAACAGGAGTTACAACAGAATATTCAGGGCCTCTTTCGAGTGAATCTCCCTGTATTATTGAAAGCCATAAACACACTTGTTTATGCAGCTCTAGCTCATGAAATTCAGTCACGGAAGAACAGAGATATTCTTTGTACTTTATACAGGCTGAAAGAAACACACGAGACCACTTCCTACTTCACATTCACACTTTGTAGTCCAGTGGTTGCAAGGACAGGACATCTTATCATAAAACCAGACGTTTAAAAATAGATTTATGACAGAAATGCAAACTCACACCCAAAAAAACATTTGCATTTGACAACCACAGTTACTACAGCATAAGCTATAGGGATGCACAGAAATTTCAGCCACCAAAAACTTTCAGCCGAAAACCAAAAGCACTATTTTGAAAAAATGAGTAGGAAGTACAGAGAGAAAAAATTTAGCCATAAAATAAGATTAAACTCAACTACTTCCCATTCACCAGTTTCTTATTCACACTTTACATTCCAGCTTAAACAGTGCAGCAGTTCCATTGTGGCACTTCAGCTTCATTACAAATATAATGACCATTCTCTGTTGTCAAGGATGGTTGATTTCATGACACATACTGAAGCCCACAAAGCATAATAATTTTACTGAGTGGCATTCTTTCTTCCTCATTTTTGCTGCTTTTAAAAGATTATGCAATACCTTTTATGCATTTTTTTTTATGAAACATGAAGCTTTTGTAAAAGGCACTTTAGAGGAGCACTGGCTCAAGACATCAGCTTTATATTTGGTACATTTTTTAATGAAATGGTAGAAATTACAGGGTGATTTAAAAAAGATTCATCTGATTTCAAAATGATTTATTTGACTTGTAAATCATTTCAGAACAATGCAGTAAATTGTAAATGGTAAATGAGCATAAAGTCACATTTCCTAACTTTTCCCCAAATTTGAACCACTATTCGATAGTCAGATACTTCACAGCCTGAAAATGAAGATTTTTTACTTTTAAGATTTTATTCCAGAACTGTGAAAATCTTACTGTTCACTGACTACTACAAATAATTCAGCATCTACAATAAATTATTCAGTAATGACTGTGGTAAATAAATAATTCTAAGTTTTAGTTCTATATGGGATCTTTCAGTTTATAGTTTAAAGAAAAAAGAAGAAAAAATATGCCTATATTACTTGCTATACAGTAATATACAATTTTGTTATACATAGTTTTCTTTGTTAATTAAAGCAGGTGCACACAACAAATAATTTAAAGAAAACATCTAACTGTGATTTTTCTGACCAGTAAATTGTAAATAAAGCATAAAGTTTATTATGTAATCATACAAGTGCTCAGTATGAACCTCAGTATGAAGCTGTACGGACAACATCAACGCCACAGTCAAATTCACCCCATACTCGATAGAGCATGTCGGGTGTCGCTGCACTCACGGCTCTTTCAGTGCGATTTCGGAGATCATCCAGTGTTGTGGAACCAACGACGAACGCTCTGAGCTGTTGGAGCTTCACTGCCCACGAAAATCACACTGCACAGTTATGACGGATTCACTCTTATTTAAGTGGAGAATGCAGAACGCTTTCTGACTGAAGGGAGCCATCTTCCACTGACAGTCAGAAACTCTATGACCCCTCTTTCAATTGGATTGTGATTGGTTCCTAGGCACCTCACAGTTGTAAAAATATGGTGCTTTAAAAGCGGATTAATCTTTTTGAATAACCCTGTATTATGAGCTAGTCTTTGTCCGGCATTAAACGCCTCTTATGTTTATTTGCCACTCAAAACGGCCAAGTATTTTTCAGTGTCAGGAAACAGAGCAGGAATCATACATTCAACAGAAAATTACACAAAAGCTTCCAAAGTCATGCGTAATATTAACTTTATCAGTATTTCATTTGTCCACTCTTTACTTTTGTGTACCTACTGGCACTTTAACTTCACCTTATCTCTATCTTAAAACCAACCAGTTACAGCTGCATCCTCCCAACAACAGCTGTTCCCAAAGAAGCCACTCACATTCTGTTCCCCGTCAAAGAGACACTGTCCTTCACATAAAGAGCTACCCAAACTGCCTTTAAATGTCTCTCGTGTGCATCTAAAAATGGCTAAAACAGACAATTCTGAGAAGATTAGATCTAAGAAATTACTTACACAAGGAAGGAGAAGGTCAAAGGAAAATAAACGAAAAAACAGGAGTTTCTAAACCGGGAGTTAAAAAAATGATTAGAACGAAAATGTGCCTCCTAACAACCACCCAGAAGACCCCAAAACTGCCCCCATCAGATAAACAGCACTTAAAGCTTTCATCTCTGAGAGAGAGGAGAAAATCAAGCTGCTTCAGATCTGAAAACATCCACAGGTGTTTCTGTCCATCCTTCCACTGTGAGAAGACGACTCAGCGCTGTGGGTCTGAAAGGACGTGTAGCTGTCAAGAAGAACCTCACTGAGAAAAGGAGACGGACACATCAAACAAAGAAGCTGAACAATGGACTGACCACCCCAGAGTCCAGACCTCAACATCGCTGTATGTGTTTGATTACTTCAGAAAATGATCGACCAGCTTCTAAGACTGAACTTTGGAGGTGTGTCTGCAGATTCTTTGAGGAACTCAAAGTGAGTCTCTTGAAAAGAATGGAAGCTGGAATAAAGAGTGGTGAAGAGTGAACAAATTAAAAGTTTATGTTCAGTTGCTAAGGCTTCTGTGTAATCATATTTTTAGATTACTATTTTTTTAGAAGCTGAAAAATGAATAATTTGTACTTACTGACTAGAATTTCTATAAATGAAGGGTGGGATCTGACTTCTGCACAGTATTGTAGCTTCTACGGCTCATTACTTACAAAACTGTGCCCCTTTTTTATTACGTGTTGTATGTTACTAATGAAGATACAAGCCTAATGTTCTGCATGCTATCAATTGGGGATAACAGTATTTGATTTACACAACTCCACATACCAGCACATCCACAGGGTTGGTAGAAAGAGGACGACTGGAAGGGCCATTCGGGTGTCCATTCAGCCCCACTGACATGGTTACCGCCGGCTTCCATGACAACCACTGCAGCTGATCGTACCGGTCGCCAACAGTCAGTCAAAGAGAGTAGGGTCCAAAAAGAGTGAATGACCAAGTGTCAACTGCGTGGCATCATCTCCATGTTTGAACGCTGCAAGTCCACCTTTGTTAAAAATAAAAAATCCAAAAAACTCAAATCCACCAGCAATTTAACCCCAAAGGTCCAACAGCACTGCACCTCAATTCCCACATTCCTGCACATCAGTCCACATCTTCCACCTCAAGAAAATAAACTAACACTCTATTTACAAAGAGTGGAAGAGGAAATAATCCAGTGAAAACCTTGAAGAAGGTTTCTTTCCATCCACTGGTCCTTCTGAAAGATCTAAGGAACCTGGAATGTTCCTGGCTGGTAGAGGAGAATGTTCAGTTCTGATACTCCAGTTACTCCACCTTCTACAACTGCCTTGGTCAGATGTGCCTTCTTCACTCCTAGTTGACGTACTTTTGATCCGGCTCACCAGGAAAAGCTTCTCCTTCCCTGTGTCATTTCCCCTTTTCCTGTGCCACTTCCATTTTTTCCTGAAAATCAGCCATCTTTCCTGCCATCAAAAGTTTGGCAAACATGCTAAAAAAAGGCAACAGAAGCTGGTTCAGTTGTAGAAGTGCTTCAGGCTGAGCCTTATTCCAAGAGAAAATCCAGCTAAACAAAACCAGGAATCTCTCTGAGGGTGGGTTTTTGGGTAAAGCCCTAATGCAAATTTAACATGATGCCTTTAGGCGTTGATTTGCCCCCCCGGTCAGTTTTGAAAGCAGAACACTGCCCAGATGGGCATCCATTTCATTGAGGAATTGACAAGTTTCTGAGGAACAGAAAGTAGGAGACACCTCAAATCAAACCAAAGCCCTACTCGTCATGCCACAAACAAGACAAGGCTTAGAAAGATTACTGTAATTTTGGTAGCAGGACATAAAGATGGCAGTCCAAAGGCAGATGATGGGGGAACAATGCAGTGCTCCGCTTTCCCGTTACACAAAAACATGAAATAAACCAAAAAAAAAAAAAAAAAAACACTTTTCACCAAATCAGTCGTGTCCTTCCACTGTAATCCTCAGCCGTCATGGTCCAAACAAACAGACGTAAGCATTAGCAGAAGGACCCACGTGGTGCAAGTCCTCCTGACATGGGCTCTCTTCTTTTATTCCATAAATAGCCCTCAGCTCCGTCGAATAAAGCCCCACTGTCGCAAGGCCAGAAGCAGACAACGAGGGAACATGAGAGCAAGAGAAAGAGAGAGAGTCTGTATTCCTAGAATTCCTGTAATTTCCAGAAAACGTCCATTTGATGAGTTACAGAACAACCACGTCCAGGCGAACAGAATAAGAAGTGTCCAGTTTTCCGGTCCTCAAACTCAGCAGCAGGACAAAAACATCATGGGGCGTCCCTTAACCAGCAAGCTCTGCTCACCTTTCAGCCGCGGCAGCATTGTGCACGTGTTTGCGTGTTGGTGGGGGGTGGGGAGTGCGGAGCGGGGAGTGGACAGGGGCCACAAACAAGTGCGGCGTCAACCACTACGCTGACACAGCATGTTTGGTCGTGTGCCGCTGCTTTGCAACAGACTGCTGTGGTGGACACTCAAACACATGACTGCCACTGTCAGGAAACTTTTCTCTTAAAACGATGGTGCTTATTTACTTATTACCCCTCACCTCTCGTCTTAAAGTGACAGTGCCGTATTTCACTACAGTGTCTGTGTTTACAGGCAGAGATTTTGGCCAATTCGATTGAACATATTCCGATTACAGATTAATATCTGATCTCTGTTTACATGCACACAAGTAATCCGATCCAAAATGACGTGCATATGTAGAGAACCGCTTACTGTAGACGTTACCATGACAACGAGCATCACGTGAGTCCAGTCAGAGTGAGACGAGCAGCAGTGAGCAGCGCTTGTGTTTTTAATGACTTTAAAATGATGTCAGACTCAGGAAAACGTCCTTCACATGTCCTTATTAAAGAAGGCCGAGAGGAAGACGTCGTGTTCTGAGACACATAAGCTGGACGTCCGTCCCACCGCCGTCTTTTAAAGCTCAGAGCATAAACTTCGTCTCCTCTGCTCCACCATGTTGAACGGTATAAACTTTCACTATGACGTGATGAACATGATCAGAACGGACTTAAACTTTCTGATAGGGAACGTAATCAGATACAGGCGTTTACACGGATATTATTCTTCTATTTAACAGATTATTTACAGGATTACCCACCTCGTTCAGTCAGATAGAAACTGTATTCCGAGTGGCCTCAACTGGACTAGTCTATTCTGACTGAGGTGTTTACATGGACGTTTTCTATTCTGATTGAGCTATTAGTCGGATTACCAACAGATTATCAGGCTGCATGTAAACGTGGCTAATGACAGCTAAAATAAACATTCATTCAATTTTAAAGGGCCCAAATCTGAGAAAATGAACTAAACTTTCAGTTTGTAAATAAAAGTTTGAGTTTGCATGTAAAAAATAAGTTTCAAAAATATGCATATGCAGTCCACATACAGACACCAAGCTGCAAAAACAGCCTGTTTTGAATTAAATTTTTTTATGATGTCACGAAAACCTGCATCTATATACATCCATTATACTGAAGTCATTGGCCCTGGACTACTTTTTGAATGAGGTGAAATATAGCCAATCGGAATAGGGGTCATTTAAATACATCAATCTTAAAGGCATATTTACATATGGTATATCAGTGTTAAAGGCACATGGATCACCTTTTCCTTAAGCAACACCTAATAATTATTTGAGGACTGAAAACACCATTTTATCCCATTTTGAAAGTAGAATTTTTAGCCTTCTCTGATTTTCAACCCACTAATACCCCCATGATAAACGCTGGCTTTGGAACTGTATGCTGGTAACAGTCTTTATTTCTTTGGCTCATAGAACACAATACTCATTACTTCCATAAACAATCTGAAAGTTGGACTTATTAGACCACAATACACACTTCCACTGAGCATCAGCCCATTTCAGAGGCGCTAGAGCCCAGAGAAGCCGGCAGTGTTTCTAGACATTGCTGACATATGACTACTTCTGTGCAGAATAGTCTCAACTCTCCCATTATATCTGAGGTCAATTTGATCCCATTCAATGTTTAATGTCTGTAAATAAATGATCCATATATTTGGTTGCTTCATATTTAATTACTTTTTCTAATTTAATGGGGACAAAAGGGTAATCATAAAATTAACATGATGATATGTCTTCAATATCCTGTACACAGGACCCCAAGCTGTTTTGGCTGAGTAAAATCAACATTTAGATGATATTGAGGTCACTATAACTCGGATTTTTATAATCTTTAAAACGTCCCTCTGATTTAGGGCCCTAACCTAACCACTCCTGTAGGGAGGGGAAACGTGGGGAGGGGAAAACAGAATTCCCACCAAAAGATTGATATTTCCCAGAGGTTTAAATTGCTGGGGTCAAACTGACCCCAAGTATAAAACGTGTCAGTAAATTTGAGGTTATCTTGCATTTCCATATGCAGCAACCAACAGCATTTACTGACAACAGTTTGTCAAAGTGGTTATTTCCATCACATCAGTGTGCTGGTTTTTAATGCAGTGCTGTAGAAGGTCTCATTCAGTTGTGTTTTTCCATATTGCACTACTAGCACAATAGAGGGCGAAATACCTAAAGTCTTTGCATTTGGTCATTGAGAAACACTGTTCTTAAACAGCTGGAATATTCCAACACTGCAAACAGTCACCTGCAAAGGTTTGTGCACCCTGGTCACATTACATGCTTTCTTTATTTTCTAGGTAAAATAAGTGAACACATCCTCTAACACATTTCTGCATACTATACACATTTTAATGTACAATTACTGTTTATCTGCTGAATTTAACACACTGGGGAAAAAAATAAAATATAAAATGTGCCCTTATGCATTTCATAGTTGGTTTTACTTTTTCCGCTACATTAAACTCAGCAACTAAAAGAATCAACAAATAACTGTAACTTTGTTCCCCGTAGAGGACGTGTTTAATCTATTTTTACTATGAAAATCTTAGTACATGGAAATTTTTTAATCAAATAAAACTGTTTAGTTCAAGTAAGCTTCTTGTTATGTATTTAGGCCTACAAAATTAGAGTTTGAAATTTTCTGAACTTTCCCTCCGACACCCCTCCTCCCCCACATACGCACATTTTACACACTTCTAGAACCAAAACGTCACCAAAACTCATCTTTCTGTCTCTCACACACTGTTCATTAATGACGTAGTAAAGGCCTTTGGTTTCTCAGTGCTATTTCATGTCCATCTCCACAAGGAGGTGCCAAAAACAGTAAACATAACCTGGAAAATGTTTCAAATGTTTTGCTCAGCAACTGTAAAGTAAAAGGTCACATGAGGGTCTTATTATGTTAGTAAACATAGTTTTAAGCAAATAAACAGACTTAGTGACACTAACTGTCTCTGTAATTACTGGATTCACTAGGAAAACATTCAATAACAGTGCTGGTCTAGTCTAGGAGACACTTAATCCCCCGTCTTCTGTTAACACTCATTCAAAAATGGGACAATAATCCTCTCCCAGAGATGGAGAGGTTATGAATAACAATCACTCTTTAACCACAGACTGTACTCTGCCAATCTAAGAGAAAAGCCTAAAATGGACACTTTTAGCATTCACAGTAAAGCTGTTTGCAGTTATTACTGAAACCACAGCACCACAGAAATTAGACTGAACTGTAACTCAGAAATAACGGTGATACCTACAGCTCATAATGACTACACTCTCCACAAGCTAACTGCAGCGGATGCAGACGTCTCTGAGAGAGCTGGCTTGGTGGTAAATGAGACTGTATTTGGCTTGTCAGGTGAACTGAATCAGCTAGAAAACAGATAAAATTTAACCAACATCATGGCTCATGCAGTGACCTTCAATTCTGCTGACTGTGAAGACTCTTTTCATTACAGTGAGCTAAACTGTAGGCCATTTTGATGGTGAGTGTGATGGTAGAGCAGCTCTGAGCCCCAAAGTAGCCTCATATTATACTAAGTAGTTGAAAAAAAGAAAAACTGACGTAATGACGTTTTATGAACCATTATATTTCTGCTCAGTGTTAAAGGGAAACTCCACCAATTTTTCAACATTTCTGAATAAATAAGACCTTGAGATTTCATTGTAGAGAAACTTACTAACTCAGATCTCTTTACAGTGGTGGCGATAGGAACCAGGGGTCGCCATGACTACATCACAAATATAGACATTTTATTTACTATCAAAACCAGCAGTGAACCTACACGAGTCCTAGCTTTTTATATTCTGGTGAAGATAAAAGTGATAAATCTCTAATAGTAAGGTTTTTTTGCCTTACACATGCTGTATGTAGCCCTCCAGCATAAACAGTTTAAAAAAAACAAAAGCATTTAAGCCAAAATCTTCTCAAAACTATCAGGCAGTGAATTCATGACCATTTAATGTAGTAATTTTCTGTGAGGGAGCTTTTAAAGGTGGACGTCTGGTTCCCATCACCACCACTGTGAACAGTTCTGACTCGCAAGTTTCTCTAAAACAGAGCGTTTCACACCAAACCACTCTGAACGACTCTGTACATCTCAACCACTTAATTATGTGGAACTTTTGAAAAGTGGGTGGAGTTCCTCTTTAATACAGAATATTGGTTGAGCTCCACTACAGAACAGTGACAAACTGCATGTTTCATTTTAAAGACAGTATAAATGGTCCTGTTTAGCTGGAATCAGTGCAGTGTAGCTTGTGGAATGTTTAATAAAACCACTGTACTCATAGTTTTTATGGTATTTTTTTATAGTGTGGATTTTCATCTGTTCCAACTTGTACGCCTTCTACGACAGTGTGTAGACTTACGTACTCTGCTGTACGTAAGAGCACTCCTGCTGTACATCGTCCACTCCTACCTACACGGAATTTAAAGAGCTAAAAATTGCAAATCACCAATAATATCAGCCTATTTCATCTTATACAGTCAAAAACAAAGTTTTAGTTAAACAGTGCTTTCCTGACTGGCATGTATGTGAATTGCCAAACTGTCAGTTCTCAGTTCCTTACTGTCACATGACTTCATCTTAAATAAACAGCAGAAACTATATAATAATATAAATGTAAAATACGTCAATAAACCCACATGACATTCAGTGTTTGCATTTGGCTCAGAAGTGGTTCAGCTGTAGACAGTTTTATGGTTTTCCTGCTCTGACACACCTGATTCACTTAAAGGGGCCAATGATATGGGACTTGTGCTGATGTCTGATATTTTTCATGCACACATCTGCTGATGCCAATGTTGCGTAAACGTTTCTCACATGTAGAAACCGCGACTAGCTTTGGGATTTGCACTACAGAGAAATGTAATAGATCATTTCTGTGGGGGTTAAACTGCAGCGCAGTGATGCAGATATTTCAGTGCAGTAATCCAGCACCACCTAGACATTCTGCTCTTCAGTGGTCAGTTGCACCAGTTCAAACGTAGGCTAGTTGTAACGTGTTTACCAAGTTCGGGTGTATGCATTACTAAATCAGAACGAGCTGCACCACAAACTAGTTTTAATGCTGAGTTTAGTAGTTACTAAATATTTACACCTCCCTGAGCAGGTGAGGAGTTGAGTCGGTCAGCCAGAGACCGGCATTTAAAAAGCAGCATATTTGGTTTCTCAGGCAAATATGAGATATATATAAGAATATAAAGCACATAAAAGAACAAAAAATGTAAATATAAGAATAGGCGAGTATATATAAACAGGTTTATTCAGTTCAACCTGTGCACATCGTTCCATGGCAGCAGGTTTATAGGTCGTTCTGAACATGTTAAAGCGACGTACGCATCAGTTAGTTGTTACTAAAGACACGACTTACAGATTATGGTGCAACCAAATTCAGTAAAAGGACACTTTAAACCAACTTGTGTAACTGAGGACTCAGTAAAGACAGACTTAAGTACAAACCTGGTGCAACTCAGTCCAGGAGTTCAAACAATACATCGTTAAATATCAGCCTTAAATATCAGTCAAACCTAAACATCTGTCTGACGCTGTTACCCTTTTTTAAAAGAACATCTGCAGAGACCGATATTCCGCCAATATCATTGTTTATCCTGACACGTTTCATCAGGAAGAGAGTAAAATTAGTCCTGTTTGATTAGATTTAACACAGTGTAGTGAGTGAAACCTCACCGTCTGATCTAAAATAAAATGGTTTTATACAGAACCATGAACATTTAAAGGGTTTTTTGCATCATAAAAGGGTTCTTCAAAAAGTGTTGTGGATGGTTCTATATAGAACACTTTTAAAAAGGGTTCTTCTATTGTTACACATTTAAAATTATGGTTCTTCAAGGGTTCTTTAGTAAAGAAAACATTGCTATAAAGAACCATGAACACTCAAATAATCCTTTGCATGATTAAGGGGTTCTTCGGGGTGTGCTGTAGATGGTTCTATATAGAACCTTATTGAAAAGAGTTCTATATAGCACCCAAAAGGGTTTATCTATTGTTACACACTTGAAATAACGGTTCTTTAAGGGTTCCTTAGTAAAGAAAATGGATCTGTTCATCAATCTGAAAACAACTTTCATGATGCAAAGAACCATTTAATCATGCGAAGGGTTCTTTAAGTGTTCATGATTCGTCACAGAACCATTTTCCCTACTAAAGAACCCTTGAAGAACCATCTTTTTAGGAAGAAAGGTCTGGGATGTGTCTATTGGACAGTGTTCACTTCTGGCTTCCTGCTCAAGCCCAGCTCAGCCGCCAGGTCAGCGCAGGTCAGTATGGTGCGTAGCGGGCAGATACTCACTCTCCTCCGGGCGCTCCGAGGCCTCCTCCCCCAGCAGACCGCTGTTGGCCTCGTCCCAGGTTAGAATGAGCGGCACGTCGTCGTCCATTCCGCACTGGGCCGATGGAAAGAGCTGAGAAACGCCGAGAAACGCTGCGTTTACCGAGTAACCCGGGCTAACGTCTAACCCTGCGAGCTGCGGGGCAGGTCAGACATCAAACAGGCCAGCTGCTGGTCTCCCAGTGGTCAAGCCAACTTAGGTGAAGTTCATACATTGGGAGGTTTAGCACAGCGACCTCTTTCACCTCCTCCGGCTCCTTCAGCTGGACACAAAGCTTAAACACTCAAATAAGAACCGGCACCGCCACAAAGTCCCGCCGAGAAGCTGCTCAGCTGTTTAAACCGGATCAACACGAGCTGAACCGGCATAAACCGGGATAAGAACGAAGAAAAGCTCCGGTTAATCCTCTGACTCTTCACCGGGACGCCGTCAAAGCGCTTTCAGAGCACTTATTCTGCCTACAGACCTAAAACACCGCAACATATTTCAGCTTTTCGGGGTTTTTATTCGCGAATCCGGGTTAAATTTAACTCTCCGACAACAAACATCAGACTTTCGCACAACGTAAACAACAGCAACGCAGATACGCCTGGCCTCTTTACGACAGTCTGCTGCCGATCAACGACGTGTTTTCACAATAAAAGCCCCTTGGGCAGAACGAAGACGCTCTCTATAGATCAAACTGCAAGGTTTATTAAATGAAATGGTGCAATATGAATGTAATATTGAAAATAATTGCAAATTAAACAATAGTTCGTCATTACAGGGTTGTAAACAGATTCAAACGTGGTGGCGCTTTCATTTTTTCAAACCAACCGTCATGCCAACCAGCGCCATAGCAACACATAGTACACAATTACACGGAGAGTCCTGGCAGCAAAGTTTTCCTCTTTAGTTTAAACGAAACTGCAGGGATTCTTCTACAATTTTAGTCGTTTTTTATAGCATGTAAACTTTATCTGTAATGTGAAATCAATGTAATTGTAAGCAATAGCTGTTTTGGTTTTTAAGAGAGCTTCAGCAGTGACTACAGACTGTAAGCGCTGTTTTTATACCATTTGCTGCAGGGCTTCTAAGTCATATCTTTAAAAATATCTTGTTATATGTTTGACAAAAATGCCTAAGTGTAAAGCCTTTCAATGTCATGTTTGTTTGCTTTTTTCTATTTTTATTTCATTAAATGCAGTAGCTTATGCGCATTAGGTTAATCCATTAACATACACCTAAAGGGGAACTTCGCCAATTTTTCAAAATTTCTGCATAATTAAATTGTTAAGATGTAAACAAAGTCATTCAGGGCGGTTTGGTGTGAAATGCTTTGTTCTAGAAAAACATACATTTTAGTCGATTCATGGAGAAGGGATACGTGAAGGGTGTTCTGAGGCAAATTAGTCCCCAAAGTCAATTCATTTTTTTCAGTGGACCACTATTTTATCATTATCGACATTACATATAAAGACTCAGAAGACTCGTGTAGGTTCACTGGTGGTTTTGAATAGACAATAAAATGGCTATTTTGCATTGTAGACACTGGGACTCCTGGTTCCTATCACCACCACTGTAAACATCAAACCAATCTGACTGACTTTGTTTGCATCTCAACCACTGAATTCTACAGAAATTTTGATAAATGAGTGTAATTCCCCTTTAACATTTACTTTTTTCACATAAAATAAACAAACAAAAAATAAACGTGGCTTTCTGTGTAAGGTTTGTGGACTATTAATCTCACGCACCACAACATAAATGTATTTGAGAATTTCAAATGACAAAATACTGAATTTTATGACAGGTAGAACCTTTTTTGTTGTTTTTTTTTTAAGGATCTGTTTGTGGTTCCACACTTCAGTGCCTTCATAACTGCATAACTTACAGATTACTTTCACAGTAGTTACTGAATGATATGTTTTAAGAGGTTAAAATCTATTTATTTATTTATTTCATAATTTGACATGCCTCTTCTTCTCAGAACCATACACATCCATGGCATCAGAGTCAACCGAAGCACCCCTTGGTGACGAAGTCCCACCTGTGGCCCTCACGCCCGTATCCCCAAACAAGCTCTCACTGAAGATCATTGACCCATCCAGGAAGAAGCTGGTGTCTCCAGAACCGCAGCGGATTATAGGGGTTCTGGACGAGTGCATCCATAAAATGAAGCTGGTGGCCCTCCTGCCCTCTGAGCTGACCCATCCTGAGAGCCTCTCTGTGAGCCTGGGAGAAAAGACTGTCAGGTCCCTCACTGAGCACTTGCGTGTGGTGAAGAAACACGGGGCCCTGAATGTGGACACGGAGGAGACAGAACAGGAAGCGACCACCAAAGTGGTGCAGAATTCACTGCTGAACCTTTTGCGGCTGCTGAGGGCTTGTCCTACTGCGGAGGCGGGGCTTAAAAGGGCGGGGCCAATTACAGAAGACCGGAAAGGGGTGCACGAGCTGGTGGCAGGGTTACAGGAACTCAGGGCTGTCGTCTTGGAGAGGCTCCTGACCACAGCTTCAGAGGAGAGGGAACGCAGCCGGCACATTCAGGAAGTCAGCATGCGTCACCGTAGCAACCTAGAGGTGGTCGGCACACTTGAAAAGGAAGTTGCGGCAGCAATAAAAGACAGGGATGAGGAGGTGAGGGACAGTCGGGCCCCATGTCCAAAATGATTTTCACTACATAGTGCACTAGTCTGGATTATGTCTAATACTAGACCCTATTCACTAGTGCACTCATTTGGAATATGTCTGAAACTACACCCTATTCATTAGTGCACTCATTTGGAATATGTCTGAAACTACACCCTATTCACTAGTGCACTAGTCTTGACTATGTCTAACACTACACCCTATTCACTAGTGCACTAATTTGGAATATGTCTGAAACTACACCCAATATATTTTAAAGTGCACTATTTTTGGTCTACATCCAAAACTCACTAGTGCACTACTTATCCCAAACTAATCCCTAACTATTCACTATACAGTGCACTATATTAGACTGTCTGATACAATGTCCTGTTCACTATATAGTGCATTTTGGACTATGTCTGAAACTGTGCTCTGTGCAATAGAGTGCAATATTTTGGATTATATCCATTTATTATATCTATTTATTATATAGCACACTATTTTGGGCAGTGCCCTATTCACTATATATTGCACGATTTTGGACTATGTCTGAAAGTATGCCCTATTCGTTATATAGTGCATTATTTTGGGCAGTGCCCTATTCACTATATAGTGCCCTATTCACTAGTGCACTAATTTGGAATATGTCTGAAACTACACCCTATATGTTATATAGTGCACTATTTTGGACTATAGCCAAAACTCACTAGTGCACTATTTGTTCAAAACGTGTTTCTACTCCCTATATAGTGCACTATTTTTGACTATGTCTGAAACTGCTCTGTTCACTATATGGCGCCCTATTTTGGATTATGTCCAAAATTTTGCCCTATTCCTTATGTAGTGCACTATTTTGGGCAATGCCCTATTTACTAGCGCACTAATTTGAAATATGACTAAAACAACACCCCATATATTATATAGTGCACTATTTTGGACTATGTCCAAAACTCACTAGTGCACTATTTATCCAAAACTAGTTTCTATTCACTTTACAGTGAAACTATTGCCCTACTCACTATATAGTTCACTATTTAGGACTATGTCTGAAACTGTGCTCTATTCACTATATAGCACACTATTTTGGATTATGTCCCAAATTATGCCCGATTCATTATATAGCGCACTATTTTGGCCAATGCACTACTCACTATATAGTGCAAAAAGAGAGTAGCACAAAAAGAGAATCAGCCAGGAGTCCAGTTCAAATTAAAGAGGTTTAACCTGTAGCCCAGTGCTTATATTCTGGTGTTGTATTTTTAATAAACAGTGGCCAGTTCGGGTCATAGCAACATGTTAAATATGAAATAAAAGCAGGTTTCTTGAGTTTTCTTAATATGGCCCTTTTAGTGGTTGAGGTTGATGCCGCTGCCCTGTTCACTACACTCTCAGATCAGCAAGCAGAACGAGGCGATTCGTCGGCTGAAGGGTTCTGTGTACCAGATGGAGAAGACTTCAGAGGATTTTGTGGCACGGACACAGCAGGAAGCTCAGAGGCAGAACGAGTCGGATCAGAAAACCTCAGAGGGGAAACAGACACACCTCCAGCAGGAGGCCAATCAACTGCGAGTGCAACTAAACAACCTGATCACGGAGCACAAAGAAGCAGAGCTGGCACTGCGCAAGGTGTGTGTGTTTACACTGCCGTTCAAAAGCAATATAAAAGAATATTATATAATACAATATAACAAGTAATTTTATATGTTTAATTCAACATTCCAAGCATTTTAGGAACAGAAAGTTATTAAATAATAATATAGTGTAATTTATTTATCTATTTATAGTCATTTGTGGTCAATTTATTCAGTCTGTACATTAAAATACGAGGGATTTGTTTTATTGGGACTCTGTCGTGAATATTATTTTTATTATAACTTCATTCTGGATGTTAATGTAATTATAACTTCATTGTGGATATTCGTTTTGTTATAATTAGATTGATAATTAGGCTTTATTGGCCACATGTTTCTGATATGTTCTCATGTTACTGTTGGTATTTTTCCTCTGCAGAAAAAATACAAACTGGAGACCGAGATCGAAAACTGGATTCAGAAATATGACACAGATATGGGAGAAAAGCAGGTGATGAAAAAAAAGATGAAATCATTTCTTAAAGGAAAAAATAAAATCAAATTTCCACAGTTTTCCAGTCATGACTGAGGCATACAGTTCGCAAAATGCTAATTGGTGGGCTATACGCTTCCACTGTGTAGCAACATTAGCCTCAAAGCTCCAGTACAAAACTGAATAGGCAAATCTGACTTTACATGAAACTATTCCTTTATAAGTGACACTACTAAGATCAAACGGTCAAAACATCTGCATAATTATCCCTTAAAATGGCCAGTTTTAATACACAATTCTACAGGGAGATTCAGTTGAAAGAGGCCCCGAATATTCTGTAATAACTCTCTCTAGGACGAAGCAATCTGAACGAAACAATGCGCAATGTGCTCCTCAATATATGGAGCTTCGAACAAGCAGGGATGCCCCTGCGTCGGAGTGATGAGGTAGGCACCGGACAGCCGTCGCGACGTTTAACCTCCGTTTGCACATTCTGGGTGCATACCCCCCGTACCCCTTGATATGTCTGGCAGAAAACGGAGATCACTTCCAGCATTGCATGTAATGCAATCGATTCCACGTACGTCAAGGTATGTAGCATTTTTTTTTGTTCAGATTGCTTCACCCTAATGGGAGTTACAACAGAATATTCGGGGCCTCTTTCGAGTGAATCTCCCTGTATAACCTAATAACCAAATAGCTCAACCAGATTGTACTGAAGTCCCTGTAGTTACTGAATAATAGCCTTAGTATGTAATAATAGTGTGTAAATGGTTGAGATGTAAACAGTCATTCAGAGTGGTTTGGTGTGAAACGCTCTGTTCTAGAGAAACTTACCGAGCCAGAACTGTTCACAGTGGTGGTGATAGGAACCAGACACCCACCTCTAAAAGCTCCCTCACAGAAAGGTATTACATGAAATGGTTATGAATATGCTGGCTGATGTCTAAGACTGTCTCAGGAGAAGGTTTTCAGCTAAACTATGTTTTTTAAAATCCATTCATGGTGGGCGCAGGGTGCAAAATCCATCCATCCATCCATCCATCATCTAAACTGCTTATCCTTCTGGGTGGGGTGCTGGAGCCTATCCCAGCTGAGGGTGCAAAATAGTCCCCCCCAAAAAAACTTTCAACAATCCATATAAACCCTCAGAAGACTCGTGTAGGTTCACTGGTGGTTCTGATAGTAAATAAAATGTCTATATTTGTGTTGTAGTTATGGCGACCCCTGGTTCCTGTCACCACCACTGTAAAGACATCTGAACCATTTCACACCAAACCACTCTGAATCACTCTGATTACATCTCACAAACTGAATTATGCAGTAAATGGTTGAAAAATTGGTGGAATTGCCCTTTACTGTACATCTGAGTGACTGTATGTTTTGTATGTGTGGTTATATGTGAGCAGACGGAGCTGGAGGAGATGACAGTGATCTATGAAGAGGAGAAGGCCGAGCTGAGGGACCTGCAGGAGCACTATGCTGTTCTAGAGCTGGAATATTCGCAGATCATGGAGGAACGCAGGATAGCGCAGGAGCAGAGAGAGGAGGAGGAGAAGGAGAGAGAAGTGAAGAGTCAAGCAGCCGTCATCATCCAGGCCTTCTGGAGAGGATACTGTGTTCGCAAGGTCATGAAGGCCAAGACGAAGAGCAAGAGCAAGAAGGCAAAGAAGGGGAAAGGGAAGAAAGGAAAATGAGTCAGAGTGTATAAACAACTGTGAAAAACATACTAAATAACTACTGTGTGCACTTACAGAGTTCTGACCTACACGTAAATAAATAAAACTGAACTTGTGGTGCATTAAAATGTTAAGCTAATTATTTAGCAGGGGTACTGCAGTACTGACCGAGTCTTTGTTTTGTCAGCCTACAGGCCACAGTTTAAATCTACACTATGGCCCAATCCTATTTCTTATTTGTACCCCTAGCCCTTGTTTTCGAGGGTCTCCTTGCCCCTTGGAACTGAGTTATGAGGGGTAGTGGTTGAAATCTTTCAATCTCTGTGAAATGGGACCCTCAAATAAAAAGAGCATTACTTCATTAACAGCTACTAGCACTGCTCTGTCTGCGACCCTGCCAGTCTGCAGTGACAGCAGAGGAGGGTAAAGTTCAGCTCCTCACTAACTCCTAACTGCTGCACCATTTAAAGTGGAACCGAGACGTCAGCACTACTAGCGATTTCTTATGGAAACGGAGGGGTAAGGGCTAAGTGGTAGGAGCGAGGGGTGAAATGGGATTGGGCCTATGTAAGTTTTGGGGATCTGGAGACCTCTCTGGTTGAAATGTGTAACTGCATGCAACATGTGGAAGAACATTTTGAGGGTCATGGATTGTGTTTCGGCCTCCTTTCCCAAGCGGATGAATCTGATTATTGAAAGAGAATTCAAAGAGAACTCAGTCTAAACTTGGTGAAGGACACGTCTGCTAAGGAGGGGAGTGAATTATCTACTATTGTCATCACATCTTCATCAGTATAACGGTGATTCTGAGATAATCTGAGGCCTAAACATCGAGCCAGACCTTTTTTTTGAGCCTGTGTGTGAAGTTAATACATAAAGACGTATAAAAAACTCCACCGGACACCTCTGACTTGGCTATTTCAGGTTTTACAGGCCAACTCTCAGCAGCGCACGCTCACCATATTCATTTCCTAATGCTATTTCTTTCAATTTTGAAAACAGTCTTACATAGTGCAGCTTTAATTGTTAGCGTTGGGTTGTCTTATAATTGTATAAGAGGTAAAACACTGGATAAACTCCACAGCTTTTAATTCTTATTCCTTAATACTGAATAAAAAACAACAAAAAGCAAGACTGCTTCAGATCAACGGTAGCATTTCACAAATACTTTGCAATTGTGAGGCTGATTTCACATCAATAGCATATCATATTCTGTTTGTGCTGTTTATTCTTGTGAGAAAGCTCGCTAGCCGTGGCTTTCTGTGCCCACAGGTAACATAAGCCCAGCCACAGTAGAAGGCCTAGCAGTGTCTAATGGCATTTCACCCTCATCCTCCTCTTACCAGCATCAGCTGTTTCATGCTGTCTTCCAGTATTTTGACTTTTGAATGTAATAAAACTGCAGATGGCTGCATTGCAATTTCAGCCACCCAAACATTCTGGCCAAAAATGGCACTTTTAGAGAAAAAATGGTTTCTATGAGCAACATTAAACACAAGAGTTATGATTTCTGTTCATGTGGAGCATCAAGAGAAGATACAACACCCACAAACCTCTCCACTACAGGTTTGATAGCACCTGAAAACACGACTCGATACGCAGAACACAGCAAAACGAGCAGAAAGAAAGTCCCTGCCGGCTCACCAGCTCCGTCTGTTTTTAAAATAATGAAAAAGTTCACAAATGACAGACAACGTGCAAAATATCATTAAAAATAATGGAATTTTTTGCCTAAAAGTAATTTTTTTATTATCTTGTTTTATCTTGTTTTTATAATTTTATAAAAGTATAAAATTACTCATTTTATCATATTGAGTTGAATTATGGTGAAATTTGAGATTTTATTACTTACACCCAAATAAACATGAGCTGACAGGGCAGAACACAAACATACAGTCATGTGCAAAACTGTGCGCTCCCCTGCTCAAAAGTGTAAATAAGTGAAACACGTCAGCTACAGAGAACACGCCTCTGCACATTTTAATACACGGTTACTGTTTATTCGCTGAATTTGCCATATTGGAAAAAAAATGTGACATAAAATATGGCTTGTGCAAAAGTTATGGCACCTTTTATGTTACATTTTCTTTTTTTCCAATATAATAAACACATGCAGTTAACAGTAATTGTGCATTAAAATGTGCAGACTTGTGTTCTCAGTTTCAGTTTCAGCTGGGAATTTTCATTTCAGTGTATGACTATTTTCCAGATTTTACTTTTTGTCAATGTCACTTCAGACTTCGGTCAATTCAGGTTTAACCGTCTGAAAGCGATGCTGTAAAGCTCCACTGAGCTGATTGAGTCTGAATGAGTGATGAATGTTCAGAGGCCCATGAGGATCAGACATTTGTCTTAATATGGACTCATCTACACAAAGATGCCTGTAAAAATCCCTGACTGTAACTTTATGATGCAGCAACTACAGACTGCAGGAGTTTAATAAATAAAGATCTCTTTTTTTATACTTTTATGACCACATTTTCGATGTTTTTTCCTTGATTATATCTAAGTTATATATAAGATAAACTTTTTAGCTCTAATAATAATGTTCTCTGTAAAAGTCTCCATATGATGGGTCTTCACTCATGGTCACTGATGGATCTGTTATCAGTGTCTGACTTGAGATCACGAACGATATCAGCCCGATCCTGGATATACAGCTGGATCTGGAAACAAAAGCAGATTTATTTTAGCCATTAATGCTTAGGTGGGTTATTTCTGTCATCGGATAGTACCTACATGTTATTATGTGACTGCAAGATAATTAAATAGTCACATAGTTCTTTACATTAGTATTTGATTTTAAGTCTGTGTCGGGCGCTTCTGACATTTTTATGTCCAAAAAGTACGAAAAACAAAATGTCAAAAATGTAAAGGATGCAAAAAACAAGACTTTTCAGCAAATTCAAATCATAATAAAATATCTTCTACTCACAAACGCTAACGCAGTCTGGACTGAATGTTTGCAATCCGCACTTTCCAAACAATTTCACCACTTGAGGTACAACAGAGAATAATAAATAAAAAATAATGAAATCCCTCACCTTGTCCAGCTGCTCCAGAGTGTCGTCAACACCGACCCCTTCAGCTCCACCCGCGACGACGCCAGTCAAGTGATAAAGGTTCAGGGTCACGACCTTTATCTGGCCCAACAGGAGCGTCTCTTTGGCAGCCGTCGCCTGGATGTGATTCCATGTGGATTCCTGTAACAAACACAAATCTCTTTTATTAACTAATATTATATCAGACGAAGATGCATTATTAAAGCTATTTTAATGGCAACTACAGCACCAGCGACACTTTAAAAACAGGCAGTTTTAAAATATAACTGGCTGGGTCACGTATGAAGCTGTTTATATCAACTGAATTCTATATTAATTAATAGTATTAAGCTTAAATGAACAGTTTTTATATGATTATGCTGTTCATGGGAACATCTACATACATACTGCTAATGAATCACATTGCTTGGCAGAATTGTTTATTGCAGTTATTCATGATTATAAATGTATTCATAGTATTTTAGCATTATTTTTATAAAAGCGTTCAGCCATTCAAAGCTGGAAATTTTGTTTCAACAATTCAGTTTGTTGGACAAAAGAGTCAAATTTTAATCACATATTGGCCATTTCACCAACCTGACATAATAGTCTAGCAGTCCAAACATTACCTATCACAGATTCTCCAACAACTTAAAATTAAGAACTGGTGAAAACATACTGTTAGTTCATTTCATGACTTCTCTTTGTGCAAAAGCCAGAGACTATACTTCATTCCTTTCATTTCCAGTCAAAACAGCCACAAAGTGCAAGTTATGTTTTTTTTAAGTGTCAGAAAAAAAGCAGACAACATTATATTTAACAGAAAATTGCATAGAAGCCTCAAAAACTAAATGTACTGTAATTTGTCACTCTTTCCCTTTATTCCAGCTTCCATTCTTTTCAGGAGACTCACTTTGAGTTCCTCAAAGAATCTGCAGACACACCTCTAAAGTTCAGTCTTAGAAGCTGGTTGAACATTTTCTGAAGTAATCAAACACATTCAGTGGTGTTGAGGTCTGGACTCTGGGGTGGTCAGTCCATCGTTCAGCTTCTTTGTTTGATGTGTCCGTCTCCTTTTCTCAGTGAGGTTCTTTTTGACAGCTACACATCTTTTCAGACCCACAGCGCTGAGTCGTCTTCTCACAGTGGAAGGATGGACAGAAACACCTGTGGATGTTTTCAGATCTGAAGCAGCTTGATTTTCTCCTCTCTCTCAGAGATGAAAGCTTTAAGTGCTGTTTATCTGATGGGGGCAGTTTTGGGGTCTACCAGCTCTTCCAGGGCTGTTAGACGTCCTGTTGATTGCTCTATATCTAACCTTCTCAGAAATCTCTCCTGAAAATGAATATCTTGTACTTAATGAGCGTTTTGACTGGATTTTTTAAATACCGGTATTTACCAGCTGAGGGAAACTCTGGTATTTACACTTACATAGTACAGCAAACTCACAGCAACAGCTCTGGGCTTCTAAAGATTACGAAATGAAGCCTCAGAGCAGGTGAAGGATCTTCAGGAGCTTTGTGTCAGAAGATTAGAGCAGAAACAGATCATACCCATCTGAGGGCCTGAGAGAGGATGGTGTCCAGGTCAGTCTGTAGCTGTGAGAGTCGGTTGTTGTAGTGCAGTAACGCTGATCCCCTCTCACTGACGTATCTCCTCAGCTCCACACCCTCCCTCTCTCTCTCACTCTCCACCTCGCTCTGCCGCTTCAGCAGCTGCTCCCGCGTACAAACCAGCGTGTCGAAACGGCCAATCAGCTGCCCAACATCCTCGAACTGGAACACAAATCATATAATGTGCGTATGCATGTACTGCTCATCAGTTTAAAGCAGACAGATAAAAACTTTTCTTGTATTTATTGTGAAGTTTGTCTTGTTTTTCTCCCTGGACGTCCTCTTACTAAATGTACAAAAAAAGCTATAATTTATTTTTTACATGACCATTTTCCAGCCTCTCTTGTTGATCCTTATTCTCTGTATGACTGATATATGTAAATGAGCTCTGTTCTGATTGGCTGCGCTGTATTGTGATCTATTCAAGAAGCCCTTTCAGACTGAAATCCTCAGTAACATGAGATGAAATAAACCAACTGCTCCTTTCGAGGAATAACACTCCACATCACTTTATAAGAAAAAGGTAGGCCTAAATTGCTGAGGGCTGAGTGGGTGGGGCTAAACTGCTTTAAGATGAACAGGTGGGGCTAAACTCACTGTATATGAACTGATGAGTGGACAGTTCATTTTGAAACTTTATTAGTATTTACATAATGCATCAAACTCCTTTACATTAAAACGGCCAAAAGTGGTCCTTTAAGATTAGTAACCTTATTAAATAAACGTAGTACGCATTTATAATTTCTCCTTATCCTACGTAAGACAGGTACTGCGGGCAGAAGACTTTACCTTCCTCGAGGTCTTGAGGACGCCATCTAAGAAGCTCCAGTAGATTCTATTGCGGTTGACTCGCGCCTGCAGCTGCTCCTTCTTGGCCAGCAGGGCGGCGATGTTTCTCTGTAACTGCTGCGCTTCCCGCTCTCTCTCTCTCACTACAGCTCTCTCTGCCTCGGCCTTCTTCAGACCCCGTGTCTTCTTAGCATCGTTCTCCTAGAGAGAAAGACAGACAGCAATATCTGATCATTAATGTTATCTTTATTTAGTTACAAATGTTCATATATTTAGAATTATTATTATTATTACTAGTATTTTCATATGTATCACAGAGCGTGTTCACATGCACTCAATAAACCGATCATAATCGGATTTCTGCAGTTATCTGATTATTCAAATGGTCATGTAAACAGCACACTGATTTCTTAGATCAGAGTAAGGTCTAAAAATCTGATTAAGAGAGCTTGATTTTAGCTCAGTAATCAGATTTCTCAGTGCATGTAAACTCTTACTCTGATTTATTTCGGATTTCTCAGTCTGAGCATGTGTGAAAACAGACAGTGGTACCGGAAATAAGCGAGCAACGTCGCTGTGAGATACAGCAAAACACTTCTGGAGCGACGCTGAAACCAAATACACGCTTGAGGAAATGAAGAATTTAAATATTCTTATTTTTTAAATATTCTTATTTGTATTTTCAGGTAAAATGAATCAAAGTTTTTAAAAAAAAAAGCCACGGCATGAAGTTTGTGTCACGTCTTCTTCTGTGAGTTTATTGGCTGATTGCAAAGCAGAAATCTGATTACTGTCTGACTCATGTAGACCTGGAGTTGCCCCATTATCTGATTACTCAAGAGCATGTAAACACGTTGATCGGATTACTGACAAAGTCAGATTTTCTGCAGTTTTTGGATTTTTAAGTGCATTTAAACACACTGATTGTCGTAATGCTTTTACAACACAAATGTATACAAGTTCAATGCAGTATCGAAGCCCTAATTTTAGTAAAAAACACAAACCAAAACAAGTATTTCTAAGCAATATTCTGCTATGAGACCACATTAGTGGTTACTGTGCTACATTATTGTGGATGTAACACTTTTCGGGGCACTTTTACTCACTTTGAGATACTTGTCAAACTTCAGTAAAGAGTCTTTGAGTTTCTCTTCTTTCATCTTCAGTTCGTCTCTCCTCCGTCTCAGACTCTCTTTCTTCACCTCAAACTCCTGAAAAGGCACACATAGACGATAGACGTACTCACACTTCAGGCAATAATTTTGGCAAAAAAATCGAATTTACAAAATTTCCCCCCAATTTTTTAACACATATTAGAAGCCTTAAGTTTCACGCTGGACCTACAAAGCTAATGTAGCTAACAAATAGTGTAAAATTATGTCCCAATAAGTTAGCAGGTTAGCACTTTTGTCACTAGGCAAACATAAATCATTGCACGCTGCCCGATGATGTTTTGTTGCTTGAAAATATGTTAATGCATCTTTTACAGAGAACACATTTAAATATGATATTTTCTGTAAATTTTAATGCACAATTTCTGTTGAAAAAAAAACCTAAAACATAAAATTTAAAATGCGCCATAGCTTTTGCTCAGGCCACATTTTATGTTTTATATTATATGAATATATCAAATTCAGCAAATAAACAGTATTTGCATATTAATTGTGCAGAAGTGTGTTCTCTGTAGAGGATGTGTTCACTTATTTACACCCAGACAAGCAAAAAACATGCAATTTGACCAGGAGCGCACAAACATTTGCACTTATATATATGACTATATATATAAATCGGGACGAAAATACATTAGCACAGCTAAAAACACCTCCAAAAGACACCTGAATAACTACTACATTGGGAACTGGGGGGAAAATGGTGTAAATATGATATTTTGCCAAACTACTGCTTTAAAACAAAATGATTATGGTTTAGTTTCCACACTTGTGAACGGTTTAAAGTGAATATCAGTGAGTTTCTACCTCTTGCTGTGTCCTCAGAGCAGCGTCCATGTGCTTTATCTCTCTGCGTTTGTCCAGCAGGCGCGTGGCTCCAGTGCGCAGGTCCTCCTCTGGTGCGGGCAGACTGCTGGACACAGTCAAAGACCAGCTCAGTTGAATTAACAGGTTAAAATGGAAAAGACTCACTCAGAGTGGTTTGGTGTGAAACGCTCTGTTCTAGAGAAACTCACCGAGTCAGAACTGTTCACAGTGGTGGTGATAGGAACCAGACGTCCACCTCTAAAAGCTCCCTCACAGAAAGTTACTACATGAAATGGTTATGAATTCACTGCCTGATGACTGAGACACTGTTTAATGATAGTTTTGTGACCAGGTTTTGGACTGAGATGTGTTTGAATCCATTAATTTTTATCCATTTATAGTGGAGGGATACATGCAGGGTGCTTCAAGGCAAAATAGTCCCCAAAGTACCGTTCATTTTTTTATATTTTCCACTATTTAATCATCATTAATAATCCATATAAACTCAGAAGACTCGTGTAGGTTCACTGGTGGTTTTGTATAGTAAATAAAATGTCTATATTTGTGTTGTAAACACGGTGACCCCTGGTTCCTATCACCACCACTGTAAAGAAATCTGAGCTTGTAAGTTTCTCTACAATGAACCATTTTACACCAGATCTCTCTGAGTGACTGTGTTTACATATCAAGGAATGAATTATTTAGAAATTTTGAAAAAATGGTGGAATTCCCCTTTAAGCCTGTCTCCACCATTGAAGCTTTGGTTTGAGCGATCAAACTGAACTAAACTGAGCAAAATAATCAAATGAAATCTCGTTACTTTATAAATGTTCTTACGTTGAGAGCTGCTCTTCGAAAACGGTGCGAAAGTAGTCCTCCAAACTCACAGCCATCTTTCATTCCTGCAGGGAAAAGATTGAGCTTCAACTTCACAAACTTCTGTTTTTGCTCTTTCCGCGCCGTTTCCACGGCAACACACACATTAAACACAGCGCGTCTGTCGCCCTCCTGTGGTTAAAACGGGTTATTACAACTCAGATTCCTTCAGATCGTTCACTTTTCTCCTCTTCACACTGTGGAAAGTTCTAGATTTCTTTTGCATACTGTCCTCAGCTTTCTTCTTTTATCAATCAATGAGGTTCCATAATATGTTTTAGCCTTTACAGGTGTTTTTTAAGCTCTTCATGCATTTCATGTTCCAAACTGAGTTTCAGGATCAAGTGCTGCTTTTCTGAATGTGGCGCTGATGAAGCTGCCTTCTGTTATAATTCACCAAAGACCTGGAGCTTATAAGTATTAAATATTACTATAAATATTTACTAGACATGCACCAATCAGCCATAACAATAAAACCACCTCCTTATTTTTACACACTGTCCATTTTATGATCTACAGACTGTAGTCCATCTGTTTCTCTGTGTACTTTGTTACCCTGTTCTTCAGTGGTCAGGACTCCCATGGACCCTCACAGAGCAGGTACTATTTGGGTGGTGGATCATTCTCAGCACTGCAGTAACACTGACATGGTGGTGGTGTGTTAGTGTGTGTTGTGTTGGTACGAGTGGATCAGACACAGCAGTGCTGCTGGAGTTTTTAAACACTGTGTTCACTCACTGTCCACTCTATTAGACACTCCTACATTGTCAGTCCACCTTGTAGATGTAAACTCAGAGGCGATAGCTCATCTGCTGCTGCACAGTTTGTGTTGGTCATCCTCTAGTCCTTCATCAGTGGTCACAGGACGCTGTTGGCTGGATATTTTTGGTTGGTGGACTATTCTCAGTCCAGCAGCAACACTGAGGTGTTTAAAAGCTCCAACAGCACTGCTGTGTCTGATCCACTCAGACCAGAGCAACACACACTAACACACCACCACCACGTCAGTGTTACTGCAGTGCTGAGAATGATCCACCATCCAAATAGTACCTGCTCTGTGAGGGTCCATGGGGGTCCTGACCACTGAAGAACAAGGTGCAGAGAAACAGATGGACTACAGTCTGTAATTGTAGAACTACAAAGAGCTGATAAAATAAACAATGATTATATATATACACTTGCATTAATGGTCTCTATCAGCGTCCACTGTAATTAAACGAGTGGACAGTGACCTAAAACCAATCTTCTCACTCTTGTCATGACTGATTTCGCCCTTTCAGGGGCAGCATTGTAAAGCTTTAGTTCAAATGGGCCTCTAAAAGCGCCCATTGTCGTTTATGTCAATAAGCCGAACCTATAAATGTTTCACCTCTTTATAATCAAATAAATAATTCCTTTGTGTGAAAATGTGTGAACACAAAAAGCATCTCTTTATGATCAGCCAGGCCAAATGGACTCGAACAAACTGTGTTAATATAAAGTAGGTCTGAGTGTTTTTATGTGTTTTCTTGTTTTGCTGTGTGTGTGTGTGTGTGTGTGTGTGTGTGTGTGTGTGTGTGTGTGTGTGTGAATCTTTAATGAACACTCTCTTCTCCCTCATCTTCTCCCACTCACAGCGCAACCACAGCAGAAAAATACACCATGTTAGCTTCTTGGGTGAAACGTAATGAAGGGAAGTTTCCGGCACCCTTGTAAACGTCAAAGGTCGCTTTTAAGTGTGAATTAATATTTGAAAGTGGTCCTTTTTATTTGCTCATGCTCCATAGTCAAACTCAGCTGCTGTAGAATTCACACACTGAAAGGGTTTATTCCGATTTTGGACTTTGAGGTGAGAAAGTTTTTACTTGATCCTCAGACATGTTTTACATATAGCTGGACTGAATCTGATCTGACAGTTTCTGTAAAAGAGAAATTCTATGGAAATGTCCATTTTTGTGTCCCTAACGTTTGGAGATATATTACACTCGAAAAACATGTCAGGGTTACAATTTATTTATATTTTAAACTGAAACATTAAGTTATTTTAACAATTACACCTTCTTAAGCCTCAATTTAGCAATATTGGTTTTTAAATCAATCATATAGAATTCCAAGCACCACAGAAGAGCTCGCCCTCACAGTCATGTGTGAAGGCTGAGGCCATATTTTGAGGTAAAAAACAGGTTTTACTGTCATTTTAACTGCAATAATCTATACATGACTATGAAATATATGATTTAAATGACATAAAGAAAAAAATACATATAATAAAATATATAATGAGAGTTGTGGTCCCCAGGAGTCGTGTCACTGGTGTTACTGCGTAACAAAAAATCTCTTATTTTGAAATAAAAGACACTGATGACATCACGACTTCCTTTTACCTGTTTTCTGAGGATCTATGAAGAAAAGCACATGGTGAGTCCACTGTGTCTTTCAGTTATCAGAGATTTTCTCATTTAGCTCATGATTTCATATGAAGCTTTTAGCTGAAGTCACTGGTGTGACCGACTTTATTCTGAGGTAATTGTAAAAAAAATAGAATACAAATGGATTAAATTATATATTTTAGTGGATATTCCATGACTGACAACATGAGGTTTCATGCTCTGTAGCAGCCATTTAGTAAAATGCATTGTTCATTAAAATGTCTCTGGTGTTTCCTTTATTATGTAACACCAATGAGGATCGGTAACACCAGTGACTCCTATGGAGAGATAGAAAAGTGGACGTTTCTGTAGAATGACCCAAAAGTTAATCTGGAGAAGAACATAAAAATGGAGCATAGAACCCTGAGAACATAGGGCCCTGACAAGATAGGACTATAGAAACATAGAACCCTGAGAACAGAGGGCCCTCGGAACACAGAACCATTGGAACATAGAGCCCTGAGAATATAGGGCCCTGGGAACATAGGACAATTGGAACATAGAGCCCTGGGAACATAGGATCATGGGAACATAGGGCCCTGAGAACATAGAGCCCTGAGAACATAGGACCCTGGGAACATAGGACCATGGGAACATAGAGCCTTGAGAACATAGGGCCCCGGGAACATAGGACCATGGGAACATAGAGCCCTGAGAACATAGAGCCCTGGGAACATAGGACAATTGGAACATAGAGCCCTGAGAACATAGGGCCCCGGGAAGATAGGACCATGGGAACATAGAGCCCTGAGAACATAGAGCCCTAGCAACGTAGGATCATGGGAACATAGAGCCCTAAGAACATAGAGCCATGGGAACATAGAACGCTGAGAACATAGGACCATGGAAAGATAGGACCCTGGGAACATAGAGCCCTGAGAACATATGACCCTGGGAAGAAAGGACCATAGAAACATAGAACCCTGAGAACATAGGACCCTGGGAACATGGAGCCTTGAGAACATACGGCCCTGGAAACAGTGATGACCCATCCTAACTGTATTAGTCTAAAAATGTGAGCTCATCCCTGCATTCAGAGGCCCATGTTCTCAGGGTTCTATGTTTCTGGAGGTAATTAGCTCACTGAGGCAAGTCTAGCCAGGACAGATGAATTTACTGTGAATAAAGAGATAAATGTATATATTTTTCACATAAATAGAAATATAAAATACTGGAAACATAGATTTGATCCCAAATAGAAGTTTGTTTCTTTAGTTTTGGCACTGGAGCTACGAGGCTAATCTGGCTAACAGGTAATGTAAACTCCCATTTGCTGATTAGCATGGTGCTAACTGCATGTCTAAATCATCACAGACTCGCCTCAGACTGTGTGGAGCTGTTCATTAATCTGTAATAGACTTGATTCTAACACTGTGTGGCGCTGTTCATTAATCTGTAATAGACTTGATTATAACACTGTGTGGCACATATTACCTATAAACATGGACTAAAGCACTTTAGCCTAGCTAAAAACATTAGCAGCCATCCTGAATTTTTGACTGCGCTTTCTGTGCTGGACTATAAGCTTTCATTACTTGCTACCTTTATTAGCCTCATAGCTGAGACTCCGAACGCCAAACATGTCTCAGCTGTTTGCCTTCTTTTGAGTTCAATTAGATTTTTGGCTGAACTGTCCCTTTAAAGGGTCTCTGGGTTTGCCTGTGTGCTGAGGGTGTTTTGGTTTTGGTCTCATCCTCTGTTGTATTCACACATGAGTGCTCATCACGCACACACACACACACATATACACACACACACATACACACACACACACACACACACGTTTATTATTAAAGACCCAACACGGAGGACGCAGCACATTTCACTGAGAGCAACTCGATGTTTATGGTAATAACTGCACTCTGACTTAATGCTTTAATGATGAGATGCCATAGACAGACATTACAAGGAGGCAAAAGGGGCGAGAGAGAGAGAGAGGGAGGAAGAGAGAGAGAGAGAGAGTTGTGTACATCTGTTTGTTTGTTTTGTTTTTGTTGTGAATCGTTTAGTCTTCTCAGCAGTGATCCTGTTTACACTGAATAAACAATACATGACAGTCCTTCCCCAGAGAGAGAGAGAGAGGGAGAGACAGAGAGAGAGAGAGAGAGAGAGAGAAGGAGAGAGAGAGAGATACAGACAGAGAGATGGGAACTAGTGGCAATGGGGACATACAAATACTAGAAACTAAATATTTCTGTGCATAAGAAATATATATATATGTATATGTATTTCCATTTTATGCTTATAATATAATGCAGTACTATTTTTATTGATTCATTCTAAAGAAAATAAATAAATACAACTGATGTGGATGTTATTGTATATGTCTATGTGTGTGTGTGTGTGTGTGTGTGTGTGTGTGTGTGTGTGTGTGTGTATGTGTCCGCGTATATATATATATATATATATACATCGCTGTATACCATTTTGACATTTTTCAGTTTTTGACATAATTTGTTGACCTTCACATTGTGTGCAATTTCATCATGAAAGGACCAAAAGAAACGGCCCAAAATGACTTGGAATATATATATATATATATATATATATAGATAGATAGATAGATAGATAGATATACACACTATTTTGATGGGAGCCAATATGTGGTGCATGTGGTTTTGCTAAAAGTATATTTTTTGAGTTTTGAGGGTTTTTTGGTTTACTAAATTCACTTAAA